GTTATATTGGAAATTAATTTCTGCACGAATGAAACGAACTTGTTTTTGTGGCTCCTTATCAAAAACACAAAATATTTACCATATACAAATACATATACAGTGTTGTACACAGTTATAGCAATATTATTAATATTCTTCGGATATATCTGTTCCAGAAACTGATATTAAATCCAGTAGATTTAAATTGTCAATCGCATTACATATATGTCAAATAAATCCCCATAGAGGAGGTTAATCCAACTAAAAGTTCTAATGTAAATGCCGTTTAGCGTTACTTTCTTAAGGCATTGTCACACGAGCTATCAATGTCATATCTACTGTCAAATGGTAAATATGTAAAAACTGTACATTTCGTTAGCCCATACGAAAATTTGCATTTGTTAAAATTAATAAACAATAAATAAAACTAAAAGTAAATTGTAAATTGCCAATTTTGACATATATACAAAATGTCGTATGTACAGATGGTATTGATGGATCGTGTATCAAAGCCTTTACATTAAACTTATTGTGTCATTCGTCATTATTTTGACATATGACCAAGGAAATTGACCATCTAATGATAAATTTACATCAAACGCGTTTATGATAAATCGTAATCTGTTTGAAATTTAAATAACATATGCTATTTTTATCAACACACATGTCAATGCATAAATGAATATTTATCAAAGCTTAATAATATAAACAAACATACGTATAAACAAAAACAAATTAATTTGAAACTAGTAGCTGTCTTGATTTCTAATCTAATAAAATTAATCACTATTAAGAGCAGGTCATCGTTAGAAAGGTTTTTTATTTTAACTAAGCTAGATGGAATATTTTCGATAATAAATTGCATAATAGTAGGAAATAATTAAACATTCTGATATGCACGTTTGTCTTTATGTGTTTATAGAACGAAAATTTAAACTTTTCCATAACATACAATAAAAATTTAATTTTGTCAACAATGTTAATAAAACATTAACATAGCAGAATGAAATATTATTTTAGGCCTATTGTTTTCGTAAATATTGTGACAATTATATATGCGGTTTGTTTACAAGTTTATGTGAAATATTTTACACAAAACTATCTTGTAATAAATAGACAAAAAGGCCAGCCAGACAATATGCAGCGTGCCAAAACCTATACATGGCGAACTAAGTACGTCAGAACCTATTAGTCGCAGTTGAGCCTACACAGGTGTTTGTGTTTGATGTTTTTTTTTATAAATATGAATTCATAACAACGCAAAAAAACTATTTCTAGAAATACATATAAATTAGCAATGTTTCAATATTGAGTGAAAATATTTGACATGCTGTGTAATGAAAAAAAAATTAGTTTATCGATAATGCTACAGGTCTACAAGTGTTAATTAAAATTTTAAAAACTAAAACGGCATATACATTAGACATTTTTACTGGGTTAATACAGCATTTACATTAGAACTTTTTACCTACTCTATGAGGATTTATTTGACACATCTGACAGGGAATTGATTAAAACCCACTGGGATAACGAAATACGATTAAATGTAAACGTACTATACAAAGTGTTGGTTTATTAAATGAATATATTTTTTACTAAAGCTTCTATTGAATATATGTCTAAATATATTAGTAATCTGACACTCTTTAAATTCCTTGTCACCATTCAAAACAATAGCTAGCTCCCTCCCAACATGTTGTGTAAATTGCGCTAGCTTTCTCCGCCTCTCCCTAAAATGATCCGTTTTAATTTACAATAAACATTTTACACATGAGTTGAATGTACAAATGTGTTTTGAACTAGAAACTAACCTTGAAATTCTATCATCAAAGGCTGTACCTACTTTCCGTTAATTTCTATTGATGGAATGTTTATTAACCGCAAATACATATCGTTGTTGGTTGGTTGCTTACAATCTTATTTTATTATCACCACAAATTAATACTCTATCGTTTAGAATAATAATATTTTCAAAATGTAACACAGAGAGAGATTTTGTTTATTTTTGTGGACATCATAATCACATATTGAGATTAGAATAACAAAGGCAAACATTATACTTTGACCTGTGTTTCTGATGTAAAATTCCAAAAACAAAACAAATACAATACGGTCTGAGATGGTGGGGAAAATATTATAGTCACGTGTGAAAGAAATGTGTGGAATATTATTATGGAAAAATTAAATATGTATCTGCATATTTTTTATAGATATATTTTTAAAGGAGATGAATTATAATTATATGGAGGTTATGATAATATTTTCAAGATATGGATATGACTATAAAAAGCATTTCTTTTTATATTAATAACCATTTAGATCTGTATAAAGAATGCCATTTAATATATGCGCAGATGTTGAAGTATTGTCATATAGTTTATTATTGCACATTTATTTGACACGAATAAAAAATAACAATTAAATAATGATTTATTATAAAACACGATACACGGTAGAAATTATAACTTTTTGCCGGTATGTAATGGACAATGTAATTGACAATTTAGATCTACTGGATTTAATAATGTACAATGTAAACGTACTATTACTATTGAAGTAAAGACAAAATCCATGAAGCAATAATACGGTGATGTATCAAAACAAAAACCTTTGTTTTTCCCTCGGCCATCTGTCAAATTTGTGTTTGGCAACACTGCACATCGAATTCAAGTAGAAATTACCAAAGTCATATTTACTCACTCTCCCACACTTCTATAAAAGTGCTAAAAAGGTTAAAACTTTTTTAAGTTTGTAAACATATATATAAAAAAAGTATACATTTGAAAAAGTGATAATTAATCCATGATCAAAATATTTTTCAAGTGTAAATTTGTATGTATATGACGTCAAAAAGTGAATGACTAAGCTCATGATTAGGGGATTATATGCATATAAATACAACCCTCTTTTACACACTTGTAACTATAATAAATTGTGTAAATATCAGCTGACTGTTATTAGTATTATCCCCAAATTAGTATGGACAATTGGATTTATTTATATTCATCATAAATTTGGGAATATATTTTATATACAGCATTTATATATATGCTTTTGATTTTGACTTTAAAATGGTAAGAGCACGTTTGGCGTATACGCCACATTAATCATGTTCCCAAATCCAGTGGATTATATTTGACATATACGCTATGGAATTGACTTTTGAGATCGAGTGGATTTCGTAAATCTACTATAAAACGGCATTTACATTATAACTTTTTACCAGGTTAACCTACATTTTGATTATTTATTTGACATATATACAATCCAATTGACAATTTAAACCGACTGGGTTAACGAAATCCGGTATAATGTAAACGTGCTGTAATCCCTAAATGTATTATTTCCATGGTATAATTATTACAATATAGGGGGTATTTACCAACTGATTAAATTTTTTCTCAAAGTACATATTTTGTTATATATTCCTTGAATTGAAAACTATTTTTAATTGCGTTCGTCTGCAGAAAATGATATTTCCCACTGGATTTTGAAAAGAAATCATAACCTTTCATCATATTTGACAGATGAAGCCTACGTAGTTATTCACCTCAAGTTGACATACCTTGTATTATTATATCACGATTATATCTCAAATGCATGTGATATTGTTTACTCCACCTCAAATCGAAATCTAAAAAATTTATAAAAAAAATTTTTGAAGTATAAACATAAAATATTCATAATAAATCTTGTTAAATGGTGTATTTTTCATAGGCATATTAATAAAGGTATCACTCATGAAAATAAAACACAACAATTGTACTGATAAAAATTAAGACGCAATACTTAACGTTAACGTTATAGAAATATATGTATGTATGTATGTTTATATGTAATATGTATATTATCTTATACAGGAATCATAAACATTCATAGGTTCAGTACATCTCATATAGTATATACTTGTTATACTATATATATTAATTAATTTACTTTCTTTTCATTTACAGAATTCCAGCGAGTGCATGTGTGAAAAGGTTAGGATTTTGTAAAAACAAAACGAAAGGATAATCCAAGTTAAAAAAGTGTTAACATTCATTAACTTTAAAAGTTATATTTAAAATAATCTAAACCAAAAAATAACCAAGGCAAAATTATATTATTAACTGAGATTGTTGAGAATTGATTTGTTTTTGGCATAACAATAACAAAAAAGAAAAAGTACGTTTGTTCTAATAACATTTAACTACGCATTAATATAACAAAAAAGGGAAAAATAAAAACAACAACAACAATTCTAATATAAAAAAAAACATAATCTAAGACTAGTACATTTCTTCAACACCACCCCGCTCTAGTCTCTAACTTATTGTAAAACCCAAACACAGTGGTGGTAGCAACGTGATCACTCACGTACCACACCACCTCCTCCTCCACATCGCAGAGGCAAAAGGGTGCACGTCAGTGCTCTCATTGCCTGTTGTAAACAAACCGAAAACCAACAACAACAAAAACATGATAAGAAAATTTCTAGTATTTTGATTCAAACGAAAAAAGAGTGCAAAATAATTCCATTTCAACACAGACAGAGAAAAAATCTCAATAACAAAAAAATAAATAACCCGATCAACAAAAGATTGAGCGAATTCTGCCTATATATATGCATAAGCATCATATGGTCATTGTATACGAATTAGACCCGCAGTCTTAGTTTGGCTCTCGTTGGTACAGCACCACACAAGTTCACCACTGGTAGCGCTCTAATAGAAAGTGTTATTGGTATTGTTATTAGTGACCAAAGAATTGTGTTTCGGTGCAGGCAGCACTTTGATCGTCAACGATCGCAAACAAAACAACAACAACAGTAGCAGCAATAAAAACTACATCATTTGGAAACAAATTTGTGCAAGACACAAGTGTTTGAAGCGGAAAAGAATAATTTCGATGTCGATAAATTCACCAATACAACGGTTAACGGACCTGATATAAGCAGGCAAAACAAAACAGAAAATAGAAAATCAAATTTTTACGCACGTCCTAGTCGTGCTGATTGAAAAAAACGCATTATTCCAAGGAATACAACAACAAATACAATTTCATAATCGTTGCTAGAGACCAACATTGTGTATCACTATTTGGAAAATAAATTAAAGTTCAAAGCTTAGCAATTGGAAAACACGACGATAATTGGATATTGGGGCTTTTGCCATTGTATGGGTAAGTAATGTGCCTCAATGTACATTTATATACATACATATATACGATCTTATATACACATAACATTCATTCTTTGTCTTTATTTAATATAATAAAAAACACGTAGCAATTCATTCACTTGCTCTTGGTTTTTTTTTTTTTTTTTTTGAAAACACACAATGTAAAATGACGTCACAACAATTTTCATTGGGGACCATGCACCGATCTTATACCTCAGCATTTCTATTTCTGTTGCTGCTATGGCCGATTAGCAACAATTCAGACTGATTATATAAACAACAAACCCAGTTATATTTATAATTATCTTTAACAATGGCAGTAGTAGTAATCTTATCAACAATTCTATCGTATTTGTGTCGAAGTCAAATAGTTAACAGCCATCATGATATACAATTACTGTTTCCGTTTTAAAAGTTTCCATTAATTATCTCCCACTCTCTCTCTCTCTCGCTGTCAGAGAGATCAGGTAATGTTGCCACATGCACGTCAAAATCGTGTCTTATAAGGGGGGTTTAGATCATGGGATTCATTTGTTGGCATTGTCATTCTTTCAACAACAATTGTCCTAGTTTATGAGTTTGACTTACTCATAGCCAATATTTCAAATAACAGCATTTTCTATAGAAACAAGTGAATTAATTCTTCTAGTACGTGACCCTCCCGCCTTTACGTGTCAAACTCGTAAATTTTTCTGTAATTTAATCCGGATTTAAACAAAGACAGGTAGCAAATCCTAAATTCAGGTAGATATGGATAAATAACATACCAGCTAATGGCTAAAGACAGGTTTAGTTTCGTCCAGACACTGAAAGTGTAAAGATACAGTTGCCACGACAATATTTGCTGCCAATTTTCAATGTTAAAAACTTTAAAAATTGGCATAAACATTACACGGAAATTGTTTAGAATACATTCACACAACATCCCACACGGTATAGAATTGACGACAATTTATTAACATTTTAAATTTATTTTTTTCATCTCCTTACCCACACAGAGCATTTTAAACAACCATCGAGTTTTGGAGACGAGCCGGACCTCGTGAAAAAAACACAGGGCCGGAATAGTCTGCATTTCAATAGCAGCAGTACTGCAGCTCCGCAGCAAACAACTTCAATTTCATCAATCAACGCATTAACAAGCAAAATTAATCTAGACACTACATCCAATGACTTCGAACGCGGCTATGTGCCAACGGTCGGCCGTTGGGGTGCCGAATGGCCTAGTTGACTCGCCGAAGCCCTGGTTCGACATGCCGGCTCCACCGCCGGCAACCTCGGGTTATCGGCGGGATCGATGCGGACTGGATTGACTACAGCCATCGATTCTGATCAAGATATACCCAAATGCAACGGAACTACTGCATCATCACTGTGCAGTACCGGTCTTACACAAAGCTCAAATGGCTCAACCGATGATGAAGATGACTACGACAATGAAAGCATTGGAAATGAATCGCCATGCAATTTGACATCAAATCTGTCGTCGGAACGATGCCTTAGCATCAATAAGCTGTTGGAGGAGCAGCACTTCAAATGGTGGACACATGGCGACAAGGAAACTTCGAGCAAACCACCACCTCTGTCCTCCGCAGCTGATGACGGGCCGCCTAAGTTATGGGAGGGACGTAATGGTTACAATATATCAGCGTATAACCAAATCAATGGTATTTGGCCTTTGGGCCATCCATTGCCTCTGCCCGATTGGGCTGCTGACGACGAAGCTAACAAAGGTGTTCTTCATTTCGACTCCGTTTGGCAATATGAAGATCTGAGTGCTATAATCGAAACGAAGCTGCAGCGTATGTTAGAGGAGACCCACTACGATACTGTTCATCTATTCGTCGATTTCTATGAAGCCTTCAAACGTACTCGACGCTCGGATTTGAAGTCATTCTACCAATTCTATGATATACCGATAAATCGTCGCGATCACATGTGTGTTTCGCTGGCCATGGAAATAATGGCACGCATTGTGGAACTGTTTCCGATATTGGAGCATTATCTGTACATTGTTTCGTGTGAAGAACAAGTCATTTCACTGCGCGAATATATTGAGACGGCTGAAGATGTGGGTGGGCTTAATTCGCCCCATGCAAATGTCGAAAAGGAACATGCCATGATCGCCATGAAAATAAATATTGCTGGTCGTGATGGAGTTTTGATTTTGGATCCAGGATATCATGTTGGTCGTTGTGTGACTGTTATGCATGATCAAAACTATCCCCATACAGGTAAGAAGTCGAAAGAAAATATCCCTATATAGGAAAGAAAATATCCCTAATAAATGTCCTATTTATCTCAGGATGGTTTACACAGTCCAAGGAAGCTCATTTACAGCGAGATTATTGTTACAACTACAGCAAGTACAATCCCAAGTACGTTGAATGGAAGGAAAGAGAAATAAGAGGAGATGAAAGCCACTACAAATCGTCATTGGTTTATGTTGATCAGCCGTATGTAACAGCCATTGATGTCACGGTACGACGTAATTTGGTCTACAACTTCAGATCATTGTTATCGCGTGATGCCAAAGGTCGAGTTTATGCAGGCATATATTTGCCAATTGTCGGTAATACCAATGAAGCCCACTTTACAATGTTCTATGAGGGCCTCAACTCTGAACAACGCGTCAAAGTCAAGTTTATGTTTAGTGTATTTAAGCAGCCCAACAAGGTATGATTAATTAGATTAGTTTTGTGAGAATATATAGACAATATTAATGATATTTAAAATTCTCATTTTATGATTGCAGATTCCTGAAAATGTTCAGCAGCACTTGGAAAAATTAGCACCTCAATTAAACATGTCCATAAAGGAACTTACAAAGTTATTAATATCGTTGGCCGAAGCTGTAATGGATCAAGGTTTTATTCAACAAGTATTGGCCATTAACGAAGACATTGGTAATATGTCAGCCGAGAATTGACAATCACTGGATGAGGGGAAACCAAAGGTGTCCCAACCAACTACAAATTCGGAAGTGGTTGAAAAAAATAACGAAGAAACCTAATTTATGGACATGGAGATGTAACAACCAACAAATGGAACACTTTGTAGTTTATATGCTTATCAATTTAATTTTGTTTATCATACGTTGATATATATCTTCTGACATAAAAACAACAATGTATGATACAACACTTGTTAAGTACGAGTAGTAATTTTCTCTTAATCTTTAATCTGTACTACCCCAACACCAATGTAGTCAAAGGCAACAACTAATTTGCTTATTTGAAAACAAAATCACACTCATTTTTTTCTTCTAAATAAAAATATATGTTATATATGAAATACCTTTTTAAATTATAATTTATCTACAAAATTTTTTTCCAAATATACTTTCTTTTTATTTTCTTAACTTACAAAAAAGGCAAAATATATATGAAATAAATATTAAAGAATTGAACTTACTATACCGATTGTAGTACAGTGAAATATAAAATAAATTCTCAGTTTAACTTATTAAAGAGTTTTGTAAACATGATACAACTCTATCTCTCTCTCTCTCTTTCAGCTATGATTACGTTCATATTCAATTCCGTAGTAAATAAAACTGAACATTTAAAGACCAAGTAATAACAAAAAAATAAATAAATTTAATTTTATTTTTGTGGGTAGTGGGTGGCAAAAGATATCGGTTAATTTTTTACTAATATTCGAAATCAAGTACGAACTTAACTGAACTGGCTCTTGTAAACTGTTTTGTTTAGGCTACGTTTAGACTGCTAAATCCACTCGATCTCAAACGTGAATTCCATTGCGTATACGTCACATTATCCAATTCACAAATCCAGTGGTTTATATTTGACGTATACGCTATAGTGAATTTCGTAAATCTAAACGTACATTTACACTATGATAAAGTCAAGAAATAATCCTTAAGTGTTTTATACACTATCGGTTTTGAATGAAAGTTTTTTTTTTTAATTGCTTGTTTGACGGCATGACGTAAAGGGTGAAGCACATACGAAGATTTCAGGCATGATTTGTTAAATTTACATTGTTTAAGAAAAAACAGAACAACTTTCAAATTCAATTCTGACTCTGGCATTCCTATATAAATTCACATTTAATACAATGCACCTTAAAGAAGCATGCCTGAAAATTTCATATGTTTTTCTCCCTAAACACAAAATTTTTGATCTTGTTAAGTGATGATGGATAAAACTGCTTGTACATTAGAACTTTTTACCGGTTTAACCCTTTATGAGAATTTATTTGACATTTATGCAAAGTAATTGACAATTGAAACCCACTGGGTTAACTAAATCCGGTTAAATGTAAACGTACTTTAAAACTCTAATTAGGTGACAATGTAGATTAAGTGTTCATCCATGGTATTATTATTAAAGGTATGATATAGCTTTCAACTGTTTACTATTTGGTATCAAATCAAAATACAAATATTGTAAAATTATTAAAAAAATGAAAACATAATGGAAATGAAACCCAGTTATTGCATCGTTGAGAATAAATTACTCCATTATGAATGAAACAAATATTTAATGACATTCCCGTTTTAGTCGTGTGTTGAAATATGTCAAATAAACACAACCTAACAGAATTTACTACGTGTTATAAAATAAATCATAATTCAATCTCATTTAATTTGTCTTTGCTTTACTATTAAAAACCTACAGGAAACAACATAATTTATTTAGTTAATCCAGTGAGTTTTAATCAATTCCGTTGCATATTTGCCAATTTAACCCTTATAAAGTAGGTAGATATAAATATAAACCTATTGAAAATTATATATAATAATGTATATATTTATATTTATGTATACTGGTTGTTTATAATAACGTCTAATTTTTATTCAGTTTTATAATTTCATCAATTTCCAAATGATTTCCTCTATCACAGGAAACGCATTTATATTAGGTTGGCTGTCAAAAACCACTTGCACTACGTATCTGTACCCATCTGTCACAAATGTCAACAATACGTGGCAACTGACAACGAATGAGTATAACGAAAACGAGAATTGACATTTCATACGTCTGCAGTCTGTGTGTGCATTTGTAAAGTGACTTCAGTGGCGTTTTGCTCGTGTTTTCCCTAATTTATTTTGCTTTAGAATAAAGGAAAGAAGAAAAAATAATGGTACGATTGTGTTTTTGTTTAGAAAATAGTGGTGAACAATTTAATAATAACTTAAAATTAAAATGTGTTTTAGCCTGCTCCAGCTAGTTCAACCTCAGTGGGAAGTGGAACCCGCTCTCCCAGCAAATTGTCATCTCCTGCACCACGTAGCGGCGGTGCTGGTGGAAGCAACTTGAAACAACGTAAAACCACAAGCAGCAGCACAACTGCTCCCAGAAGCCGTGCAGCTGGTGGCGCTGGAACCGGAGGAATGTGGCGTTTTTATACCGATGATTCTCCCGGTATCAAAGTGTAAGCTATAACAAACATGTTCCTGCAGCAAAGAATATGTGAAACTTATCAACCTGTTATGTACTACTTTTTTAGTGGCCCAGTTCCAGTTTTGGTAATGTCCCTGCTATTCATTGCCTCCGTATTCATGTTGCACATCTGGGGCAAATACAACCGTTCTTAAACTATATCGTTTTAAGTGATATCAGCTTCCCAATACGACATAATATTCATTCATAATATTGTCGACGTCATCATTTGGTAAATTGCCCCGCTGCTGCTGCTTTCTACTTTCATTTTGTGTCGTGTCGCTTATGTTAGACGAAACAAAGCGCGTTGGTAATTCTTAGTTATTTCATAAGTTATTCATCCAATTTATTATTATAATTATATAAAAATCGTAAAGAATTTTTTTATCTGTATATTTAAATGCAGTTTATGAAAAAAATGTCATTCCACAATTTTCAGTGGTGTTAAAATAAAACCCTCCTCCTTTTTTATAGAAATCAAAATAGTGTTTATTGTGATTTTTGCTGCTTGCAGGTGAGTTGGTATTGGAGTGAAATCTAACGCTAACACAGATTTGTTTTGGAATGCAAAGACAAATAAGAACCATGTTTGGCTTCTAAGATATGACACATAAGCAACATAAATACCATTAGACAATTTGATATTTCATACATTGTATTGTTGATGCTTCAGCATAATGCAAAATAATTACAAATCACCACTACATACTGGAAGAGAAATTTAATTGCTTTCAAAACAATTCAACATACTACAGTTTGTAAAAATTTATTAAATGTTAATAGCTGGTGCAAAATAAACCAAAATGGAGGCTTTCAAAAAATCGAATGTACATTAAAAGTTAAACACTATCAAGTAATTAATTCCCGCCTAATAAATGAACTTAGATTGATGAAATTTTTCGCAGGGATAGTTGACAATATTAAGGATTTTTGAAATGTTCTAATATGTTTACTATATCCCTCATGTCCAGATTAATTGAGGTCGTACTATGCTTTCCCCCCCAATTCTTGCCTTTCGAGCCTATCACGTTTCTTGTAAATTTCAAGTGAACATTTCAAAATCTCTGGCATATATATAACCGATTTCTGGAGTAAGCGACATGTGACGTCGAGAACGTTTCTTCTGAGAGTGATTTTAAGACTGGTTGGCACCATTGATCAAAAAATATTAATCCAATCGGTTCCAAATGTTAACATGCTATTTCGTAAGTATTACTACGATAAATCCAATCGGTGAATATCTTCCTTTCCTACTTAGTCTGTGACTGATCTTCCAGAAAGAGTTTCATAGGGCCGCCAGTTTTTTATAAAGCTATTTGATACCTTAGCCATACATACACTCATTCTAATGCCTTACCGAAATTATACAGAAACAAAATTATTTCATTTTCATATCCTTTAAGAATTCAAATACATGCAATTTAAGAATTCAAATATGCAAATTTACTAACCTTGAAAATAATGTACATTTGCGGCAGGCCGGTTTGCAAATTGCAGAAAATTGAAATCAAGAATTATGCCTCCTCATCCTCATTGTTCGTGTTCGCGGATATTTCTAAATTCAATAAGAATATTGAATTTATATTGGATATAACACTTATAAATAATTATAAATCGAAACACTTTCAACTATTATAAATTAAAATTTAAATATTTACTCAAAATCTACGTATGTATATGGAAATGACAATCAATTGATGTTTACTTTTTTATTAAGACTCGTACCTAATACAATGCGAATGCGTATGACAACATTCTGCCTCTCATCTTCATCGTAGAGTTTTGTTAAACCCAAATTCGCAAGGAAAATATCTCAAATATGTTTATATTTTCTAAATAATACAAAAAAATCTTCCAATTCGTTAAATTTAAAACAAAAAATTACAAATAAATTCCAAGTGCCAAAAGTGAATTGATGTGCGCATGTATAAATTACCCCTATGTCTTTTGACATCAGCTGTTATTATTGGGTGAACTTAAGCGAGGTATACACGACGTGGCATAATTAACATTCAGAAATTTCCAATAAATAAAAAATCAGTGAATATTGTAAAAAAAAAATAATCGTTAAAAATATATATTAATTATTGCTGAATAGTATTTATCCATAGGATAGCATTTCCCCTGAAATTACATTCCAAAAGAACATATCTCTATCGAAGATGTTTTGTGATGTGTACCCTACTTTATGTGTACTGTGCCCGCCAAAATATATTTCAATGGTTGGCAATTATCTACATTATCTACAGCAACAAGATAGAAGTAACGAATAAATTGAGAAAAAAAGGTTTGGCAAATGTTTTGGTTACTGAAGAACAAACAAACAAACTTTTTCCTTCATTCGACAATTGTTTTCCATTCGGAAAGGTCCTCTGCAGCATCATAGCATTTTCAATCATGTCCATTACCATTGAAGTGAATAGCAGCCAAATTAATAAAGATAAACTGGACATGCATTTTCTGCCGGCAAATATAAAAGGTGATGGCGAGGCCAATGTAGAGCAATACTTTACGGCCTATACTCGAAAAGAGAATGGTTTCCTTACAAATGCCCTAAGGGGCTATCCTCTCCAGGGCGAGACGAAAAAGGTTCCCGAAACATTTAAAGGTATGCCATAATTTGATAGAAAAAAGTTTCTTTCATATTTTTAATATTTTGCAACATTCTAGGTATAGTTTTACAGGAAACACGCAAACCTTTAGACGAAGAAGCTGAACGCATATTGCGAGTTAAAGGAGCATTTAAGGAATTTACATATTGGAATTATGATAAAATTCCATCCGCATCGGATGGTTACAGTCAGGCTTTACAAATTGTGGAAATTGCGGATGTGGTATGTAATTGTTGTTGAGTTTTTGTGTTGTAATTGCAAAATGAATGGCTGTTGTTTTTTGTCTTCTTTTTTCAGATGTCTGAACCGATTTCGGAAAAAGATGTCCTCAAGGAAATGAAAGAAAATGAGAGCGAAAAATAAGTAATTTCATAGATTTATAAGTATTATTACAAAAACTAATAAAATAAATTAAATAAAAAATAATAATTTCCACAAAGAATAAGTAACAATAGAGGTCAAATGGTTTGTACAACAAGTTGTATCGATCCAACGTAAAAGGCTTGCCAGGAAGCAGATTGGCTTTGGAATAGCGTTAATTTGGTAAAGTGTCAGAGATAGCCTTCCGTCGTGCATTTTATAAGCGGAATGAGGGCAAGGAATAACGACGGCCCAAGATTTACCATGCAGTACCTACCGGTGGTCTCTGATACCAACATGTTTGCTTTGATACATACTGCAAATCCTCTCATGAAATACAATCCCCTTCATAAATAGAATTTCAATTAAAACACTTTTTCTGTGTTCTGTTTCCAGTTTTATTTCGGTTGTTGTTTCCACAATAGAATGACACGAAAACTATTTGAATTGTGGGAAAAAATTATGATGTTATTTGTATGATTACTAAAATGTATTTGGATTTTTTCCCATATCTAGAGTCATCTCTAATAGCATCTTTTTTGTTGTTATTGGATACTAGTATATTCTTTTTTTAATTCATACATATTGTTGTTGTTTTTGTTTAGGCAAAAAGAAGACAATCTTATTTGTGATTGAAATCTATCTTGTCCTTTTTTTAAGTTTCAAAATTGTTCTATTTGAGTTCGTGTGAGTATATATGTATGTTTTTTTATTGAAAATGTTGGTTTAGTTGTGAAAATGTTTACGGTTGGCATTTTTGTACTTATTAAGTAATTTTATGGAGGGGGTTGGTTGGTGACCATCATTGAAGAAAATTAATTTTGCTTCTTTTTATTTTTTTATGTAATGTTATTTTGTTAGTTTAGTTTTGTTTTTTTTTTTTGTACTTAATTATGATTTTCATAACAATTCTTTTCACAAAAAATTATTTTTTTTTTTAATATATATTTACTTTATATATATTTTTGTAATTATTATATAATTTTTAAGTATTTTTCCCAAGATCATTTTTTATACATGTATGTATATATATTTATACATATACACATATATATGGTGAAGAAAAAAATTGTAGTGATTATTTGTTTTGTTTTCTTTTGTAATTATAACAACCTTTTTAACTTAATTTGCTATATTTGTATTCTTTTGTTTTAGTTTTTTTACATTATGTCCACAATTTGAACAAAAGATTTAAATTAGTTTGCAACAAACAAAAAGTCTCTACTACTATTATTTTTTAATAAATGAAAATGCCCCAAAAAACCTTTTTGTGAAAATTAAAAGGCATTTTCAATTTCTTAAAAAAATAATAACAATTCTTTTTGTTATTTTAGGTTTTGTTTTTAATTTTTTATTTGAGGATAACATTTATTTTTGTTGTTGGTTTGTTATTTTGTTTATGAAAACAGGAATATATTAAGCAAGTACTTGTTTATTTATTTATTTTCTCTTAAATTATAGGTTTTGTTTGAGTTTTATTTATTTATTATACTAAGCTGTAGTAATAATATTAATAAATATATTAGTTTGTTTGTATTCAATCCAAATAACTTACAATACATTTTATTGGTTGTATGTTGTTGTAATCAATATATGTAGGTATGTTTGGGATTTATACAGATTTTGTGTTTCCAATAAATTACCACAAGATTTCGTCGTGTTAGGACAAATATTATTTGAAATATTCACAAGTGCCAGTAATTGCAAGAGATTTTTTTCTGTTTGTTTGTTTTTTACAAGTGAGAATAATTTGTTCACTTTGAGCCCTAAAGTAAACAAATTATTCGTATAATAATTTATTTAAGTTAAAAAAATAAAACACAAAATTATTTAGCAATTAGTAGACAAATGTGAATGCAAGGAATCTGTCAAAGAGAAATTGTCGTGGTAATTTATTATTATTTTTTGTTTCTTTAGATTTTTTAATATCATTTTTAGTGACTTTTTCGTTTTAGCACATGTAACATGTATATGTATTATATGTAGGTATGTGTATAATGTTCCATTTTTTTTAGTAAAACAAATGTGTATGGTGTAAGAATCACATTATTATTTTTTTTAATTAGAAGAAATGCATAATTTAATAAAACAAAAAGCATAATAAAAATGTTAAGAATTTTTTGAGGTTATGAATAACACCAAAGGACTTGTGTGAGTGTGTTTTGAAAACCAAAATAAAATAATGTTATACAAAAATATTTCGATATTAACTAAAATTAATAATACTGTTGTTATTTAGCATTTTTAATGATTATAAAAATATTTCTTGTTTTTTTTTTCATAACGAAAAAACGCGGTTAGTTGGGTTTTGTTATTTCTTTCTTTAGAACAAATTACATTTGATAGAAGAAAAATTAGTTATAGTTTAGTTTTGTGCAAATTTAATAATTTATAATTACAATAATAATAATAGTTATACAGGTACTTCTTTGAAGTATTTTGTGTGTTTGTTTGTGTGCAAATGATTTGTTTCTCCTTATATATGTATGTACAAAAAAAAAAAAAAATGAAAAAAATAGTAGATCACAAAGAAAGAAAGATAAAAACGTATTCAATAACATAATCTACAAATGCTGGTGGTGGTTGTGGTGATAACTTAAATTTGTTTGCTGCTTCTTTGTGTTCAGCAGTACAAAAATTAAACAAACAAACAAAAATCTACTAAAATATGTTAGGAGTTTCAAGTAGTAAAAAATTGAAATAAAAAAACACATTAGTAACAGTTAAAAAAAGTTGGGTTTTCTCTCAAGTTGTTTTTAGTTGGATTTTGTTTATAGGTTTTCTTCTTCACATTATTTAGAATTAGTTGTTGGTCGCCACGATATAAGTAGCAGCTTGATTTATTTTCTCTCCAACAATTAGTAATACACATTTCCATAATCGTTTTGTGATTTGATGCATTGTATAAAGGAATCTTCTTCTTTTGTTGATGATCGATGATCCATGAGTTTGCATTGTTGTTGTTGTTGTTTTCTGAAAATGTTCACATCACATTCATATTGATTTTTATATTCTTGTTGACGCTGCTGCCATCTATTGTTGTAATTATAAGAAGACGAGGAAAATAAATCATCATAGCCATGCTGCGGTTGTTTTTCTTGTTGCTGTTGTTTGCGTCTAGTTTTATTGTTTTGTAATTCAGCCTCCCAATGTCAAACCTGTGGTTTGTGCTTCCCACCACAAATGCCGCAGGCGATGCCAATTAAGTGGCACACCCTTAACGGTGGATAACACCATAAGCAGGGCACCAATAACGACAGTAAGGTTAGACCAATCCATCTGGAAGAATGACAAGAAATGACTAAGAAATGTCTATTGAAATAGAAAAAAGAACTCTCACCTTTTGGTACATCCACTTTCGTTGGCACACTCGCAGGGATGTTGAGGTGTTTCACCCTCCGAATCACTCATAAAATGATAAAGCATACAACGTGCACAACCTATACCCGAAATGCATTCGAAACCAGAACGAAAACAGTCTGGTGCAAATTCACAGGCGCCCCTACGATTCCATTCATCACTATACAATTCTTGGCAATAACGGCACCTTGTCATCTGACTGTGTATGGGTGTCGGATTGGGTTTGCTGTGATGCATTTTATGTTTGAGTATATCGATTTCCGGATCCTTTATAAGAACACTGGAAATGGGCGAAGACTGGGTTCCGGCTAGACAATGTGACGCTTCAATGGCATTTAATTTCTTCAGGGTTGTTATTGATTCGCAACGCGTTAGAACTTGTGCGGCAACAGGTTGATCCACCACCGGATAATTATAGTCATGAACCTAAACGAGACAGCCAGGGCAACACATTAATACATATTTCGATTACAGTGCGATAGAAAGGCAACTTACCGCAGTTAATGTTACATAGGAATAATTTTCACTAGGAGCTATAACTGGAGATGTTTCCACAGTTGTTACATTTGTGCTTACTGCTGTTGTTGCTGCTGTCGTCGTCGTTGTTGTGTTGGCATTCACCAACAGCGACGTTGTGTTATTTTGAGCTGAGGTCATGGAAGGGAGAGGTGGTGTGGTTTGCAAGCAAGAATTTTCACCCGATATGTAATGAATTTTGGCAACTTCTTTTTCATTTTTGTCCTGAGAACTTTCCGTATAGCGCTCTCCACGATCTTTAAAGCTGTGACTATTTTCACTGCCCTCCGGACTGGAATAGCCTTTCTGTTTGCTATCCAAAGATTCACAGGGTAAGTCGAGAGTCTGTTGGGACACACACAGACACAAAAAATAAAAAAAAACTAAAATTGTCAATATATTAATAATATGTTACCATGAAAACATCATCTTCGCCAACAGAATCATATTTGGTCAATGGGGGACATATAATGGAAGGATTCGATTTCGCCATGCCGTCAATTAGTTCATTGTATGCTCGCAGTACACCTTTGTCGAAGGCTCTGGCATCAGCAGCTGCTTGAAATGTAAGACCATTTCGCTGTTTACCGGCACGCCAATGATGAAACGTTGGCATAACTTTATAATACTTTAGATCACGATTTATAACGCAACTTAAAATAACCTAAACGGGGGAAAAAAGAAGAAGAATTATTAATAAAAATAAAAATGAAGCAATTGTTTCGTAATGGGAATGTTGGACTATAAGGTATATATTTTGCACTTACACTCTGATCTGATATTCTTTGACCATATATGATGTATTCATGTCCGGTAGCACCAGGGGATAGCCTGGCACGTTTACGTATTGAAACGTTGGCCAGACCACCCCCTGCCAGTGGTAACCAACCTTCAGTGCTTTCGTCTCTGGTCATAACCTGTGCTCTTACTGTTACTAAAAAATCGCTGTAATCGAAATAAATAATATTACTCTCTATGCTATTTGTAATAATAACAATAAAAACCAAAAAAACATGCAAAAAATATAAATATGTAAATGTAATTTAATTCATAAAAAAGTGGCCAACACGGTGGTTTGTCTGATTGGAATTCATTCATTCACCCATTCATATAAGAAGGCCTTGCCTTGAACGACATTGTCTTATTGGATTGTTTGTTAAGCTATCGGTTCGGTTCTTGAAGGTTAGTGGTTGACGACTATACATAAAACTATAATTTGTCCATTCATACAATTTTACCAATCTTTGTCGTGTAGATTCTCTTAAGAGAATAGAGAATTTAAAGCGAGAGGAGAGTGACCGACATACTCACAAATTAAGAGAACTTAAAGACACTTATTTAGACCGCACAATTGATTGTCAAAAAATATAACCGTTGATTCATTCCAGCTTATTTATACACTTTTTAATATTAATCATGAGATTTGTATATACAGTATAAATATATATATATATATTTCACAACCCATTGCGTATCCTATAATCCGGATTGATTGACCAATTTGACTCAAAAATCCGGATTGTAAAGATGCGTTACTTTTTATTTTAATAAAAAATCGTTGCAAATTTAATTGAAAATGGTACCAATTGTATTCAAAGTTCATATTTTTGAAATGAATAATTTTCATTTTTAATAAAAACATAAAAATAAATAGATTATCATCAAATTTATATAAATTTAAACCAATTAATAAAACTCGATAATCCGGAAATCTCGGTAATCCGGATTGGGGTCTGCAATCAATTATCCGGATTAGCGAGTATTTACTGTATATATATATATATATATATATAAACTTCTATTTCTATTGAAAGACCACGGAGGTACAATACCTCGATTTAATTCAGGTTTGTTTCCAGTACCAACCTATCCTAATATAGAGGAGTTTGTGCGTATCTCTTTAAAAAGTGCAATGAGCGACAAAGAGACATGCAGACAGGAAGAAACAAAAAGAGTTTTTAAATCGGATGTGATACACATCCAACTACACCTATACATATTATACGGCACAAGTAATAATAGAAAATTATTAAAATTTTCATAAGAAATATTACTTTTGTAACTATTTATTAAATATAAAATATTAATAGAGAAATAATAATAGTCGCCAATACAGCAGTTTATTCCTTCAATCGTGCTTAAAAAAATACGTGGGCAAACCCAACCTTAAAAGTGTTTTTCTGCTATCCTCCTTATGAATGAACAACAAAACTCAATGGATGTGCATGCTCTCTTTTGCGTGTAATACACTCTCTCCCTCTGTCACTCACACACAGAGAGTATTTGATATCTTAGTATATGTACTCTTGCTACTATATGCACCTGTTCAATGGGAAAAAAAGTCCTAGCACAATTTTTTTTTATTTTAAAATATTATTTTAACAAAAAATAAACTATATATTTATTTTATAATATTGTACTTGGTTTATACATATTTTTATATACAATTTTGTTTAGAAAACAAACAATCACTATACGTTAAGTATGTACATATGTCTATCTATATATGTATCTTTGTTGGGTACCGCCGCTACACCAACCTCCTCAAAAAAAAAAAAAAAAAAAAACAACAACAACAACGACGAAAAACTCCAAATGAAATACAATTTCAACAATAAAAAATAGGAAGGCATAAAAATTATATATGGACTTACCTCTCATGTCCTTCTGTCATGATTCGTAATCAGAAAGCTAGTATAGAAGCGTATGGTGTCGGTGGTCAATTTCACCATGTTTATTAAATTCAGACGACATGCAGAATAGCACAAACTTTAAAAACTTTGTGTTGGACACCACTGTTGCTGCTGCTTCTGATGTGTATGGACAAACATACATACAGACGGACAGACAGCCAGCCAGAAGAAAAGTTACACAAACGACAAATGTCTGCTAAGAATTTTTCGGATTCTTTTTTGTTCAAAAACACGTCTCCTCCCTCTGGATAATTTAATTTATGTAATTTTTTCCCGTGTTATTAACTCAATGCAATTTATTTAGTTTCATATTTTTTTGCATTTTTTCATTCCTGGGCAAATATCACTACTCCAGTCGTCTGTTCGTTTTCCTTTTTCCTGTCTATTGATATAGTTCCATTTTAGAGTTGCCCATGTAAGTTCTTTCGTTTCGTTCTTTTTTTTCTGCTTCTTTTCTACACGACGACGACTAACTAACCAACTCCCTAAATTTCTAAATTGTTGGTTTAGTTCAGCACTATTTGGACATATCGTTATGATATCTAGCACATACGGAGGAGTTTCATTTACAATTCACATTTATTTACATTATTTTAGGGACATTTTTGTTTTAAATTTTTCTTCTCAGCGAATTATTTTTCTATGTATATATTTTTTGCATGGCTATTCTCTTTCCGTTTCACACAAAATTTCCACAAAATTAGTTGTCAAGACATTTGCTGTTATGTGGGAGAGGATTTAAATGCATGTACGTCAGTCAGGGCGTATAACGACAAATACGTCTGTCAAGGTGGTGCAAAACCAAACAGACCGATTACCGAGTATTTCCAACAAGAATATATATGTATATATATGAGAATTATATATGTATAATTAAATCTGAAATTAGTTTACTTTTCCAATAAAAATTACTTAGTATGAATTTTTGAGCTATGTTTTCATTTTTTTTCACAACATTAAACACACACATTTACTAAATTTGTATGTGGCTTTGAAAAAAGCAGTCCACAATAACTTCTGATTTAAAAAAGTCAATTTTACTTGCGTTAATTTGTTAATTATATTAATCCTTCACCTCTCTTGGAGAGAGGGATTATTATAAACCATGAATAAAGGAGGAGACATATACCATATACCGGCAGAAGGGAATAAAACGGCATTTACATTGGAACTTTTTACGGGTTAACCTACATTATGAGGATTTATTTGACATATATACAATGGAATGACAATTATAACCCACTTGGTTAACGAAATCCGGTATAATGTTAACGTACTATAATACCTATGTCTGTTAACTCGATATTTGGTAACAATTGTTACCAAATGTTACTAAATGTTGTCTGTTTACACAAAAATCCAGTAAAAGAGAGTCAAGTGAGAGAGCAAGTTTGACAGTTGAACAACAACAAAGTTGCTGGAGTTTACTGAAAGAATTTTATTCAGTAAGATTTAATAACACAAGGGTTTACTAAACATGTCGTGCCATGTGAACTCATTTTCTTCTCTTAGAGAAGAGTAGAGGACATGATGCAATAATAAGGTGATGTATCAAAACAAAAACCTTTTTTGGTCTCGACCATCTGCCAAATGTTTCCTTATAATATTTCACATGGTTGCCAACACTGCACATCGAATTCAAGTAGAAATGAACCATTTGACGGTTAAACGAGACATCACCTGCGCTAAATGGACTACCGAATCATTGTGCCATGGTATAGGAAGAGCACTTTTTTAGTTTGCCAAACGACGAATTTGTTGCCATACTTGTCATTTATATTTTGGATGTGAATTTGATTATAAAACTTATTTGAAGTTTAACATTGGCTACAAGAATCTACTATTTTGATAGCACGATAACACTTTTTTCCTTTATGATATCCAATAAAATAGTAAAAAATATTTTGATTTGATAGAACAAGCCACCATTAGAGAAAATTGTAATCAGATGGTAGCTATGCCCTACCTTATAATTGAGTATTTTTTTTATGAAAAACTAAACGAACAAAACTAGTAGCAATGGTTTGACAATTCTCATGATTGGCAGCATTTCACGGCAAATTCAAAGTGGTTCTTTGAAATTTTTGGTTACACAGCATTACACGGCGAATTCACTTGACAAATATCATATTTATCTTTGAGCTAATCTAACAATCAGCTGTTCTTGATGAATATACAATGGACAATGTAAACCTCCTGCGTTAACGAAATCCGGTACAATATAAACGTACTTTTATGCTTTCAGGATTCTTTTTGATTATCATTATGATTTGGTGGAATCTTTCTTTTTTATTTTTTTGGACAATGCCACTGGACTCAGCAATGTAGTAAACAATATCGGGGACAACTTTTAAGAAACGAGATCAGGGATGGAAAATGAAAATTGTGAAAAGGTACCAAAAGAGTACTTTTTTTTAATAAAAGAGTATTATTTTCAAGAAAATACAAAAAAAAAAACATTTTATTCAGTTTCATAACGATCGATTTTCAAGATATCACTTAGTGGATCTTTCTGATGGTAATAATATGAGAATTATTGCTTCTTTCGATTGTATTTGAATATATATTGACTAATTTTAGTTTCACTACTTCTTTCTCGATAGCCAATATACCCCAAACTAACATGAATTTCAGTTCCAAATTTCAGTTTGTAAGATACAATTTAAAAAAATGGAACTCATTAACTTAATTAATGTTTGTAATTTTAATCATAACTGACAAGTTATCATTCGTAAACCTGTTAATTTTTTCAATATCTTTATCTGCATACTTTTGTCGGTCAAATCCATAAAAATCCTAATCCAAATATATATATATATATATATCATGGTTTAATGAAGGATTGGACTGGTACTGAAATGGTCACGGGGGTACTACGGTACTTTTCTGGGTAAAAAGTTACTGAAAAAAGTACTATTGTACTGAATTTTCCATCCCTGAACGAGATCGAGGCGACGGTCAATTTCAATATTGGGATCATTTCAATTGTAAAACTTTCCTTTTATCAGTTTACTCAGTAAGAATTTTCTTGTACCATCAGCTGATACTTAATCAGCTGTTTAGTTATGTTTAGTAAAAAATGTTCTCAAGCTAATTTATAGTTTTGTGAATTTTATATTGATTTTATACCAAACTAAACTCTAAATGGGTGAAGAAAACGCAAGTATTTATAATCAACATCAATTTTCCGCTAGTTTTCCATTTTTATAATAAAAATGCTGCTTTTTTGTATGCGCCAAATTGTTTGTTGTTTTAATCAGATGTGTCGATACAACCTTTTTAATGGATGTCGTTCGTTTACTTTTTGCAGTATTCTCTATTGAGAACGAAAAATTCGTATTTTACTTTCTGGAAATTCTTACTGAGTAAATGTTACTGGGAAAGTAAACGAACAGACATATTTTCTGTGTGTTTACTGGATTTTACGAACACACCTAATAACAGTGGTTTGACATTTGTCATGATTGGCAGTATTGCACGGCGAATTCAAAGTGGTTCTGTGCTTGTCAAATATTGTCATATTTTCAATATGGCGGAAGTTTTTGGTGTTGAACGCATTAACAATTATTACAATTTTTATTGAAACTTTAATTAATTAATAATATTGTCGTAAAGTCGAAAAGGCCGAGCACACCGAGTCTCATACGAAATCGTTAGTCTTAGCAATGAATTGCAGCAGCCGCAAAGAAATTATTGTGTACAAATTGTCGTGATATCGTGTGGTGGTCCAAAAACGAATCTCGAATCGTTCGTCCAAATGCTGCAGACAGCCAAAAATGAAATAGGATTAACAACAAAATTCAAAACGAAAATATTTTGTTAAGAACCAAAGTGTTGCGGGGGTGCTATTGCACTGCTATATTTGAACGGGTCGGATAATAAAGTCAAAATTTTGCTTAAGCCAAGTGTCCGCTGTGGTATTGTTTTGGAATTAAGGCGTGAATTGTTTGCAAAAGAAGAAATTGAACGAAGTGGAAAAAATCGTTGGCTGTGTGTGGTGTATGTGAATGTTGTGTGTCCATGTTCAAAGACAGTGAAGGGGAGGGGGAAAATGCAATAATTATAGTGCAAAGAGAATTACACGACAATCCGTATTGCTAAACACAAAAAAAAATAATATTTCAATATGCACATATTAAAGGTAGTGTCGATAAATAAGTAAATATATAACACAATAAAAACTAAAATAAATACATTCAAAAAGTCACCAATTAATTGATATGAAGCAGTCGTCTGTCCTCATGAAAGAAGTCCTACAAATGATGCAGAAGGTTAGGTTTCGAGTTAGGGCTTTGAGTTTGAAAGAAAGGAACAGGACATTGAGTATTGTTTTTTGGATATTTAATTAGCATTATCAATAAAAAAAGAAGTGCTAACAATTTATATAAATTATTTAAAAACGAATTAATAAATAAGTAAGGCCAGACCCGCCCAGGAAGTACTGGTATAAAAAATTGCATGCTTTGGAAAGTCTATTTCCGCTATTAAATTTAAATAAAATTCAATTAGCCAATTAATGATTGAAATTGATTTGTTGTATTTTCAGTGGCAGACATAATTTACGAAATTTTTTTAAAAGAGCAACTAGTTTAGACACTTCATTTAATAATTGATTTTTTATTTTTTAAATGTTTTGTAGTCCATCCCATATCTTTGTCTATATCAACAACAACAATATCCAGTAGCGTAAATAGTAGACAATAAGTAATTCGCATAAATACCACAAATAAAAAAATAAATAAATAACGAAAACATGGAATGGAAATTAATGGGCCTCCGTGAAAAGAATTGATTATAAATTATGTTTAAATTCACCTCGTCATAATATCTATTATTAGTTTGGTGTATAAATTTGTATTATTTGTTTTTAAATTATGAATAAATTGGAATATCCGCGACGCAATGGAGCACACAAAATACGTATAACAAGTAAGTAACAACTATAAATAATTCGATTTAAATAAACAAACCTCATACACAAGATCAATCCATTTCTAGATAATGAGTATTTCAATTTAACAGTTCATCATCAGCTTATGTTGGAATCCCCAGCTTTTTCCCCACAATGATTCAGTAGCTAATAAATGGTTAAATGGAAATTCTCTTTGAAAATATCTAGAATTTATAGAATATTGATTTTTTTCTAATAAATATTTCATTTCTTGTTGTTTTTTTTTTTCTATTTCAGTATTGTGTGCAAGAAATTTGGTTCGAAAGGATTTATTTCGTAAGTATAAAAAACAACAAATTATATTGTTTTGAAATATTTATTATTAGTAAAATTTGTATTTATAGATCATCTTAGTTTAGGTTAGTGGATGTGGGACTGTTGGGTAGCAAGCAGACTGGCATTGGTGATCTTCCTAAAAGCTTTTTTTTAAGGAGATTAATATAGAAAACTGAAGGAAATGATAGGCTGTAAAAGATTTTGTGATTTATTTGAGAGCAAAAGGGTTAAAGTGTCTATCTCATGTCTACCAAACAGTTTGTTATTGTATGCTATCATCCTCACATGGACGTCAGTATTCCATGTCATTGATTTTTCCATTTTGAAATGAGAGACCTGATCCTTCAACGAACTGCAATGATATCTACAATCATCTTTCATCCTTTTTAAAGATAGAAACTAATGTTTTAAATAGACGCCCTGACATAAATGATTTTGTGATCTATTTGAGAGCAAAAGGTTAGAGTGTTTATCTCATGTCTACCAAACCGTTTGTTTCCGTCTGCTACCATTCTCACATGGACTCAGTATTCCACGTTATTATTTTTTTATTGTGAAAAGAGACACCTGATCCTTCAACGATCTGTAATGATCTCTACAATCATCTTTCACTCTTTTTTATTGAATATCTTGATCCGTCAATAAATCTTGTTTTCGCTGCTCTTACCAACATCGTAGGTAACAACAGCATCAATTGTAATATTGATTGACTGCAGCTCTTCAGCAACTTAATTTCCTTATGTCGCTATTAACTGCAACCCAACAAAAGCTAACAAACTGACGTATATCTCCCAAAGCTGCTTAACAGCTTTGAATTCCGGCAAGAAGGCAGTGTTAATAGTGCCGATGTATATCCATATATTCCAAAGAGAGTTCCAGTGCTACTCCATACTATATAAAAAGGGAGAATGTTGGAATTTTATGGCTTTGTGAGCTGTGATAAGTACACTTTCGTGGGGTTAACGCTGAGGCAATTTCCTTGCCCCAACCCTGACTGACAGCTGGACCAGTGCACCAAGCAATATTTGTCAAAAAGTGTCCCCTAACAAAAACTTAACAAAAATTGGCTACGTTGAACATTTTCCTTAGGGAACTCTAAAAAAATCATACATCTATTCACAACAAAATTAATTAATACAGTTATTGCTATTTATTTAAACATTGCTGTTCATTTTGTATGTGTGTGTTATACGTTTTTTTTAACTATGTAGAAATCAAGCAACCATTACGTTCATTTAATTTCCCTTTCGAACCAACACCATCACCTCACCATTGTTGTGGACATTAAAATGTTTATAAATGGTAATAGAAATTACTTTGGGTTAAGTTATTATTTTTAACTGCTATTTTTTTATTTCAAATATTTCTGCCTTAGATTGGGTAATATGAAATCTATATACGAAGAATTGATTAAATTTTGGAAAATTGCAATGTTTATTATTTTTGATACAAACAAAATCTTCCTATGATATATAAATTATTGTTTTTTTTCATTCGTTTCCGGAAAAATTACTATATGAGATTTGTAGTTATTCAAGCGTTATTAATTTATTTTCTTTTTTTATTAGCAATTGTGTGTTATATTTTTTTCACAAAAAGCCACAATGTATAGTAGCTATTATGGTGTTTATGTTTGAGCATATTGTGTGTGTGTTAAATCATAACAAAGAAGTATTTTATGGAAAAGAAATAGTGTAGTGGAATTCATAGTTTCATAATTTTCCCAAAATAATAATAAAATTATTTAATCTCGTTACATACAGCAAATTTAGTAAAAAAAACTGTATTATTATATACGGGTTACATTGTTCCCTAGGATTCATCTACTATTTCGTTTGAGTTTCAATTTTAGCGTTTTGTTTCACTTCATGAATTTTGAAAAGGAACAGTTTAAATAATTTCGATAGTACTCAAATCAAATTCCTTCATTTATTAACTTTTAATTATGGATTTTCAGTCATTCAATTTGACTTGCATAGATTCGTCAAATCAGTTTTGCCACTTCTTTTATTTGTTGTATTTAGAAACCTTTCTCTCAAACCCATTTATTGTTATCAGTTTGCAAAAATAGGAATTGATCGCAAAGACACTTGCCTCATTCCCTATCGCAAAAAAAAAATGATAAATATTTTTTGCGGCTTAACTATATTTATGTATGTATCAATAATAGAAATCAGTCTTCTTTACAAATGTTAATAAGAATTAGAAATGATTCAAAACGTCCGACCACCAATGAATGCGTCATAGCAAAAATTGTTCCACCACAAGCATTTAAATCTTCTTCTTCGGCGTGTGCATAGTTTTTCTGTTCTTATTAAAGTTATTGATAAACAAAAAAATAGAATTAAATTGATTTTGAACTTAATTCAGTTCATACAATGGTTGCTATTTATATTTTGAAACCAATAAAAAATGAAAAATTTTAATAAAAAAAAATTATATTTTTTAATATTAAAAAAATATATATTTTGCCTTCTACCAATTTTACTGCATGTACACACTGTACACCTGATCCGCAATTCCAAAGTTATTCAGTCTTTTTTTGGACCCATCCAACGGCTAAATTAATTAACTCATCACTGAGTAAATATACACTTAAATTCTTTTCATATGCTTCAACTATAACTATAGCTACCTTCGAATTTATTTGACCCACTTTAAGGCAAGTAATTGCCTTTATTTGGTTGGCTTGGCTGGCTTCTTGCTGCAATGCTATTACATATTTGCTTAGAAGACAGGTCAATTTGATTGCAGGGTTATTCAGTTCTTGTCTTGTTAAAAATACACACATACACAGTGATACATACATTGCGTGCAAAATGCAACAATGGATCGGATTTTCAATGAAAAACTTTTTTTAATACAAAATTAAATTTTATTTACTTAAACAAAAATATTTTTTGTATATATTCCTTTTTATTAAATTCACCATCTGGCATGAGGATTAAATGGAGGTGTTGTTGGAATAGGTATGGGCCTTTGATTTGGTCTACGATTGTATCCATGATCCACATAGGGCTCTGCTTTGCCCAAAGTTGCCATAGCCAAAACGACAAATAGTAGAAATCCCAGTAGTTTTTTACCCAACATTTTGAGAGTTTTTTTCTTTTATTCGACGGATGAAGAGATTCCTGTCTTGTTTGCTGCTAATTAAGTGACTGATAATCATCTTTGAGAGCAATGTGTCTTTTATATGAATCTTGGTGTTTGTTTACATTCTCATTTGTTTTGGTGGGGATTCACTTAACTGATAAGGAGCACTTCTTTGGGATTTTTAGAGGGACTTTACCCGAAACGTGGATCTTAAAACAGTGTGTTTTTTTATTTAAAACAATAAATATTATCTAAAAAAATTAAAGAAACAATAATTGTGATAAAAAAAATAGAATTGGGTACTCTTTGAAATATTATAGTACGTTTACATTTAACCGGATTTCGTTAACCCAGTGGGTTTCAATTGTCAATTCCTTGGAATATGTGTCAAATAAATCCTCATAAAGTAGGTTAACCCGGTAAAATGTTCTAATGTATATGCCGTTTTATTCAGTATAATTTGCAATTTGCTTCTTCAACATTTTATACAAGGCTCAAAAAAAGGTTTATCTGCCTGCCTTATGTGTAATATTTAATTTTTCAATACATATTTTTCGTTATTACTTTGCCAATAAATTTGATGAATAACATTAATTTTTTAAGGCCTCCCTGACCCCTTCGCAAAGGTTCAAGTCGATGGTACTGGACAGGTTTACTCAACGGATATTAGTAAATCAACATTAGATCCAAAATGGAATGCCCATTACGATTTGTTTTTGGGTCGCAACGATTCCATAACCATCACCGTATGGAATCAACGAAAAATTCACAAAGGCAGCGGATTTTTGGGCTGTGTTCGCATACCATCAGAAACAATACAACGTTTAAAAGGAGCAGGATGTAAGTTTTTTTTTTTTTTTATAAAAGCAGACCCCCCTACTCATGTATATTAAACACGTTCTATGTTTTTGTTCTCTTCTTTTCTTCTTTTCTTTTTGACAGTCCAACGTTTGGATTTAGGCAAATTTTCAACGGATGATGATGAAATGGTGCGTGGCCAAATAATCATAGCATTTCTATCAAAAGATGGCCCCTGCAGTGGCAATCCCCTAGCTATAGTCGGCCCTGGCGGTGATGTACGCGGACCATCCGAGGACGATTCATCGGAGGATAGTTTACCCGAAGGTTGGGAGGAACGACGTACGGGTAACGGGCGTGTATACTATGTTAATCACACCACAAAGACGACCCAATGGGATAGGCCAAGTAAACACAGTTCGATGCAACAATCGCAGCAGCTACAAACACCACATCACCGTCCATCAACACAAAATGGCACAGTGACGACATCTGGTGGTGGTGGTGGTGGTCATCATCCCGTGGTTGGTCCCACACGTTCCACGACATGTACGAACTTACTGAATGGCCATAATAATCGTAGTGCCAGAGAGAATGATGAACGTCGTCATTCAACGGAAATTTTGTCAATGCCATCGATTGGAATTGTTGTGGGTAAGGAAAATTGTAGTCCTACCAGAGTAGAGACCACTGAGGCCACACCACAATCTGTGTCCACGACGCCCAGCAATAAGAAGAGCAGCAGGCAGCATCAAGTCGCCACCAGTTCAACACCATCACCGCCAATGGGGGCGAGCACAAACAATTCGGAACATAATACTAGCGCACATTTAAGTTCTAATTCAGGACCACAGACACCGCGACACAACCATGCCGTTACACGCGAGGAGGGCCAACAGGTCAAGACACCAAAGCATGGAGCGCCAGCCCCCAGTCTACTAGCAAATGGCCACAGTAATGTGGAGTCGGCGAACACAACAACACCCCAGCGTGTACCAGCGCAAAATCAAATCCAAACCGCCCAAAATTTAACCAATGGCAACTCATCCTCATGCAATGGCGTGGTGATGACCCAGTCGGCTCAGCCACAATCCTCCCATCATGCCGCACCCAGTTGGAATGCCAACGAGGGCGATAATTTGAATGCTGGCACACCAAGGCAAAGCCCCGTTACCAATGGTAATGGCAACAATAAATGCGGCAGCAATGGTAGTGGGGGCAACGGCAGCAATGTACAGAGCCCCAATGCCAATACATCCTCAGCTAATCCTCCAAACACAAGTATTAATGTTGCAAGTCCTCCCAATGCATCCACGAATCACATAAACAATGTCCGAGATAGGAGTTCAGCGGAAACGCCCAGAGGAAGTGGTGGAGGTGGTGGTGGCGATTCACGTACACCCACTTCTTCCTCGTCCGCTGCCAATGCCAGTTCTCAACGTTCACAACGAAGATCATCGCGAAATGTAGACGATTCTTCCCGTCGACGGGGCTCAAGAAGTTCACGCTCAAACAACAGCAGTGGTCTACGCCATCCGGGAATTGTTGCAGCCAGTTCACAACAGAGCGCTAGACCCTTCATGGATTTGCCTCCCGGCTATGAAATGCGCATCACCCAACAGGGTCAGGTCTATTTTTATCACATACCCACTGCCATTTCTACGTGGCACGATCCTCGTATTCCTCGGGATTTTCACACGGACAATTTGACCCTGGATGCCATCGGACCCTTACCAAGTGGCTGGGAGCAGAGGAAGACTGCATCGGGTCGTGTGTACTTTGTTGATCACAATAATCGAACCACACAATTCACCGATCCCCGATTGAATGGCAACATTTTACAGCTAATACGCAGAGGTGTGGTACCGCCAGGCAACACCTCCAGTCCATCGGCTAACGGCAGCAATTCAGGGAACACATCTTCACCCGCGGCCAATACAAGTGCTGGTTCTGGCAATGGCAGTATTATACAACACCTTTCGCCAGCAGCATCACATCCTCTGGCTGGGAGTGCGACAAGTGGTGTTAACAGCAGTTCTGCAGCAACGGCGGCAAATGGTGCTCCTCACATCCGTATACCCGAGGGTCGTGCTGTTCCCGCCGACTTGCCACAGGGTCTACTTGAAGGTGCCGATTTGCTGCCCAAATACCGGCGAGACTTGGTCGGAAAACTGAGAGCTTTGCGAACAGAGCTGCAGGCGTTGCAGCCACAATCGGGTCACTGCCGTTTGGAAGTATCTCGCAACGAGATATTCGAAGAGAGTTACAGACTGATCATGAAAATGCGTCCCAAGGATATGCGCAAACGATTGATGGTGAAATTCAAGGGTGAAGAAGGTCTCGACTATGGCGGTGTAGCTCGTGAATGGCTGCACTTGTTGTCACGCGAAATGCTCAATCCCCAATACGGACTGTTCCAGTACAGCCGCGACGATCACTACACACTGCAAATAAATCCCGATTCTGGTGTCAATCCCGATCACCTGTCCTACTTCCACTTTGTTGGCCGGATATTGGGTATAGCTGTATTTCACGGTCACTGTTTGGATGGTGGTTTTACGACGCCATTTTACAAACAACTGCTTAACAAACCAATAACACTTAGTGATATTGAGGGAGTCGATCCGGAACTGCATCGTAGTTTGACATGGATGTTGTGAGTAGACAATGAGCGAATGAATGAATCCTTTGGGAGGTGTGTCTTGTGCTATGCTAATTGTGTTCCTTTTCACTTTAGGGAAAACAATATTACCAATGTCATTGAGTCGACATTTAGTGTGGAAAATAATAGTTTTGGTGCCTTGGTGGTACATGAACTAAAACCATCGGGAGCCTCAATACCCGTGACCGAAGATAATAAACGTGAATATGTAAAACTGTATGTAAATTATCGATTTATGCGCGGCATAGAACAGCAATTTTTAGCATTACAAAAAGGTAGGTGGGAGGAGGTGTCCAAATATCTTTTATGGTCTTAACTTTTCCCATATTCTTCCAGGCTTTTGTGAATTGATACCCAATCATTTGTTACGTCCATTCGATGAACGAGAATTGGAATTGGTTATTGGTGGCATTTCCAGTATAGATGTTAATGATTGGCGCAACAATACCAGACTGAAACATTGTACACCAGAAACACCGCAAGTTGTTTGGTTCTGGCAGGTGAGTTGGAAAAATGAAGATATCATTTTGGTGGAAAAATTGATGTTGAGTAAATGTTATTTGCAGGCGGTGGAATCGTATTCCTCGGAAATGCGTGCTCGACTTTTGCAATTTGTTACGGGTTCTTCGCGGGTTCCCCTGCAGGGCTTCCGTGCTTTGCAAGGCTCAACGGGGGCTGTGGGACCCAGGCTATTTACGATACATCTGACCTCAGATGTACCAACACAAAACCTGCCCAAAGCCCACACATGCTTCAATCGCATCGACTTGCCCCCCTACGAGAACTATCAGCTGTTGTATGATAAACTAACCCAAGCTGTCGAAGAAACCTGTGGATTTGCCGTGGAATAATTTTCTGCTTAAGTTTTGTATTTTTTTCTGTTTTTGTCTTATTGTATAATTCTAAGAAGATGGATGTGGTCATGATGATGATGCAGAAGAAAATGAAATCCAAACGACGAACAAATTGACATCCCGAGGATATTGCAAATAAAATACAAGATGAATTGATTATTATGGAAAGTAAAAAATCAGAAAACAGAAAACCACAAAACAAATTATATTGAAAATTCTCCAAGAAGGTAGAACGAGGAAGATCATGCATACAATCTATTCATTTGTATGTTGTATATAGGTAATAAATAAATTCTTTTTATTTTTCTGACATATTAAGAAGATATTTGCAATTACTTAGATTCGTTATTCGCGCGTCTAATGAAACACACAGACAGACACACAATAAGAAAAGGACGAAGTAGAAAAATAAATAAATATTTGATAGTATTTGAAATAGTGTTTAGGGAACGTGTGTGCAAAACATACACACACACCAACCAACCACAATAATAAAAATAATTTCTCCATTTCTCCATAATAGAATTACAAAAAAAGGAAGTGTATTTATTCAAGTGATATTAGTTAAAATATAAAAAAGAAAATAAAAACAAAAAATAATTATTATTACGAATTATGCAAAAAAAAAATTAAAAGAAAGAAAAAAATCTCTAATATTCTTTTGATATATATATACATATGTACAGAAACCTCTAAATAACACCAACCAACCAGTTCAGTTATATTCTGCCAGTATGCAAATTTCGAAAATATAAGATTTTGAATGTCAAAATCGATTTTTAGCACAAATTGTTTTCTTTGACTTTGTAGACAAAATGGGTGTAATTTTGTTTTATTATTTTTTCTATTATAATAAACCAATGTTTGTTTTTGTATTAAAATTTGTGTAGGTTTTTCATTTCGAAAATTGATAAAAAAACAAACAAAATTATCTAAATATTCCCTTATTATTCGTATTGTTTTATTTCCTCCTTTTTTTCAATTCATGTATTAATCAAACCATTTAAATCCAATATATGGATATTGAAGTAACAATCGTCATATCTTAATGAGATACGCTAAAATTACAATTACAATGCAATAGTATTTTCAAATAAACGCAATAAAATATTGAAATTTATATCTTTTCTCTCTTCTCTATCTCTGTCGATTTAATTTTTATATAGTAATTCTGTAAATAACATTGCACATTGATAATTATACTACATATACATACATACTATATAAATACGTTTTATATTAACAAACAAAAAATAGTATTAGGCCTTAAACAAAAATATATAATTTAATTAAAAAACACACACAAAAATTGACATAAATTGGTCAACAGCACTTTACACAGCATACATAATTACAACTTACAATAATTTAAGTTTACATAAAACAACATCTATCATTATAATAGTTTACAATAATATAATAAAAACATAAACAAAACATACAATCAAACAAAATATAAAATTTTTGTTTAACAAGGAGGCATCTTGAACAAAAGACAACAACAAAGATGGCTACAACAACTGTTTCCACGATCCGAAACGACCCGAGTTATACTCTGCCAACGTCTGTCACCTCAGCCTATTGCGTAAAAGCAATATCTGCTACAACAACAACAAAGATGGCTAATTGAGATGTGTGGTATCGCGCCAAGCAAACCCCCCATTTCATCAGCTAACAGCAGCAATTCCGAGAATACATCTTCACCCGCGGCCAAAACTAGTGTTGGTTCTGGTAATGGTAGTATAATACAACAGCTTGTCGGAACATTGACGAGTGGTGTCATCAACTCTGCACGATTATGATTTGCACGAAATTTGTCATAGCGTACTGAATTGAATCTAGAATGAAGTATGCTGAGTTTGGTGAAAATCTGTTCCGATTTAGATATAGCTCCCATATACATTTTCGCTCGATTTAAGGTAAATGGTGCACCAAAGTCTCTATATATCATTTGATTTGCACGAAATTTGTTATAACGTAATGAATTACGTCTAGAATGATGTGTGCTGAGTTTAGTTAAAGTCGTTTCAGATTTAAATATATCTCCCATATATATTTTCGTCCGATTTAATGTAAATAGCCCAACAAAGTCCCTATGTATAATTCGATTTGCACGAAATTTGTCATAACGTACTAAATTGAGTCTAGAATGATGTGTGCTGAGTTTCGTGAAAATCGGTTCCGATTTAGATATAGCTCTCATATATGTTTTCGTCCGATTTTATGTGAAATGGGCATGGTTGTATCTTGAACGAACCATTCCTAGTAGAGACGACTGGAACCGGAATAATCCTCCTCCGGACGGTCTGGCTTTCTATTAACGAGGAGGAGACGAAGACAATTGAGCATCTCCTGTGTCGCTGCCTAGTCCTGGACTACAGACGGCACAGACTAGTGACATATGAAGCCAAGTTATGTGTACTTGGCAGAAGCGGAAGTTATTTGTCTTCAAAACAAACTGATAATTTCCAACTTATTTTGTACAAAATTATTATTATTATTTTTTTTTTTTTTTTTTGAATAGTTGTATTTTTTCATCGAACATTAACAAATAATATAAATACTCAATAATTATTTTCTGTTTTTCCAATTGGTATCATAATTAAATTGTTCCATCATTGCCAGCCAAAAACTGTACAACTGCATAATTTCCCGTAAACATCCAATCATGTTTTCTGAAACGCAATTGTTCCGCCAAGTCGGGGCACTTGACAGAGTCCGATTTTAGGCCGCATAGGAGATCTCCCTTTATTGTGCGCAATGTACATAGATTTGTGGGATGGAAACCACGCAAACATTTACGAAATTCCTCACTAAAATTCCAATTGAAATCGCCCAACAATTTGCGGTAATTTAAATCACCTTAACAAAAAAATATATTATTGTCTAAATAATTTTTTGTTTACAAAATTACCTTTAAATATTAACAGGCTTGATGAGGACAACTGCTTATAAAACTTGGCATTTATATCAATCATTCTGTTGGAATCACATTTAATTTAGTTAAATATATATATTTTTTGGTATTGAATTTTGGTTCTTCATACCTGTAAAATTCGTAGGGTGTTGTCCAAAAATATTCCGTGTCGGCTATTTGAAAATAACCTTCGGCAAAACACTGGGCACATTGTACACCAAAATCCTTTAAAATTTGTGATTTATGTTCTTGTAAATAGTTTAAGGTTTTGTGTATATCTTGTCGGGTGGTATCCGAAACAAACCATGGCATGGCCTTGACATGAAAACGTACAACAGTGGCCAAGCCGCTTCTCAACAAATACTGGCCGAAAAGTAAGTCGGTAAAGAGTTCAAAACCAGCATTATCACATATAAAATCAACATACTTTTTATCCTCTTCTTCCGCCGCCGCCGCCGTCGATTGATTTAGACACTGCCATATGGTGGGACTATCATCAACCAATATGTTTTTGTTTAAGCTAAGAACTAATTGGCTTAGATTTTCCAGGGGTTTAACATCTTTGCCCGAACTCAGTGACAAATCACATTTATTGCCCCACAGATTTAGCTAAAATAGATGGGGGATCAATTGAATATAATTTTTTATTTTATATTTCAATTTAGTAGTAAATTACCTTAAGTATGTGACAAAAGGTTTCACACGTGTTCTCACAATCACTGGTGGTTTGTATTAACTCTTCCATAACCCCCTCGGACATTTGCAATGCTTTCATTTTCTGTGGTCCAAAATAATCATATTGTGCCAAACTATTGCCAGCCTCAAATATTGAATAGATTTTCCGGTACAAATAACATTCGGCATATAGCCAACATACATTGAAGAAGCCGGCATTTTCTGGTAAATTTGTAATAAAATTATTCCACAAGTCAACATCGGGAGCTGTAAGTAATTGTAATAGAAAAAAATTAAAAATAAATACAAATAAAAAATATGTCCTCCTTGAATATTAATTGCCATTAAACAATATTTAATTAATTCATTTTTAATTTTTTTCAAACACGTGGATTTCTGTTTTTTTAAATATTTTTTTCAATGATTATATATATATTTTTTTTTAATATTTCATATATTATTAAAAATATCCATATATTTTATATTATATTGTAATTTTAATTATCAAAAAAAATTGTTTTGAAACTTTACCTTTGGATGAAATCTTCTGTAATTTGTGATTATTTTCGACTTGGCTTTTAAGATTCTCAATTGATTCCAACACCAAGGATATGTCAGACTAAAAAATTGACAAAAGCAACAACATTCTATCCTCAAAATATCATAAAACACAACAAAAACGATAACAAACCTCTTGATACATTGATGAATTTGCTTTCAAATCTGCTCGCATGGAATCCAATAGAGACATCAATATATTTGGCAAACGATAACGTATTGTAAAATATGCAAAACTCTTTTTATATTGACCACACAGTGGTGTATCCTTGGGTGTTTCAACGTCATAAATGCCATGTTCCATATCAAATGCATCGTGACCAGTTGAATTTCCCTCATGTGTCTGGTCAACTTTGTTATTCGGCTATTTGGTGGTGGTAAGCAAAAAGCAAAATTCACAAAATTTTGTAATGAATAAAAAGAAAAAAGAATAAAAAGACATTTGTTTTCTCCTCCCTGCTCCTTACCATTTCAAATGAATCTTCAAAATGTTGTTTTTCAGGAATTATATACTTTTTAGGATTTTTGTTTTTTTTTCTAATATTTCACTCTTTGTCGGAATAAATAAATATACAAAACAAATAGCTGTGTTTTTTTACGTAATACTGCGCTCCGCTGGGACATGCAATCGCCAAGAAAAATGTCAAGTGTATGAAGTGAAAGAAGAACGAATGCAAAACGCAAATATATATACAAACATACTATATTGCACATTATCGATTTTCCCCCAACAAACACAGCATCGTTGGGTGTGCAATTTTCTTTTTTCGTTGATGGCCGCGTGCGATATACACACAATCGTACAAGATAAACGCTTTGTCTCTCAAAACATAAAAAACATGGGAAATTTTAAAAATTCTATGGAAGTTTTTTTAAGTATTTATTGTAAGCTAGTGCACAAGCATATGATACATAAATTATCGATGCTAACATATTGATTTGCCTTGAGAAGTACTAAAAAATATTATTTATGTTTCCCAACATATTCAAATGAATTCGATGCTATTTTTCATAAAAAATATAAAAGTTATTTTCCAATATACATTTGGATTTTTATATATATATATATATATATATACTTTTTTTAGTAATCAAACAATTCTAAAATTTAAACCGTTATGTTTATGGTATTAGAAGTAGAGACCATATTTCGGGTTATGTTAAAATTTTCCTGGCAGTTGACATTGATGTTATGTACTTTTTATAAGATAGTTAAGTGTGGTATACCTCTTATATTGGCTAATATGTTCAGATTTTGTATGTCCTCGAGGAATACACAGATTTTTATACCCAGAATTTATAATAGCATATTTGAAAAGTCATTTTTAATACGCGTTGCCAGATTATGGATCTTTTTACCAGTTGAATTGAGACAATTTTCTAAATCCAACAATGCATTTCGGTTGAAACTTTTGAGTTACTTTTGTTGACTGTAAGATGTTACAATTTTTATTTGCTTTTCTTTACCCTATTTTCATTTTCATAATCAAATGTGCTTTACCTTATACTAAACTTTTAATATATTATCGCATGAGATGTTCTGCACTTTGAATGTTTTTCATTTGCTCAGTTATGGCTGGGGAGCCAAATGTAAATGTATATATACATAAATACGTTAATTATTACTTTGTATTTTCAGTTTTTAGTTCTACTTAGATAATATAAGATATATTGTTAGCACTATTTATTGGCCTTGGAGGCTTTAGTGTTAAGGAATGAATTTCAATAAATAAATAAAATAAATTTTAAAAATATAAAGAAATGATTTTTCAGAAACCTTAAAAAAATCCAAAAAAACTTAAATTTAAATCTTTCGATTATCTCTTTCCTGAAGTCCAAAATTTATTTTTACTTTACTCGTTACTATTTGAGCTAAAAGTTGTAATAAAACTTTATTAGTTCTCGTTAAAAAATTATTTCAATAATCCACAAATTATTACAGATTTGAGAAGGCCAGCTTTATTTTGAAATCGAAATCAATTAGGAAACATTCAACAAAATTCAAAATTTATTTACTATCATGACTACAATTGCACTGAGATGTTTCCATAAATTTAATGAGTCCATATTCACCAGTTTCCATCCATTTCGGATTCAAACGACATAACTCCTCGACCTTGCCTTGTTTTAAGCCACATATCACATCGGCTTTAACTGTGCGTAGTGTACATAAATTTGTGGGTTGGAAACCGCGCAGACAAGTCAGGAAATCATCTGTGGGATCCCAATTCATATCACCCATAAGTTTGCGATAATTTAAGTCACCTTTGAAAATAACTAAATGGGCTTCAGCAAGATATTTATACAACTCCAGGTCGACTTCACGCATTCTACAAAAAAAAAAAAAAAAGAATACACACACAGTGAAAAATAATTAGTTGAAAACTAAAAACAAAACTTACTTGTAATATTCAATGGGACTACACCAAAAGTAACTGACTTTGGCCATTTCAAATTTACCCTCTGCCACATATTGTTTCCATCGCCGGCCTTGCTCATTTAAATAGTTTGACGTGTGTCGCGAGAGATACTCAAACGTGTATCGGAAATCTGATGGTGTAACATCGGACACAAACCATGGCATTGGTTTGGTATGAAAACGCACCTTGGTGGCCAAATTCTTTTCCAATAAATATTCGGCCAATATTAGATCTGTATAGAATTCAAAACCAGCATTATCTAAAACAAAATCAACAATAATGTGTTTCGATTGATCCGCTGCCAACAAACAGTCCCATATATTTTTGCTATTATCCACCAATATGTGATCGTCAAATTTCGTACAACTATCATAGACATTTTGATTGGGATCAAAATTTGTTGGTATTATTAGTGAAAGATCGCATTTATTGCCCCAAAGATTTAACTGCAAAATAAAGAAGATAAATTGGAGAGGATAAGCAAAAGGTTTTGAAATTAAAAAACTTATATTTAAATATAAAATTTTAAATTTATTTTCTTTAACAAATTCCAAACTCACCTTCACCAAACGTGAAAATGTCTCATAACTCTTTTCAGTACTGCGCAAACGTTTTGCTATTGCCACCACCTGTTCCATGGCCAGGGAATTGGCTTTTTGCTTGAAAAAGTAGTCATACGATTTTAGGGTCTCAGAATTTTCAAAAAACGAAAACACTTTCCTATACATGTAACATTCGCTATAAAGCCAAACTGTTTGATAAAATGAACGGCCATCTTCGGGCAATGAATCTATGAAATTATTCCACAGCTCACGATCAGGCTCACATCCTTGAAAATGTTCAAATGGTTTATCCGTTTGAAGTTGATATTTTAATTTGGATATTTGGCCGACAATGCCTTTTATTTCTTCACGGGTTTTCTAAAAAACACGCACAATAAAATAAATTTCTAATTACAGTTTTTGTTGTAAATTTGTGAACATTTTATGTACATACCTCTCCTCGGTGCTGTTCTGATATTTCATCTTTTTCTTTTGTTAGGCTATCTATAATTTGGGTTAATATAACCGGTAAGCGTTCCTTCAATGTGTGATAAGCAAAACTCCTGCAATCAATAACAAATTGGTTAACACAGAAACATTAAAGAAAACAGAATTGTTTGTGTCCTGGATAAATGTGATAAAGTTTTTGGTAAAAAAATGTTGCAAGTAGTCATGGAACCTGGTAGATTTTATATCAGGAATCTACACCAGTTTTATTCACAACATTTAAAGCTCATTTAAAGAAATTTCAAACGATTGCGTATTTTTGGTATTTGTCTGCTTTTGGCCGGTTAAATAGCACTTCCAATTTAGAGATATTTTAGAAAATAAGGCATTGATCATTTTCTGTAACATCGGACGATAGAAATTAATATTTCTATTGTTATTGCCACAACAACAACAATAAATGAAAAGATTCTCAATTAAAATTTTCTATGATTACAGAGGGGGAAGACGATTGGTGTGTGTGGGGGCATGTTCGGAGTCCGGAAATTTATCAGCGATATTTATATAGTTTTGCAGATTATACACTTATAACGAACTTTAGACTAAATCGAATGATTACGGCCAGGACCAAAAAAAAAAAACAAATCCAGATGTCATGTGTAGTGTATATGGGGTTCTAACTTTTTATATCTTCCCGATAACAGAGTATGTGTTGGCGTCACTGCATCCACGATATTATATTTTTTATCAAATTCTGATGAATCCATAGTTCTTAATTTATATTAATTTATTTTTTGTACTTAATAAATTTTTTGTTTGCCTGCGAAAAAACAGCCAGTCCAACGTCAAAAAAATTATTAAATGGGACAGGGCTGGAAAATACCAAATATCAAAATGTACTAAAATGACACCAAGATCTATTCTATTAATAAGGTCACCCAGGTAGCAATCAAAAAAGTCAATTCACAATAATGCATTTTGACAGCAAACTTGAGTGGCTCAGATATCCAGCAGGTCTCCCTGGATGACCTATATATGCTATATATGGAGGTTTTCACCAATTTATTATGTCCGCTATTTTTTAATAATAAAATTTAATGTTTTGCTGTTTTTGTTTTTTTTTTCAAAATACTGACTTTAAATGTTATATTTCTATAAATTTAATATTACGATGTATGACTTTACTTTTAAGAGTGAAAGTGTACTGAAAAAATACTATTGTACTCAATCATCCATCCCTGGTTCGGGCATGGTATATGCATAACGTCAACAAAAACAGCTGTTGTTCTTCGTTTTAGGTGTGTCTGGTTACTTTACCAGTAACATTTACTCCTTTGGTGATTGATTATATTGATTTTGTATCATTAGGCTACGTTTAGACCATGGTATAATTATTACAAGGTAGGGCACAGCCATGATGCAATAATAAGGTGATGTATCAAAACAAACACATTTTTTGTCTCGATTATCTGTCAAATTTCTCCTTATAATATTTCAAAAAGTTGGCAGCATTGCACATCGAATTCAAGTAAAATTGACCACTTTGACAGTTAATCAAGACATCAGCTGCTCTAAATGGACTACCTATTCATTGTGCCATGGGCACAGCTACAAACTGATTACAATTTTTTCTCAAGGTGGCTTGTTCCATCAAATCAAAATACATATTTTTATACCCTTCACCACACTGTGGTACAGGGTATTATGTCTTTGTGCATATGTTTGTAACAGGCAAAAGGAAACGAGATAGGCACATGGTTTCTTTTGAGAATATGCATAGAATCAACGATTTACATCCGTCCATGTATTTTTGTGAACAAAGTACAGGTCGCATTTATGATCCGATTTGGATGAAATTTGGCATAGGTCACTTATTTGGCCCAAGGACGAACCCTATTGAAATTGGGAAAAATCGGTTCAGATTTAGATATAGCTCCCATATATATTTTCACCCGATATAGGCACCAAAGTACCTATATATCATTCGATTTGCACGAAATTTGGCATAGCGTACTGAATGAGGTCCAAAATGATGTGTGCTGAGTTTCGTGAAAACTTAGATATAGCTCCCATATATAGCCCGATATAGGCACCAAAGTACCTATATATCATTCGATTTGCACGAAATTTGGCATAGTGTACTGAATTAGGTCCATAATGGTGTGTGCTGAGTTTCGTGAAAATCGGTTCAGATTTAGATATAGCTCCCATATATATTTTCGTCCGATTTAAGGTAAACGTGGCACCAAAGTACCTATATATCTTTCTATTTGCACGAAATTTGGCATAGCGTACTGAATTAGGTATGGAATGATGTGTGCAAAGTTTCGTGAAAATCGGTTCTGATATAGCTCCCAAATATATTTTCGTTTAATTTAAATGGTGCACCAAAGTCCCTATATATCTTTCGATTTGCACGAAAGTTGCACATCGTAATCAATTAGGAATATAATGGTGTGTGTTAAGTTTCCTGAAAATCGGTCCAGATGTAGATATAGCTCCCATATCTATTTTCATCCGATTTAATCTGAATGGTGCACCAATGTCCCTATATATCTTTCGATTTGCACCAAAGTTGGCACAGCGTAATGAATTAGTTATAGAATGGTGTGTGTTAAGTTTCCTGAAAATCGGTTCAGATTTAGATATAGCTCCTATATATATTTTCGTCCGATTTAATGTAAATGGTCTACCAAAGTCCCTATATATCTTTCGATTTGCACGAAATTTGGCACTGCGTTATGGATGAGGTCTGGAATGATGTGTGTTAAGTTTCCTGAAATCGTTGAAATCGGTTCAGATTTAGATATAGCTTCTATTTCATCTGTTGAATATGCTCAAAGTGGTGAAGGGTATCATATAGTCGGCCCCGTCCGACTTTACTACTTTCCTTACTGGTTTTGTATGTGTGTGTATTGTGAAATAATTTCAAAATAAATTGAAATATATTCAAATTTAATAGAAATGAAAATTATGTTTTTAACAGGTTCGTCTGGAAGTAATTACTTTCTTATGGATGAAACAAACATTTCAACATTTTGGAAAGAAATCATAACCTTTCATTTATTTTTCGCGTTTTTAGTTTTGTGTTGAAAAAATGTCAAATAAACACAGAACACTTTTTGCGTATATTTATTTTATTTTTGGCAGAATAAGCCACTCGTGCATAGTTGTTTTTTTTTTTTTTTTTGTTATTCACCTACCTTGTTTTATTGTACCATGGTTTAGACTACTAAATACACTCGATCTCAGTATTAACTCTATTTTCATATAATAAAACTCAAAAAGGGTTCAAATAAAATTCTTTTATTATTATTACAATTGTGTAATATTTCTATGTCCATTTGAAATGAATTGTTAGTATGAAATGGAGAAGATTTTAATGTAGATTCTTTATATATGTATGTATAGCTTTGATAAATTTTCCTAACCAAAATGTTGTTATATCTATAATTGTGTATGTTTAATTACATTATCGTAAAATTATTTTAATAAATATGTATATAGATGGTCTTCCTTTGAGGGTTGTCATCATCATCATAATCCTCTTAGCTTCCAGCTCACAAAGAATGATGCATAAAACACAGTATGTAAATAGTGAATAAAACTTTTGCGATACTGCAATTCACTTTACATTGAATCTACTTTGTAGATACAAATTAAAAACATTGTGTATACATACATAAATTACTATGTAAATACTTGCATCCTCTCTCAATAAGGAATATATTTCTTCACAATGGTCGTTGTTGTATCCTCCCCTTAATCATCATATGAATAATACTGACATATCGAAACAACAAAAGTTCAACGCAGATTCATGTAGTCGTCATTGGGAGGTAGAAGATTGCCTTCAAGGCCTTCCAAATGATTTGGTTCAAAACCACCACCGTCACCCCCCATCCCAATAGCCGATGGCTGCATTTGATTACAGTTATCGAACATATTCATCATATTTGCATTTGTCGTCATATCACCACTAGCAGATACTCCTCCATGCCCTGTGGAATGGCCAGCACCCGCATTTCCCATTAGTTGAGGATTCGGGAAACGTTGATAGATATCAACATTAGGAGGCACTCGCATATTGCTGATATTTTGACATCTTGCCGGCATGTACTGTATCGTATTCGGTGCGCTCGCTCGAATATGGATATTTGAAGAGGTCATGTTAAAATTGTCAAAGTTGCTCGAAATTCGACGGCCCAATGCCCGATTGCACGGCGACATAATATCATTATTACCGCCAATATTAGAATCTCTCATGGCATTCATTGGACTGGAATTGAAATCTCCGGACATATTAGATGCACACATTTTGCTATTTAGCATACGTTGATCCATTGCATCACCGCATAATATATTCATATCGCCTGGAAATTGAACAGGCCTATTTCCCAGAGGCCCTCCGCCACCACGCATATCCAAACTGCAGTGCTCTAATGAGTGATCGTTTAGACGACCAGGATGGCCCGACAGGATATTGCCACAATCCAAAAAACTACCACCTCCACCACCACCCATTGAACCCAAACTGCCAGTCAATTGTTGGGACATTTGAGCTAGCGAAGAAATAGGATCAAAATTGTTGGCCGCTTTATTTTGAGTCAGACGACTACAATTCGGATTTAATGGTATGTTGTCGATGCGACGACCAAACTGGGATGGCATTTGACGCATATTTTGCAGGCGAATGGCAGACATGGTGTTGCCAACTCCTCCGCCCCTTGGATAATTCAAAGGGAAATTGTGGTATCTGCCATCCATACAACTGTCATCGGTATGCAATTCATTTGGAGCAGGTCCCTTAAACGTTTGCGGACTTGATCTCTTTAGCTTTAGCGTATTATCAATACATTCCATTCCGGCGGATGACATTTGCGGTGCAACGGTGTTATCAACTGAACCACTTGTGTTGATGTTTCCACTTAATGAACTTGTAATGGAATGGGTTGTATTCGTCCGGCTACCCGATGATGCATTTGTTATATGCGAGTTGGGTGGCGAAGAAGTTCCAAAGGGTGCACGTGGTGCTTGCGGTGATGTAAGTGGTATATCTTGATTAGAGCTATGGATATTTGTAGGAGATGGTGTTGTTATTGGTACTGACGCCGATCTCGGTGTTTGACGATAGGAAGGCGGTGGGGCATTACTGGTCTGTGGCGGTGTGCTATAGCCCCCAGTAGCTGCACCCATCGATAATGAACGAGGCAGTGTAGAATTTTGATTTATTGGCCTATTTTTAAAATCATCGGGAAACGAATTGTTTGGAAATTTGTTCCATTCGTCAGCATTAAAATTTAAGTTTTCAGTGTTCGTGTTCCGGGGTTCCGAGGTCAAACAATTATCCCCGGCAATGGATGGGGCCATTTCAGGGGATGTTCCATTTAAAATATTACTTTGTTCATCACACGGACCTCCTCTACCCCTTCCCTTTGCGTTCTCATTGATCGTATTAACTTTTGATATGCTTGCCGGTTTATTTGTCGATTCACCAGAGTTTGGGAGCATACCTGGTGTAATAATGCCGCCTTCACTTCCCGAATTACCAGCAATGTGGCGTACAGATTGTTGAAACATTTTATTCGAACCGTCTAAAAAACTACCAATAGGATCTCCTAAATTCCCAGACATTGTTCCAGTCCCACCATTGAGAACATGCGCTGCTGTGCTGTGAAAATCGGCCGGATCCTTATCAGGGAATAGAAATTTATTCATTTTCTTCAGTTTGGCCAATTGCTCTTCGCGGTGTTGACGTTGCTGAGGCGTTAGATTCTCGTCTGGCACCTTTACACCTTGCAGGGTTGGTATCGTATTGATGTTGTCTTCCAATTTGATGCTACCAGCAATAGCGGCAACAGATTTGGTGCTATCATTGACATGTCCATTACCTCCTAACAAATCCAAAGGATTTGAAGATTCACTTAGTGGATCCCACATATGATTGGCCTTGTTGGGGGCTAATCTGTTGCCAGAATTGTTGAAATCATTTAGCCAATGGGCCGGCTGGGTGATTACAGATCCCTTACCACCTCCGGCACTGGCCGAATTCATAACGTTCATTATATTTAAAGAATACTGACGCTGTAGTTTTGATGACCTGGCGGGATTTTTTAGAAAATCTTCTAGAAACAACTTAGTAGATGGCTGCATGCAATGATAGGCAATAATGGTTGGAAATTGGCCACCCAGTACTGCTTCGGCACTTTTATTGGCAAGATGTGTTGAAAAGACAAAAACGTGATTTTGTTGTTGCAAATATTCAATGCCACCACCATTGCCTCCACCTACTCCTCCGCCTCCTGTTGTAGATAATAGATATTGGTTCTCAGAAGGCATCCCGTTGAAGGCATTCAAACGTTTGGTGGACATATTACAGATGTTTGTAGCGAACCCCTTTTCGGATTTCGGACTCATGTTCGGGTTTAGCAAACCACAAGTGTCAATATTTGAAGAATTTATGGAGTTTCCCGGTAAAGTTAAACTGACATTTGTGGAGTGTTCATCAAGCTCGTTACAGCTACCGCTCCTGGGAAACTGGGAATAATTCTTTTCATTTGGTAATGGAGAGAGATTATTGGTTTTGTTTGTGTCGCAATAAGAAGCATCTGTGGGATTGTTGGTAAATGCCAAGGGTGACACAGATGGCGAACATGTGTCTTCCTTTTTAATACCATGTTCGTCTCTTAGGGCACTCGAAGAACATCCAGAAAAAGAATCGCCTGCATTTGGGGTGTTTACTTTGTTCAATGAACGCTGTTTGGTTAATTGTTTTTTTGCTTTGGGTGAGGAGGAGTCACTACTCCCAGCAATATCTCCTGCATCTCGAGTGGCAGTAACTCCACATCCTTCGGCCTGCTGATTATTCTGTGTCGTATTGTCTTCTTCACAGGGACTGTTGGATGTTTTAATTGAATTTTGCATAGCGTTATGATCCGATGCTGCGGCGCCTGTTGCGGTTGCTACAAACTGTTCGCAGTACTGTTTCGACATGTCTACTCTACTTTACTTTTTCGTGTCTTCCATATGCCGTACAATCGTCTTAGTAATAAATAGCCCCTTCACCAACAGCAGGAAAGGCGACATTACGAATTTTATAATTTAATAGCTACAGTGAAATGTCCACATATTACTATGGCGTCGGATGTAATGGTTGTCTTCATACCTAATATTCGACCCAGTACTAGCGACGACCTAAAGAAACCGCGGACTTGATATGTCCCTGTAAATAGCAGCAATATGTTCGACATATTTACTTTATTGTGGATACATTTCCTGCTGGGGAATGTCTCAATGCATAGATCCAATAAAAATGCGATGGCCACCAGACAATATTTCCAAGGAAATTCCGTCCTGAACGTACGTACCGCTTCCAAATAGAGATATGTAAATCGACTATCGACGTTTTCAATAACAAAAAACAAACATGCGAATGTGATTCAAAACAGACAAACAAAACATGCGAACGAAGAGGACAAAGCAGACCTACAACGAATTTGGTGAATTGTTGAGTTGGGCAATCAGTTCACTTAGCGGATCGATCTTTCTCGTTCCTTTTTTAAAAAGGAACTAGTTCCTTTGCTCCATATGGATCCTTTACTCCATACAGTTTCTTTGCTCTTTTTAGTTCCTTTGCTCCAAATAGTTCCTTTGCTCCATATAGTTCCGACTCCCACATAGTTCCTGTGAATCTCTCTCTTTCATCGCTCTTTTTGTTTTTTGAAAATTGCAAAAATTTTAAATTGTGTAAAAATGGAAAAAATGAAATTAAGGTACAGAATTCAACTGCAGGGCGATAAGTACAAAATACTTTTTTTTTATATATACATATATGTACATAAAAAAACGGAATAAGGGAACGACAACAGAAAAAAGGACGAGAAAAGGAGAAGAAAAAAGAACATGAAAAAGGAACTATATTAATTAAAGAGCTGGAACTAGTTCCGATCGTTCCTTTCTCGGAATAGTTCCAATGATCTAGTTCGTTCCGGAACTACCCAACTCTAGGTGAATGGCGCGTGCACCCAATTTGGTCAACTTTACTCATTCGAACATTATTTTGCGGTCAATTTTAAAGACATCACCACGCACCCTTTTATAAATTCTAAAATAATAGTCACAGCAGTAACTTCGAAATGAAAGAGACAATTTCCATGGATAATGAAGGCAAGTATTTCTCTGTAAGCATTTGGAACATGCATCTTCATCGATTCCGATCATATTTACAGATGCCCAAAAACGTCTGCTAGTAAAGTGTGAGGACGACGATGAAGGTGATATGCACCCGCACTGCGTTCACGGGCCAACTATATTATTTTACCATGCCGACAAGGGACCAGAACATGGTTATTACGGATGCTCCGCTTATCGCGATAAAAAGCTTTGCCCTTACTATGTATCTGTGGCAGATTTGAATGTGAAACATTTTCGGCGACAATATGATACGTCCACAGTGGTATATCGGGACATGAGGAAAAGGGTATGTAAACATGCTGTGCTTCACAACAACAACTTATTAGTTTTTTTTTTCAGTTTTTTGAGGATGCAGGAGATAATCCAAAGAAACACTATTGCTTGACGTGCAACAAGCCGTTGGTTAGCGACGACCTGGACCAACATTCAAGCCACAATGTAAAACAGAATTTGTCGAGACGTTTTCTTCAGGATCCCACTTTATTTCTGCCGCCATTGAATAATGACAAGGCCCAGGCTCAATATTTCTTTGACGACAAGTCACTACAGTTTTTTGAGAATTCTTTACGTAACTTGAAGATTAGGTGAGTTTAGAAGCCGAGGAATGTGTCCATTTTTTATTTGCTCAATAATATTTGAATTGTTTTAGTAAAGTCATTTGCATGGGAGCGCCTCGTCTACATTGCTATTTGTCCTCCAAACCATGCAATCCAATCAAAAGCTATTTATTAGACATTGACCATCGCTTCGTTTTCTTCTACGATGACACACGATTTGCATGGTTCAACATGTGCAACAATCACTTTTTCGATGATCTACAAAAGCAGGAGTTTTATAAATTTCTCAAGTGCCAGAGGTAAGCAAACACACACACACACACCCATTTATTCCAATTTGAAATAATACGTTCCCATTGTTCTTTGTATTTGTGTGGCGGCAGTAACGACGAAAGACTTCTAATATTTACGGATCCTCCATTCGGTTGCCGCACCGAATTAATAGGAAACACTCTACAGAAAATGACACGACTTTACAGTAAAATCAATCAGCTACCATACCAACCACTGCCCATATTCTGGGTATTTCCATATTTCCTAGGACAGTATGTACAAAAAGTTGTGCCCTCACTACAGATGTCGGACTACAAAATCAACTACACCAATCATGATTCATACACGGACATTGGCAAATTGGCACGCAAACAAGGCTCTCCTGTGCGTCTGTTTACCAACGTACCTCTGGAAATATTAAAACTACCGGTCAACGAACAATATAAATATTGCTCCAAATGTCAGAAATACACGGCTTTGGAAAACCGCCATTGTGACATGTGCCGATGTTGTCCCTCCAAGAATGGATCCACATACAGGCATTGTCATCAATGCGGATTGTGTGTAAAACCTTCGTATGTCCACTGTCGAAATTGTCGTCGGTGTACACAAAAGGAAGGTCACAACTGCACCGAATATCAGAAATACCAAACGTGCTATATATGCCGAACTGTTGGTCATACGGAAGAGAAATGTGACTTTTGGAAGAAGAAGGCCATACATCGAATATTTCCATTGACTGCAAGTGGAAATGTCAATGCAAAGAATGATGTTATTATTTGTATTTTATGTAATAAAAGTGGCCACAATGAAATGAACTGTGACATGCGTGCCGAGTATTTAAAGGAATATACATTTATGGGCGAAACTCAACTGTGTGAAAATGTAGAGCGGCGAACATCACCATCGTTATCTTCATGGAAATCTAAAGAATTTTGAAATTGAAATGCATTTGAAATAAATGTGAATAAAATGCGTATGTATGCGTGTATACGTATGGATGTATTTGTGTATGTATGTAAACTATTATGTATGTAAACTATTTCATGACAATAAAAAAGATCGTTATTTTTTATATAAACAGTCTTATTGTGGACATTCGCTAGGGAGAAATCTCGCCTGTGAAAAAAAATGTTCGCTTTCACATTCTCTCGAATGCATAGGGAGAAGCAAATGCGAATTCGAATTTTCGATAATAGTGGTTGAAAAAAGATTCGTGTTGCCATATTCAGTTTTATTCTGGATATTCGCTAAGGAGAAATATCGCTTGTGAAAAATTTTTTACTTTCACATTCTCGCCTTAATCTGAATGAAAAGGGAGAAGCAAAAAAAGCGCGCGATGCGCATTCGAATCTTCGTGTAGCCATATCGTAATTTCAATTATAATGTGTGTTGCCCCATTGTTATTTATTTTTGTAATATTTTTCAATATTTTATTTATTGATTTAAAAAATTTTACTTTTTATTGTTATTTAAACGTTTTTACAATATAAAAGTGAAATATCAATAATCCGCTGTAAAACGGCATTGTAATTAAAAGAAAATAAAGTTTGATAATATGGCAACATACAAGGGCATGTGAAACAGCTGTTTATTGTTTTGATGCAAATTTGGGAGATATGCATCGTTATCAATGAAAATGCGAAAAAAATTAGCTGCAAACTCTGGTTTAAAATACCTTAAAAGGAATTGATGTCCAGAATAAGGCTGTATAATTTCGATACCAGTGTACAATTCCAAAACCCAACAAAATAAGAAAAAAACAATATACACACATTTATATCATTACCAATCCTTTATTAGTGATGTTGAAGTGTAATAACTTACTGACTAAAGAATTTCCAAATAGGGTCATATATACTTAAAGAAAAAGGGGGAGGGCAGGGGGTGTTTTAAAACTAAACAGTAAACTAACAGAAATAATGAATAAAATCTTTGCGAATATTACAATATACAAAATGTCTTATAAATATGTTTCTTTTGATTTTTTAAATATATACATATACATAAATGGTAGGTAAGGTAATATATAAATGTAATAATGTAAACTACATGCATACAACAATATAATTTACAATCATTGGAAACTAAAATAATATAAAAAATTAAGTATTGTCTATAGCTTTCTGCTGATTTGTAATACCAAATGTACTCCTTCATTTTTAAAATATTCCATTTCATTCCAATATCATAACATAAAGAATTGAACGGGTTGGATTATTTTATGATTATGATACAAATAAAATTTTAAAATTTTGGATACGTATCTGTATCTGAAAATAATACAACTATAGTGTGCAAGACTGAAGTAGGCCTGAAAACATCCAAACCCCCACAAAAAATTAACCACTTGCATCATTGTTTAGACTGTGTTTTGTCTGCCGACCGTTTCAGAAATAAAATCAGCGGTTTGCAAAAACACAAACATTTAACGGATTACTGTTATTTGTATTCATGTTTAAAGTATTCAAATATTTCGGTTTTTTTCTTGTTTATAAACAATGTCATCTGAGCTACGCTCATAAGACAGACAATAAGTGGTTTAGTTTACATCGCATCTCATTTAAATAAAATCTGGTACGAACAAAAAGAAACAAAGTATCAATTAGCCATAGTTGTGTTGAGTGTCTGTGTGTGCTGTTTCAATTTCCACAATTTACAAAACGAAATTCTATTTGGATTCGCCCCGAAACAAAACGGTCGGTACTGTATTTTTTGTTTAACATGTATTAAAGAAATTTCAATTTTCTTAAACTATTTATCTCTAATTTTATTATTATTATTTTTGTAATAATATACACGAACAAACTTCGTTTACTCATCGATGATTAGCAGCAGCAGCACACGAACGAGCGAGCGTAACATTAAAGACAAGAGGGTGGCGCATAGAATGGCACTACATCAAAGTTTTCTATAGACAGACTGTATGGATATATGAAACGACACAGAAGAAAACAGGGATATAAAATCGATGCATGTGATGATATTAATTGATGATAACGACAATGCCGATGTCGATGCCGTCGGCAACTACGACTTCGTTGGTGACAGTGACAGTTATGTACTCGTTGAGATTCATGGTACATTCATGTAGGGTGCATCGTTGTGCATTAAATTGCCTTCCACGCCGCCCAGATCATTCGGTTCGAAACCAACTGGTCCTCCTGGTCCTCCGACACCCGGTCCACCTCCCCGGCCGTTAGGTGGCATTTGGCCACAATTTCCAAACAAGTTCATCATATTGGGATTCGACATATCATTGTTGGGCATACCGCCAGGTGCATTGCCAACTCCGCCACCCATCTGATTGCCATGCGGATTACCATATCGTTGGAAAAATTCCATACTGGGCGGCATACGCATATTGTTCATATTTTGAGATCGGGCAGGCATATACTGTATGGTATTGGGAGCACTCGCTCGGACATGTACATTCGACGACATGTTGAAATTGTCGAAATTATTTGGCATTCGACGATTCATAGCGGCTCGATTTGCAGACATCATATCATTGCCGCCCATGTTCGAATCCCGCAATCCAACGCCGGTTAACGGATTGTGATTAAAGTGTCCGGGCATACACATTTTTCCATTCAGCATACGCTGATCCATGGCGTCCATGCTGTTCATTGGATCAGATCCATACGGACCGGGTCGACCTCCACCACCTCCGCCCATTCCTGGCATCCCCATATTGTTGTTGGGCATTTGGTTGCAATGGTCCAGGGGATGGTCACTGCGACCCGAGCCAGGTGCGCCCATCATATCGCCGCTATTGACATCCATCAGGCCAGACGACGAGCTGTTGACGCCGCCTCCTCCACCACTGCCCAAGCTTCCCAATCCCATTGCGCTGCCCGTCAATTGCTGTGACATCTGAGCCAGAGATGCAATCGGATCAAAATTGCCGACGGGCTTATTCTGATTCAGCCTATTACAGTTTGGGTTGAGTGGTATGTTGTCGATTCGACGGCAAAACTGCGGTGGCATCTGACCCATATTTTGACGCATGTTTTGGGGACCAACATGTGGCATATTATTGCCGCCACCTGGCCCGCACATGTTGTAATTCAATCCGAAGTTGCCATATTTGGAATCCATGCCCATGTTGCCTTGCATTTCATTGATTAAGGGGCTCTTGCTCTTCGAGGGACTGCCCCGCTTCAATTTATTACCGGAATTCATGGGATCCATTTCGGGGTGAGACATGTGTGGCAGTGAAAGTGAACCGGGCGAATTTGACATATTATTTAGGGCTGATGGGTTTTGTGGGCCTCCGAAAGGTTGTGAAGAATTCATATTGGATGAGTAAATATTCTTTACATTGCCACTGTTCATGCCTGGGAAAGATGTGGCCGATGAGTGTGATGGATTCGTTACGCTAGTGGAAGTATTAGACGAGTCCATGTGTGGCGGAGTTGAAGACATCCCAAAGGGGACACGTCCTCCATGGGGAGAAGTTAATCCTATGTCTGCATTGGGGTTGTTAAGGTTGGGCTGTGTTGGAGACTGTGTAGATATTGGCACAGATGCTGAGCGCTGTGTTTGGTGATAAGGAGGCGGAGGCCCGCTGTTGTTGCGGTTTGTAGGACTGGGACCGGCATTGGGTCGCGACTGCATTCCATACCCTCCAAGACCGGTCGAAAGCGGACGGGGTAATGAGGGGGTTTGATTGGGAAGTTGGTTGCCGGGTAAACCACTGGGATTGTTCATGGGATTAGAATTGTCTCGGAATTTAAAACCGTCCGGGAAAACATTGTTCTGAAACTTTGACCATTCTTCATTTGGCATGTTCATTCCGGGTGGGACACCACTATGACCCCCGCCATCACCTTCAAGGGACGTACAGTTGTTCATATTGAAGGAAGGGGGCATATCTGGATTGGAATCGGGACCTGTGCTGTTGGGTTTCACGGGATTTAGATTCGGATTTAGTTTTGAAGCACATCCTTGTTTTGAGTTTTGGCCGGGTACCAAATTCATGGAATCAGTGCTGGCCGCACCACTAGATGGCCCATCATCCCCCATATTGGGTCCGGATCCCGGTGTGGCAATCTTTCCAGCAGCATTCATAGCGTTATTTATACTGTCTATTGGATTGGTTGAATTGTTTGCTCCGTCCGCAGGTACTACCGCGCCACCGCCACTATTCATCATAGGTGGAGGTTGAAAATCGTTTCCTTCATTCTCCGGAAAGAGGAATTTATTCATCTTTTTTAGCTTTGCCAGCTGCTCCTCGCGGTGTTGGCGTTGCTGTGGTGTTAGATTCTCATCTGGTACCTTCACACCTTGCAGGGAAGGTATATTAGATTTATCGTCATCCTTCATGCCGCCAACACCACCTCCTGCACCGCACAATTGGGCACTGTCAAAGCCTTCAGTATTGCCCAGTATATCCAAGGGATTCGTCGAGGGGCCCAATTTATTATCTAATCCAGATGATGGATCCCAGCTAGGACTGCTTTTGTTAACGCCTGCATTGCGTAATGCACCAGGCCTGTGCGACATCTTGCTGGGATTGTTGCCACTTTCGTTTAACCAAAAAGGTTGACCGCCGGGGCGATTGCCCATCATTCCCGATTGCATGAGATTCATTATGTTCGGAGGAATCTGTTTTTGCATCTTTGAGGCCTTGGCGGGATTCTTTAAGAAATCCTCTAGAAATAGTTTTGTCGACGGCTGCATGCAATGGTAGGCAATAATTGTGGGAAATTGTCCGCCGACCACGGCTTCGGCACCTTTATTGGCTAGCTGTGTGGAAAATACAAACACGTGATTTTGTTGTTGCATATAATCACCACTGCCTCCACCGATTCCGCCATTACTCGCCGGATTCATTGGACCCTGATTATCGCCGCATACGCCACCTACTCCAACTACGCCGCCCCCTCCTCCTCCACCACCACCACCCATTTGGTTTGGATAGTTAAATTTATTGTTGCCGTTGTTATAGGGATTCAAACCCCTGGGTAAGTTCTGCATATTTGCGGAGTTATTAAAAACATCTGGATTCGATTTGGGGCTCATATTTGTAGTGCCCACCGCGCCATCCATATTGGGATTTACATTACCCGTCATGGCTGCCCCAACACTTTTCGAACGTTCTTGACTTTCGTCATTGTCTTCGTTTTTAGCAAGTGGAGATGTATGCGGTGGCGATAGCGTTGTTTCCTCCTTAATGTCCTTCTCGTCGCTGCCCGACTTTGTTAAGGTTGCGTTCGGATTTGTGGTTTTATTCAAGTTCTTGGAATTTGGCGATGTAATGTTGTGCCCAGAGCCGTTGGAATTACCCAAATTGTCAACATCCCCATCGCCGCCGGACGTTGGCACCATGGGGCTGCTTTCTGTTTTTGGAAATGACACCGATTCCTCCTCGCAGGGGCTGTTGTTGTTGTTGCTGGCAGTTGATTGCGGTAGTCCGCCGTTGTTGGATGTGTCCGAAAATTGTGATTCGGTGAAATTGGACATTTCCGACGATTGCCGTACACTTGACTCGTCCAATCCTTGCATTCTCTTGTTGATGTCCATCATTGTGTGTTTCTGGTTCTGTTTCTCGTTGTATCCCTCACTCACTCACTAATTCTATTCTAAAAATATATATGTCAACTCAAACAAAAGCCATGGCCGAAAACAAGTCCAAATCTCGCTTACCTTCACCACATAATGCACGCACGCTGCGGAAAAGGTCACAAATTCTGAATTCCGATTTCACTGCTCGGTTTGCTGAAGCGAATTTCCTTTTACAATAAAAATACTTTTATTTTTCTTATTTTATTTTCGTATTTTCGTGCTACATCCAAAATAAATCTATCTTAACTATGCACAATTAGTGTTGCGGAAACGATTCGAGTACCTGACTACCCGGTAGTTGGTAATGGCTGGCAATTGAGTACACGAGAAACGACAATTACGCAGAGTTGCCGTACAATGCTGCCAATCATGAGAAATGTCAATGCCATTGCTACAAGGTGTGTTCGTTTACTTTTTCAGTAAAAAACACTATTCAGCAAAATGTAGAATACAGGAAATAAAAACGATGGTCGTCGTCTGAAAGAACAAACACAATAAAAACCCACATTTTTTGACTATTTTAAATATAAATTACATGAGTAGCTAATTGAATATTGCCTAAAGTAAATTGAAGAAAACATTTTCAATATTGGTTCATGTTTTTTCCGACGTACTTTAGCTATTTTTTAGATTCAAGCCTCTTCTACAGAGAAAAAAAATGAGATAGACGATGACATCTTCTTGTACTGAAAAATGAGGATATTTTTTTACCTCACACAAGAAGTCATCTTCTATAAAAATGAAATTGACATTAGATAACATAAAAAAAGAATATATAATGGTGGTTCTTTTTTCTTGGAACAAACCTGTAAAGAGTTTCCCTTGCATAGAAAATAATTTACAAAGGGCATATTTCTATATCTTTTATGTACTAGAACTCTCTTTCAGTCATGATCAGTTGTTGCCTTCTTCTTTAATAACTCGAAAGAAAGCCGAGATAGAAAGGGTTAGATGGTGTCGGCTTCTGTAGCAGGTTGTAATAAATTAAATTGTGAGTTTTTTCTTTAAGTAAGACCTTATATGCCTCGTGTGGGGGTATATAAAATGGATCCTCTCTCAGAGAAGACCTCAGATGCTTTCTCAAACTTAAGTTATTGTATTTTTCCATTGGAATTAACTCAAATGAGAATTAAGATTGCAGGTGGAGTATGTTTCTAAATCACTTGAGGTCTTCTATAGAGAGAGAGGACCTTTTGATGATGAATAGCTAAAACAAATAGTATAATGTCTTTTGATTGTGTTTTTATATTTTTTATTTTTAAAATATAGGATCAAGATCAGTGGATTCAGGGTACAATAATACAAGGTAGGGCAGCTTGAGGTAAATAACAAAAAAGCAACTATGCACGTGTGGCTTCTTCTGCCAAAAATAAAATAAATATACGCAACAAGTGTTTGTATTTATTTGACATATTTCAACACAAAACTAAAAACGCGAAAAATGAATGAAAGGTTATGATTTCTTTCCAAAATCCAGTAGGGAATACCATCAAATGTTGGTCTCATCCATAACAAAGTAATTACTTCCAGACGAACATGTTAAAAACATAATTTTCATTTCAAAAACCTTTGTTTTTGTCTCGACCTTCTGTCAATTTTTTTCATATAATATTTCACATGGTTGGCAACATTGCACATCGAATGAAAGTAGAAATTACGCACATTGACAGTTATTCGAGACATCAGCTGCGCTAAATGGACTGTCTATTTATTGTGCCATGGCATATACCTTGTGCGTCGTCTTCCTCCGTCATAGCAGTGTCGCCTTCTTTAAGGGCACCAAAGTCAGTACGTTATTACTTAAATCATTTACTTAAAGGTCGTTTACATTAAACCGGATTTGGTTAACCCAGTGGGTTTAAATTTTCAATTCCTTTGAATATATGCCAAATAAATCTACATAAAGTAGGTTAACCCGGTAAAAAGTTCTAATGTAAATGCCGTATTACTTAAACAATCCTATTGGTGGCTATATCAATAAATATTCCAATCCAATTCGATTTCGATGCTCTATTCCGTTCGAACGTTAGGTCAGTGAAGGCTCTTTGCGGCGCCGTTTTACAAATAAACCGAAAGATTAAAAAAAAGATCCATATGCAATGAATAGACGGAGAATGGTTGCGGATACCACTCTTTTGTTTAGAAAGGGACATGAGAAAATGACAATCAGCTGATGCTGCATAAAGCGATTCGAATACTTGACTATCCAATAGTTGCTAATCACTGGCTATTGAGTATACGAGAAATGACTATTACGCCGAGTTGCAACGCCTCTTACGTCCTTACGTTACGTTACGTGCGTGTAGTCAATGTAAACATTATTTGACACGAGTACTCGTCCATTCACTCACTTTTGCTCTCAGCAACATATTTGACAGGTTGCTAGCTGAACAGTAACTGGCGTCTCTGAAAATTTTCTTTGTATTTTAATTTTAATACAACATAACTTCAGTTCCAAAGAGGAAAATTTACCGAAAAAAGTATATATTTTGAAAACCTTATTGCATTTGCCCAATCACAATTTTGAAGATGGACGAAAACGAAGTGATAAAAAGTACACAAGTGATAAATTAAATGAATCAATTCTCTTTGACGAATGTCGTCGTCGTCCTAATTCTTTGTCGTATCGATATCTACCCCTTAATGAATGAACGTGTATGTGTGTGTATGTGTTATTCTAAAAAATCAGGTGCGGTCGGTCAAAACAATTGTTTGTGGAGAAAGTTGCTTGCAAAATTCAAACCATTTAAAATCCTACTTTTATTAGAGGCAGCAATTGCTTTCATTTCATTTTCAATCCTTGGTGCTCCGTTAATTTTTGTTTGTGGCTCAGCACGGCAGCAAATTTCGTGTCGTAGTGATGCATTTCCAGTAAGAAGAGCCGCATCATTCATATGTATAACAAGAATGTTAAATGTTGTATGTATGTACATGCCATGTAAAAAAGTTCTCAGCCTTTTGAAAAAAAAATCAATAATGTACAACGAACGAAACATACAAACCTAACATTAACGTACATACATATATACTATGTAAGATACAATTTTACTCGCACTCGCCGACTTCTGCGTCTACATTTGCTCAGTGTTTTTTTCTTTCTTTCATGTTCTTTCTTCTTCGGCGTTTTACGCCCAATTCCAATTGTTGGACAAAAAGGAAAATTCTAAATCCTTTGAATATGGATTAAACCAAAACCAACAAAAGAAAACTCATCATTGTAAAATTGAATTGATAAGAATACTAAAAACCTAAGGAAGTTATTTCTGTTGTTGTTTCAGGATATCTGTGTACGGTTTGAGGTCTGCATTAATGGCAAACGACGTTTAGTTAAGTTTATGTATGTACGAGTGAAGACCGAACGATGATGATGTTCCGTCCACCAACCTAGGCAACATGAATAATTGAAATTTTCTGCTTACAGGACTTGAAGCAACCACGTCGTACGTACGGCTGAGGACTACGAAATTCTAAGCGACTAGACACATTCCTCCATCTAGGATGGAGCCTTCGGTATGTTTAAACGACGATGCCGATTTTGAAGCACAGAACGCTGCTCTACAAGAATACGGACAGTATACCACAGTCTATCCAAATGCTTCGCTATATGCCACGACAAAGGCCTCGGGTGGCATGGGTCTGGCGGGGCGCATGGGCTCCCAGTGCTCATATCGGCCGGATCATGGCTCAGGAAAAGTGATTGGGTCCCAAAGTAATTTGACAAGTTCGGTACAGGAACTGAACAGCTCAGCAGCAATGCAACCGGATCAAGGCGGTATGATGGCACCACCGAACCTTCGTTATCTACAACCTTCGCAGTATGAGGAAATGGCGGAATACGGAATGAATCCGGTAATGCAATTTCCTCCACCGGAATCACAGTATGGCGAAGATGCACCCGTGGCCTATGGCTATGTGTCTGAGGCTAACTACGTTATGCCCTCGGTAAGTGCCAAATCGAATGCTTACGTCACACGACCACCAATGTTCGACGATAACCGAAATGGTGCTGAGGTCGCAAGTGCCATAGGCTTACCGCAGCCGGCATTTGATGATGCTCACGATTTTCAAAATAAAATGTCCCAGCTGACGATTAGTTCGTTCGGCATTGTGTCGCAGCACATGCGCAACGGCGCAAAGGATGAAATAGTTGACGGGTCTTGTAGCGACATATGCTCAACTATGCGATGGCGAGATCCGAACTTGTCCGAAGTCATAAGCTTTCTCAACAATCCAAACAATGCAATTAAAGCCAATGCAGCTGCGTATTTGCAGCATTTGTGCTACATGGACGATCCGATTAAACAACGAACACGTATCTTGGGTGGTATTCCTCCTCTGATAAGATTGCTTTCCTACGAAGCGCCAGAGATCTACAAGTATGTACTTTCTGAATATATGTTAAGTGTTCGCCCCCCGTCCTCAGGGTATTAATTGCGAATATTTTTGTATTTTGTTTTTTTTTTTTCAGAAATGCATGCGGAGCCTTGAGAAATCTATCCTATGGTAGACAAAATGATGAAAACAAGCGGGAGATTAAAAATGCTGGTGGTTTGGCAGCCTTGGTCAATTTATTATGTCGTACGCAAGAGTCTGAAGTTAGGGAACTCGGTAAGAATCAGCTGCTAGTTACTTGTTTATACCTCCCATATATCCTTCTGTCTTCCTCTTTTTTAGTGACGGGTGTTCTCTGGAACATGTCATCGTGTGAAGACATTAAACGATTTATCATCGATGAATGCTTGTCGGCGATCGTTAGTAATATTATACATCCACATTCCGGCTGGGACCCAGCTTGTCCCGGCGACACATGTTTTTCCACAGTATTCCGTAATGCATCCGGTGTTCTGCGTAATGTCAGCTCCGCTGGCGAATATGCCCGTACTCAATTGCGCAATTGCGATCATTTGGTGGAATGCCTTCTGTATGTGGTGCGTCAGGCGATTGAAAAGAACAACATTAGTAATAAGACAGTAGAGAATTGTGTGTGCATTTTGCGCAACCTATCGTATCGCTGCCAAGAGGTCGAAGACCCTAATTACGACAAGCAGCCAATATCTGTACCGACAAGAGCTTTATCGTCTAGCAAGGGTGAGTATGATGAGCAGAGACTTGTTTAAAATGCTCACAGTCGATTTGAGTTTTTATATTTTTTGTTGTTTGTTTTTAAGGCGAAAACCTGGGCTGCTTTGGTACAAGCAAAAAGAAAAAGGCTCAGGCCCAAAGTGAACAATTGGATGGCGGCGGAGTTCAGTCCGGTTCAAAGAACAATGGCAGCGATCAAACCAACCGAGGGCCACTAAAGGGCTACGAGCATTTGTGGCAGCCCGAAGTAGTGCAATATTATTTAGCTCTGTTGCAAAGTTGCTCAAACCCAGAAACGCTTGAGGCGGCCGCTGGTGCAATACAAAATTTATCGGCCTGCTATTGGCAGCCCAGTATAGACATTCGAGCAGCCGTTCGCAAGGAAAAAGGATTGCCCATCTTAGTTGAATTGTTGCGTATGGAAGTGGATCGTGTAGTGTGTGCCGTTGCCACAGCTTTAAGGAATTTGGCCATTGATCAGCGCAACAAAGAGCTGATAGGCAAATATGCTATGCGGGACTTAGTACAAAAATTGCCTTCCGGTAATCCCCAGCACGATCAAAATACCTCCGATGACACGATCACTGCTGTACTGGCCACCATCAATGAGGTCATCAAGAAGAACGCAGAGTTCTCCAGATCTCTGTTGGATGCCGGCGGTGTAGAGCGTCTCATGAATATTACCAATCAACGACAAAAATATACTTCGTGTGTCAACAAATTTGCTAGTCAGGTATTGTTCACAATGTGGCAGCATCATGAACTGCGCGATGTATACAAGAAGCATGGCTGGAAGGAACAAGATTTTCTAACGAAGTTCATCGATTCACACAGTGCGTCGGCACACTCGCCCAACAATTCGAATAGTACATTGAATCGGCCCATGGCATCACAGGGACGTACACGCTACGAAGATCGAACAATACAGCGAGGTACAAGCAGCTCTGGCCGAAACAAAGACGATCAACAGCAGCAACAACAACAGCAACAGTCACATCAATCCCAAGCAAGATCTTGCCAAGATACTCAAATGCTACGTCAAATGGTATGTTGAGTCAGTCGGTCAATCATCGGTCAAATAATAATGTTTGTTTGTTGTTTTTTTTTCTAGGTGGACGAATACGCCATGAATGGCGGTGTGGTTGAGGAAGGAACATACCAACGCCCTAGTGCTTATAATTCTGCTGTACCTATGCCCATGTATATACCAAGCAGCGAAAATCCTCGAAATCCGCCTAATTAAAGGAGCATCACTTATTATGTACATATATAGAACACACATTTTTACTTTAAAAGTGCGCACATATGGCATCATATACATATATATGATAGAACATAACAAAGATAAACGCTTTCAAAGTAAAATAATACGACGACGTGGATGGAGTAAGAAAATACAGACAGGAGGAAGGAAGCAAAGAGGAAGGAGACCGACATCAACAAACAACAAAGTATTTGTCAAATTTTATTAAACACACAATTTATTGCATAATATAAAAACAACAACAACAACAATATAATAACGTACGGTACGGTATTTTCAAAATAGTTGAAAGACGAGTTGACATATACAAGAAGAAAAAAAAACACACCGTATTATTAATAAAACAGAAATCATTACCATTGCATTTAATAAAACACCCATAAATTCTAAAAAACAAAACAAAAACACGAATTGTCATGCCTGTTTATTTATTGAATTTTTTATAATAATGTGGGGCAAGTTCATCCAACCATCCCTCCTTAATTACGCTTATGTTACGCATAAATATTTTCGATCTTTCATACAATTCCATATAGACAACATATTTCGGCTGAGCAATGGAAAAAATAGACGATTCACGATCGACATAGACTTCGGAAGCACATCGTAAGGTTCTATATGCCCCCGATGGATGTAAATAGGCCACTTTCATAAACAGACCCGATGCGATACAGCGTAAAATTTGCTCAACCGATTTAGATGCAGTTAGGCGTATGTTGTATTTATTAAACAGCGAAGCTATGACGAGTTCGCGCAGTCTATGAACACGCATCAGACTGCTGTAGTTCAAATAGTATTTGCGGCAAAAGTCTCTGCTCAGCATATTTTCGACAAAGGCATTGTAAATATTCAAAAGTGTTATTAGATCTCCCTCTGCTGCTTCAAATTTCCGTTTGGCAATCTGTTTATGACGGTCGGCAATGTTATTGGTGGTCATAATAAATATCGGCTCAATTTGCAGCATACAAACGATGCTTACAATTTCCTCGGAACACAACATTTCCGAGGAATTGAATAGACAACGACTTAATTCTGGCGAAAGAGGGGATTCGGACATGAAATAACCAAGTGGGTCTGTTAACTGTCCCTGATCGTCAAGGCCACCTGTGTACGACAATGATGGGAAAGGAAACAATTAGTTGGTAAATTAATTTGTTGTTGTGCGTCATACCTAAAGCAAACAGACTCTCCAGCGTGGATAGAACATTTTTGGCCGGTGGTGCTGATGGAAAATCAAATCGAAGTATATTATTGACGGCCAACGCCTTTAAATACAAAATAATGGAGCTTAGCTCAGTTCTACGCATCTCTACAACGCTTCTCTCGGCCAGTGTCTGAAAATCTTCCTTGGTATAGAGTCGAAATATTTTCGCCATCCTATGTTTACTCTTCCAGTTGCTACGTAATGTGGCTGTGTGCTTACACACCGGTACAGTTAGGCAATGGTTACGGTTTTCGGATGATTCGTACCACTTCAATTGCATAAAACCACAGTCAATAACTAAAATTACAAATTACACATATGTGGCATAATTACTACATTACTAAAGTTTATGTTCTGTTTCTTTCAACACATACCATAATAGATGCGATCTTGTGACACAGAATTCTGATACAATTCCACAGTAAAGACCACATTTCGTTTTCCCTTGGTCGTGGGGAAGAAAACGGTTTCCCTTTCGTTTCGCATGTGTGACAATTTAAAGTAATTCAAATTGTTGGTATTTTCGCTATCCCTCAGCAGGGTCATGGCACTGGTAATATCCTCTTCGCTAGCCATATAGGCAATGACATCACCATCCAGTGGCCGTTGGGTGTGTATACTGAGAATCGTTTGAATGGTTTTCTGTACATAATCCGCACAGGGTTCTTTCAGATATAAAATATCCTGCACCACACCTTTATTTTGTTGTTCCTCCTCAATGGAGACAATGACACTCCTTATATCCTTGCGGTTTTTGTCTTTCACGGCATTAAAGTATTCCTTGAAGAAATTTGCCTCTTTGGACATTGATACCAGAATTAATTTTAACGTTGAACGTTTTCTAATGATTTTCTTCAGAATTGCCAGTATTGTGTCCGTTAGAACAGACCGCTTCAGGGCATCGGTCATAACGATAACGCCATAATTTGTTAACAGTGGGTCGCTGAGCAGTTCTTTGAGCAGACACTCCTCGGTTATACTCTGCATGTATGGAGAATGGAGGGAAATGTTGTATCGTAAAGACTCAATTCATTATTTTGAGAATGGCAACAACAAACTTACGACAATCTTGGAATAAGTACTTATGGATTTTTTTCCAAAACAATATTTTTCTGCGGGCGAAGAGAATGCATAGTTACATGACTCAACAAAACCGATGGCACCTTTCGAGTTCCAACCCAGTTCCTCCAAATACTACAAGAACAAAAAGTATACGATTACATTTCTGGCCAAAGCGACCGACCGACACGACCGAAAACAACCTGTAAACAATCTCCCCACCGATTGAATTAACATATTTCCATGCAATAAGAAAACAAACGCTGTTCGACTTATCGGTTATTATCCAAAATATCATATACATATATATTATATTTTACAACATTTACATACATTCACATTATTAACACATCAATTGCAATAAGAAAAAACATTAATAGTAAAGAATAAAGAAAATGGTTAAAAATAAAAATAGATAAAATCGGTTTTTGTTGTTGTTGTGGTTTTATCAGAAAGACGTTATGTTGCCACTGCTCATCGTGTTGTAGATGAAATTATGCGCCTCCAGTAGATGCATTTCCGTTATGCAAATGCACACGAGGAGTATTATGTAGCCACTGTACTGGATGGCCTTAAGGAATTCAAAGAGCTTGTCGCAGAATATGCTCAGCAGGACGCAGTGCATCAGCGAGTGGACATTCACAATGCGCCACAGCCACGCGACACAGAAGAACCACGTTGATTTGAAGACGATTTGCTGATAGGACATTTGGGCGGGTGTGACATCAGTACGCTCCAGCATATTCTGATAGACAGCGATGTAACGATTCCATGCTGTGGAGCTGAGCAGCAGCTGACCTGTGAAGCTGATAACCTTCTTGGCTACCTTGCGTGTGGTGGGCTTTATTTTGGTCTTCGTTGGAACGTCGGCTCGCGTATCGACCATTGGCAATTGCAGGTAGCCGCGGCGTGGTGGATTGTTTTTCAAATAGAAAAACATGCCCAAGAGCAGGGCAATGCATCCCAGACCATCGCAAATGCCGTCGACATAGTAACCGGTAGTCCCCACTTCGGAGCGTTCGCCGCGTATATTCTTTTTAACACGCGCCACATGACCGTCCAGGTCATCGAGGAAGGTACGGAACTGGAATAAAACCACACCCAATCGTCTATATCCCAGGCTGTCCGAGGACACCAGTTTGCCAGCAACACATGCCACGCCCACATGGAAAAATGATATCATATTGGCCGTTATGAATGAGGATCTCGAGAAGCCAATAACATTGTCGAAGACGGTTGCCAACGGCGCAAACACATAGTGATTTGTGTGATCCAAGAGAATGGCTTTCACCGTAACATGGCACAATGGATTGAGATCACAACGCAGCCAAGTCTGTGATTCGTACGTCACTACATCACGCTGAGGTATATCGGTGGTTGTGTTGAAGTGATAATTTCTTTCTAGGGGATAATTTTGTATACGCAGGTACAACTGGACATCCATATATATATAGAAAATTATGAGTAGTATCAGCAGTCCCAGTAATATTTTGCTGATTTTACTGCTAGGGCCAACCATATTGCCTGGAAAATATGACAACTGCTTACAACGATAATCAAGCAACAGCAAATAGAGCACAGTGTAGCTTAGCTGCAGCAGCAAGATTTTTTAATTATGACAATAATTGTATATTCTTCTTGCTATCTTCTATGTAGTTGAGGAAGAATCCTTTCATAGATGACAATGTCACTAAACAACAATGTCCAATGGTATCTGCAAAGCAAACAAGGATGAGGATTATCATATCACATTATAACAAAATACATAAGTATGTTGTGTGTTTATTATGATGAATGTAATGTACGTATGTATATAAATGTGTAAACAAAATTACAATCAATCATTTCAACTTAAAAAAATAATCATTTTGGGTTGAGATTGTCACAGATTTCGGTCGTGTTGTTTGGGTTGAATAGATTAGATAGGGCGAGAGAGAGCAGTAATAATATATGTTACCTGTATCAATTCTATATTCCCTAGACCACCACTATCTGTTGCTAAAATAGTTATTTGAAATTTCTCCAAACAATAGAGTATGTTGTTGATGGAATTCGAATTGACGACTTTGCTTGAGGAAATGTTGTCCATCGCTTGTTTCTTGGCTGATTGTGATATTAATCTGTAATAGTTATTTATAGATTTATATTTCATTAGGACTCGCCGTTGTTGTTTGTTGTTAAAAGGCAAATTCTAAAAATGAACCACTAATTACCGGCTTCTCATTACAAATCATAAGGGAACAGTCGTGGGGCTTGTAACACCAGAAATAACTACCTTACCCGCAGCAACACAATCTACACAAAAGGGGGTCAATTAGCCGATAAAAAGTCGTTTATTACCACTAATTAATTAATAATGGCACCACCACGACCACAACCACACACACAGTGGCCAGTCAGTGCCAGTATCTGCAATTGCGTTCTCTAATTTATAAATACACGGCTGGTATGTATGCAAAGCCCCAAAAATTGGGGCATTTATTTACAGCAAAATTCTGCTAACGGATTAGCAGAAATGCTTCTAAATGCTTAATCTGATACTACTTCAGTGAATTGTTTTGAAAACATTACATTTACACTGACTCGACTGTACAACCAACCAATCGACCCTACCGATGATGATTGGTCATTCTTCACAAAAATGTTACTCCTCCTCCTTCTCCTGAAAATTGTCAAATGCAACAGTTGTGGGAGTTGCCTTTGTTCGTTCTATTTTTATTTTATTTATTCATTTGTTCTCCATTAGCACTTGGCCACTTTAGATATTTAGATGATGATCTGATCTACTGCTACTTCGATTTCCATTTCGCTCACCTGAATAGAACTTTGCTCGTTCATTAAGTGGATTCATTACTCTGTCACTGCTAATGCTGACACATTTTCAAACAATCGGTGCGACACTCTACTAAACGAAATCTTCTCCGTAAAATAAACGATTTGATGTGATTTACTTTTTCTTTTTTGCTTTATTAAAGATAATATTATTTAATTAATTAACACAACTAATAAAAAATATGAATAAAGAATGCGTGCGTTCAACACAAAAAACTTCGCCATATTGAAAATAATGACAATTGGTCAAGCAGCATAACAGAGGCGTTGACAGTGTATGCCCCTTGTGGGAATGATAAATAAATGACAGTCATTGCATTAATAAATTATTTATTTGAGTAATTTTTATTTATTTATTTTCATAATGGATTTATGTTAATACTATTTGCAAAATGTCATTAATAAATCCATTCTTTTATATAAATTTGTGGTAAAATTGTTTTTTTGTTTTTAGAGAAATTTACTCCCTAAATTCTCGACTCTCTTTGGCTACGTTACTGATACTTGTCATGTATCATACCATTTCATACATCACTGTAATCAGCTGTTTTGCGGTTATGTTTCATTAGTCACTTTGTTGCGCTTGAAAATGTGTGGGTAAGTCTGCTTTTCCACAGGCAAATTTTTATTTGGCAAATACTAAGTTTGTAGGCGAGAGGGGTGCGAGGAAGAAAAACAAAAATTTGCCTGTTCAGAATTTGCCGTACACGCAAATTCTGCTTTGCTCTGTTCGTTGAAAACAATTTTGTTGACATTTTCTTTTGAACCTACTCGCTTTACTGACACATAGGCGGCTTTTGTTTACAAACCTGTTGCTTTAATTTGTGCAAGTGAAATTTAATTTTTAATTTTTGCAATTGATATAATAAAATATATACAAAATAAATAAAATGTTAAAAAAATCTCTAAAATGCATACACTTTTGACGTTTTTTTTCTTTCTTTTGTATTTTGATTCGCAAATTTGGAAAAAGAAAAATTTGCTAATGGAAAAGCAAGCGAAAATTTCAAAAGAGAAAACAAAAAAATTGCCAAATAAAAATCTGCCTGTGGAAAAGCGGACTAATTGATATTTTTATATATTTATTAATAATTGACACAATGGTCAAGAATTGTTTTGCAAATAAACATATACACCTTAACATTATCGGCTAAAGAAGAAGAAGTAATTCATCAACATTGCGCTTAAACGTCAACTAAATGACTGGTAGCATATATTTTCAACTTGTCAAAGGCATTGCCAACATGAAATAATGTTGTAACGTCTATACCGGGTTTTCGTTTTTTAAACATTATTTTATGTAATGAATCACAATAGATTTATGTGTAATTTGGAATCTTGGCATTTAAGATTTCAGACATATTTCTTGAATAGATTTTATTCAATATTTATTTATTTTATATTTCACAATGCCCAGTCTTTCGACCATAAGGCTGTATACTAAATTTCACAATTAAATATAAATTTTATCATCAATATAATAATATTAATTAATACTATTAATATTTATAATAATATTAATACAAAATTCGTTACTAAACATAGAATTTATTATTTATTTGAAAATATAGAACAACATCGAAAAGGAATGGAATAATGGTTGGCGATGTGCGCCTTAAAGTAGGCAACAGTAATACATATTTAACCCTAATTTGTCACGTTGATTTGCTGGAAAAAGAAAGTATTGGCTAAAAATACAATAAACTATTCATACATACAATTTACCTTTTTTAAATGATTGCTGTATGTCAGATGCCTTGACATCTGGGCGCACAATAAAGCAGTCAATAAAGATTTAGGTTAATAAATTTATTTTCTAAAGCTCTCTTTATATGTATTTATACTTGCGGCGGCTCCACATCCCCCACCATGGCCTTCAATTCAATTGTGATTTCAATGAATCTCTTAATTGTTAACTCTCTGATTCATTAATAGCTCATCCAAATGAGCAAACAACGTATGTATATCTAGCCAGCCAGTCAATTTACCATTTAAAATTTATTAATTGATAAAAACCAGTTATTCTCATTGACAAAAACTTTTACTTTCGCAAATATGAATTTTTAAACCTGTGAATTGCATTTAGAATGAACGAACGTCGTCTGTCTGTCCAATAAAATGCGGGGTGACTCCGTTGATGTGATGTCATCAACAATAATAAATTAATACCAGTATGACAAATTTTGTTTACAAAATCGTGGCTCTTGTTTATTGGACAAAATACCACCACTCTCTGACGTCATGGCTTCATAATTTGTGTCAATACTCGACAAAAATCTCAAAAGGGTGGCAGTAGACAGCGTCTTTTTACTACCATTTTTATTGTGCGTGCTATTTTGGTGGTGTCTCCAAATAAATTTCTATGTTGGGGAGACACTTCATGTTGCATTTATTGGCGGCGCGACCAATGCCATGCCGCGCCACCATGACATCAGCAGAAGTTAGACATTTTTGTTTTGTACGCAAAACAAGGTTCATTGAACGCAACTCTATAAACGGAACAAATGACATACATGGATAGGAAGACGGATGGGTGAATGGATGAGGGGTAATTGGATTTGGGGCCGGCAATGAGTCATACACCGCCGCCTCGTCCGCCTTTCATTCTAAGCAAACGCGGAATTGCATGTTTGTTTTCGTTCTTCTTCCTATCACCACCACACTATTTTACTATTACGGTAAATTCGCAGCAATATTCGCTTAAATGACTGACTACGCCCAATTGCCATAACCTGAGAAACAGGCTAACCACCAAACAAGCACCTCAGCCCGCCCAGCTGCTAGTTAGCCGGCAGAAATAGATAGGCTAGCCTAATTACAACGAAATTAATGAAATTTGGGGAAAGGAGGAAATAAGAATACTATATGCGGAATTTTATGTTAGATTAGAACATTATTTTTTATTTGTTATTTTCGAAACTTTTCTCTTGTTTTAAGATGTTGGATTGGTTGGTTGTTGTTGTTGGTAGTTTAGTTTTCTTCCACTTCAGCCTCTTGTTCTTCTTCGAATTCGGCATCTTCGTCAGCGGTAGCTTCTTGGTATTGTTGGTATTCGGAGACCAAGTCGTTCATGTTGCTTTCGGCTTCTGTGAATTCCATTTCGTCCATACCCTCACCAGTGTACCAATGCAAGAAAGCCTTTCTGCGGAACATAGCAGTGAATTGTTCGGAGATACGCTTGAACAATTCTTGGATAGCGGTCGAGTTGCCAATGAATGTTGCCGACATTTTCAAGCCTCTGGGTGGGATGTCACACACGGCTGTCTTTACGTTGTTGGGGATCCATTCGACGAAGTAGGAGCTGTTCTTGTTCTGGATGTTAAGCATCTGTTCGTCGACTTCCTTCATAGACATACGGCCACGGAAGATGGCAGCTACGGTCAAGTAGCGACCATGACGTGGATCACAAGCAGCCATCATGTTCTTGGCGTCGAACATTTGTTGTGTGAGTTCGGGGACTGTGAGAGCGCGGTATTGTTGCGAACCTCTGGATGTAAGAGGAGCAAAACCAGGCATGAAAAAGTGAAGACGGGGGAAGGGAACCATGTTGACGGCCAATTTACGGAGATCAGCATTCAATTGGCCGGGGAAACGCAGACATGTAGTTACGCCAGACATGGTCAGCGAAACCAAATGGTTCAAATCGCCGTATGTGGGTGTGGTAAGTTTCAAGGTGCGGAAACAGATGTCATAGAGGGCTTCATTGTCAATGCAGTATGTTTCGTCTGTATTCTCAACCAACTGATGTACGGAGAGTGTGGCGTTGTAGGGTTCTACAACTGTATCAGATACTTTGGGGGAAGGTACAACGGAGTATGTGTTCATGATTCTGTCGGGGTATTCTTCGCGGATCTTTGAGATGAGCAAGGTACCCATACCGGAGCCGGTACCACCGCCCAAAGAATGTGTCAATTGAAAACCTTGTAAGCAGTCGCATGACTCAGCCTCTTTCCTTACAACATCTAAGACAGAGTCGACCAACTCTGCACCTTCTGTGTAATGGCCCTTAGCCCAGTTGTTGCCGGCACCAGATTGGCCGAAAACGAAGTTGTCTGGGCGGAAAATTTGTCCGAATGGTCCTGAACGAACTGAATCCATGGTACCGGGTTCTAAATCGACCAAGACAGCACGGGGTACATATTTGCCACCAGAGGCTTCATTATAGTATACATTGATGCGTTCCAATTGCAAATCACTGTCGCCATGATAGGCACCAGTGGCATCAATGCCATGTTCGTCGGAGATGATTTCCCAAAACTGAAAAAAAGTAGAAGAAGAAAATAGAAATGTATTACAATTCAATTAAAAGGTAATGGAATAGAAAAGGGTGTAATGCAGTACTACCCTACCCCAAACTATTCTACTTATGTATTCTTATATATATGTACTAATGGTATATAGAGAATTGGTGCAGCGTTATACTAACACACCTTTTATATATACATTTTATTACATCGTAGTATGTATATATGTGGTGGTGGTACGTGGTGGTCGGTAGGTCTTTGCAGACTATTAAAATTCAGATGAGTCACCCGGCGTCGACTGTGTCCTTACACAGCCTTGCAGACTGTCGGCAGCAGTCAGCCCGGGGGTTGAAAAAAAAAAAAAAACAGTTCACATGGCAACTGCAAAATAACAATGACTCACAACAGGACATTTTCATGGCTTTATCGATTTACTCTTTTTCCTTAGCAAACAGGCAAGCAACATGACCTTAATAACCAAAAGAAAAGTAGGTATACATAATATTTCAAGGCAGTGGAAAAGAAAAAAATGTCCCATCATCTCTCCTCGCTCTTCTTAATAAAGACAACGAGCAGGCCCGGCCCAGTCGTAAAACAACGACAGCAGAGCAGCAACAGCTAGAGACGACGGTAGTTAAGCCCACAACAAATGCCACAAACAACTTCAAGAAAACTACATTCATTGGTTCTGCTGTTGCTGCTGACATCACCTTTTCATATACCCATAAATGGAGAGTTAACCCAGCCAGGCCAGCAATGCAGTCAATCAACCAATTTATGTAGGTTGATGGTGGCTGTTATTGAATACAATAACAAGCTACAACAACAATAATAATAAAATAAGCAAGCTTGAACAGATGTGCGTCGAAATGACGGCATCTTACGTAGGAGTCGAGTTTTAATCTAGATATGTTTGTTTGTCTATTGTCTACCAACCAAAACAACTTTAACCACCAATTACTCAGTTTTTGCGGAGGTTGAATTCAATGAAAAAGGTCATCAAAGTCTGAGATCACCACGCCATATGGTCGTCGTCGCCGTCTGTCTAAGCCAGTCTTATGTTGGTGGGCTTACTCCTCTGCATTTTCCCCCACAACCAAGAAAAGAAAAAAAAACACAATTTTCCCATCCCACTGCAGTTTATGGAAATCTACATAATTGCTTGCCCCCGCTGCCGCTTCATAGAATAGAAATCTATAGCAGAATTATCAGTAGTAAAACAGGCAGCAAGTTATGCAAAATGATGTCATCAAAGCTAAAAGAAGGGAAAATAGCCAAGCACACGCACACAACTACACTTCTAATTCATGGAGTTGTTATTTTTTATTTCGCCGTGAAGAATGTTAGGCTTCTTCTCGAACAACTTGAGTTTATTTAAAGCATTAGAGTATTAGAAGAAGGGGCAAGAAAAGTAATTAAGAAGAATTTCATTGGCTAGTCTAAGAGGCTACTTTTAGAAATGTTTTTACTTGTCGTCCGTTCGTCAGATGTGTTTGGCATTCCAGTGCAGATGTTTTTTTTTTGCCTTTTTGTTTCTGAAATGGTTCTATATACTAACACCACACCACAGTCTGCTGCTGCAGCTTGCTTCTAACCTACCCCTCAACATTTACAGTTACATCAGTAAACCGCACCCAAAGGCCGACAAATTTGCCGACAATCTTTTCCAGAGTACATAAATATGTGTACCTACCCAACCGACTACTTGGCAAAATTCAGTTGCTAAAAACAACAAGAGAAACTAAAAGAAAGTAGGAAAGCGGCGCCGCCCGGCTTTTTCTTCTTATCGAAACGAAAAAAATATATGAATCATTTTTTTGTGCGCGAGAGTGTGTTTGTGCTTGCGTTTTAGCTGCTGCTTCGCCGTTGTTAATTGCTAAGCAAATTTCAATTTGCCATTTTTTGCCATCTAACTTTCGTGTTAGAGAGTAATGCAAATCTTACATTTTTTTTCGCTAAACAACTGTACTTGAGCTTATTTGCTTTGCTCTGCTTGCTTTTGCCATTCGCTGTTTTCATAGTTCATTTTTTTTCTTGTTTCGTTTTGTTTAAAAAACTTCAACGAATAACATTTTTTAGATACCGGCCAATTTGTCGGTCGAAGAGAAAAAGACAAAAAGAAAAAAAAAAACAAGTTTTGCACATTGCGGCGTCACCATATATCATATTATAAAAATAGCGGCATTATTAGCAAGCAAAAGAAGATAGTGCTACAAAATGGCGACGAGATGATGATGGTGACTGACTGCCGCTTACTTGTACATAAAACAGTGAAAATTTAAAGAGAAAAACTAACAAAAACACTCAACCTTTCACTTTGCGAATTAAAAACTTATTTTTTTTATTTGAAAAAACCCGAAAAAGAAAAGATATTTTATCTTATACATACCTTAGCTCCGATTTGGTTTCCGCATTGACCGGCTTGGATGTGTACAATTTCCCTCATGTTGAAGTATTTGGTTTATTTAATAAGTTACAATATATAATAAAAAATGCAAATTTGACAAAACTTTCTACGCACAACCACAATGGCGAACTGTCAAACACTTTCTGAAATAAAGAACCCGAAGCGATTTGCTTTTATGCACGGCAGCAACGCCCAAGCAATTGCGCCAACGCCAACGCTTTTGCAGAGCAGAATGCTGCTTTGCAGAACCAGGGTTGTATTTCTCAAATTTCTGCTACTTTCCGAAATCAACCGGGGACAGGGTCGTCTTTTGGGCAAAACTAAATGTTTTGATGTGGCAACGCTAGAGAGTAACAGGAAAGAACGCAGTACAAATTGTAAAATTATATAAATAAAAAAATTGATTTCTGTAGGTTTTGGAACCAATAAAAAATTAGTAATTGATAGTGTGTACACCGCTTAATGATCATAGTATACATTTTGTCTGTTCCCGTACTCAAAAAGATTAAAAGTTGGGAAATTTTTAAAAGGAAAATGAAAAGAAAAATTGAAATCTGGGACAGTGCAATTGTTATTAATATTGAAGGTCACACATTATAATTCTAACATTTATTGATTTCAGAACCCACACACTAGTTTTGGCTGAGAAAACTAAACAATCTCAAATGTTTATAATTCCAGAAGAAATTTGTTATTGAGGATTTTAGGGTCACATATAGGGAAGTATGGACTTACTGTAAATAAATTGAGGAGAAAACAGATGAAAATTACATTCTACATTTTTAAATTAGGAAATATTATATTTTTTCGTAATATTCGGTATATAAATAAAAATATGACCTTTTCGTTAAATCATTACATTTATTGAAATATTTAAATTTTAATTTCAATTGTATTCAATGAATACGTTCAATATAAAATTATGTTACTTTTACATATATTGTTTATTTATTGATAATAGCAGCATTGACAGTTGACGAGTCCCTACAAATTCTAACTGCGAAAATGTACCTAATAATGTTTTACAAATAGCATCATGTGATAATTATTCAGTTGTTTGCCAGTCAGATGTGAACATTTTACAATTCTTGGAGCAAAAGTTATTACAAAACGAAGAGACCAAGGCCTATATAAAGTCGGACAGTAAGCACAGCTGAGTATTAAGTTAGAGCACGTTTAGACTACTAAATCCACTCAATCTCAAACGTCAATTCCATCGCGTTTACGTCACGTTAATCCTGTTCACAAATCCAGTGGATTATATTAACGAATACGCTGTCTGCTTTTCCACAGGCAGAATTTTATTTGGCAAATTTTTTGTTTTCTCTTTTGAAATTTTCGCTTGCTTTTCCATTAGCAAATTTTTCTTTGCCAAATTTGCGAATCAAAATACAAAAGAAAGAAAATAAAAGTCAAAAGTGTTTGCATTTTAAAGATTTTTTTTAATATTTTATTTATTTTTTATATATTTTATTATATAAATTGCAAAAATTAAAAATTAAATTTCACATGCACAAATTAAAGCAACAGGCTTGTAAACAAAAGCCGGTTGTGTGTCAGTAAAGCGAATAGGTTCAAAAGGAAATGTCAACAAAATTGTTTTCAACGAACAGAGCAAAGCAGAATTTGCGTGTACGGCAAATTCTGAACAGGCAAATTTTTGTTTTTCTTCCTCACACCCCTCTCGCCTACAAACTCAGTATTTGCCAAATAAAAATTTGCTTGTGGAAAAGCAGACTATGGAATTGACATTTGAGATCGAGTGGATTTCGTAAATCTAAACGTACTATTAATTATTAAGTAAACTTATGTTAGACATCAAAACGAAAATATTAATATTTTGTCAAAATTCAATTCAATTTAATTTTATATCGTGTTTTTAAATCAATCTTGGACTATTTCTTTTGATTTTAAAGAAAAATTTCAAGTAAATTATCTTATAAAATGTGTTTTGTTTTGGTTGTGTTTTTTTATTGAAAGGCGAAATTATTAGTTTTCGCCTTAGGAAAAAAACTGACGTAAAATTTATGTTTTCTATATGAATTCGCGACTGACCGAAAAGTTTAATAGTAAAGAAAGTAAAAGGGAATAATTTCAAAATCGCTCTCAAAGTACAAAAAAAAAAAAAAAATTGAAAAGTTCTTGAACAAAAATCTAGTAAATATTAGATGCTAATACCTCAAAATCAATATAACAGCCGATCAGAAGTTGACATTCCTATTTACGATTTTTATTTGGACAAAATTTTCGAGTCAAAAGCTTACAAAGAGAACGTCATTTTGTTTTGTGTTCTCTTAAATTTGGTTCAATGTTTTACCAGGAACGGTTTTCGAGCAAATAGTTGCAAAACTTGTCAAATTAGTAGATTCTTTTAGGTTCTGGAACGGAACGTTAGTAATATTGCACATGGTACATCGAATTTCAGGTAGAAATAACGCACTTGGATAGTTAACCGATTCGTCAGCTGCGCTAAATGGACTACGTTGTTATTGTGTCATAGTTCAATCCATGGCACTATGCATAGTTAGTCCATTTAGAGCAGCTGATGTCTTGATTAACTGTCAAAGTGCGTAATTTCTACTTGATTTCGATGCAAAATGTTGCCATTCATGGTTCAATCCATGATCCAAAAATAAGGTGATGTATCAAAACATGAACCTTTGTTTTTGTCTCGACCATCTGTTAAAGTGTTCCTTATAATATTTCACATGGTTGACAACATTGCACATCGAATTCAAGTAGAAATTACACACTTTGAGAGTAAATTGAAACATCAGCAGCGCTAATACGGCATTTACATTACAACTTTTTACCGGGTTAACCTACTTTATGAGGATTTATTTGGCATATATTCAAAGGAATTGAAAATTTAAACCCACTGAGTTAACCAAATCCGGTTCAATGTAAACGACCTTTAAATGGGCTACCTTTTTATTGTGTCATGTAACTTTTGTTTTTGTCTCGATTATCTGTCAAATTTTTCCATATAATATTTCAAATGGTTGGCAACACTGCACATCGAATTCAAGTAGAAATTATCCACTTTGACAGTTAAGAAGACATCAGCTGCGCTAAATGGACTACCTATTCATTGTGCCATGGTTCAATCATTTCACCGTGTTATCATTTTTCAGTGATTACCGTCGTTATGCAGTTAAACTAAACTATAATTTCCATTGATTTGCACATTTATTAGTTAAACAACGATTTTTAGAACCCTAATATCTGAGTGGACTGTGGATCAGATCTTCATACTTTCAAAAAAGAAAAAGAAGAAAAAAAATTGATCGCTGTTTAAGATGTTGTCTTTGAAATAAATTTATTAAAAACTATTTTAAATGTAATGAAAATATTCCGTAGTTCGTTTTATGTTTATTTAATTATCTACAGAATTCAATCGTATTTGTTGCGTCGTATAAAATATGGAGGTAAATATTTGTGATTTGCCAAATGCCAATGACTTGTTGCAACATTCAACACTGCCACAAACGTTTGAAACTTGCCACGACAACCATCCAACCGATCGATGGACTTGTGAAGAAAGTTGCAGACCGACAGACAACAATAATAATAAATTTCCATCAAAATCATCAGCAGCATCAATTGATTATAACTCATTCATGATAAAACAATACTGTTACCGTTATTTTGATAATGAGCATGTTTGTTTGTGTGTTCATGTGTGTGTGTGCGTGAATATTTATGTTTTCTCTCGTTTATTTAGATAGGCAATAAAAAACCTTTGTGTTTTGTCCCAATTAATACCCTGAGTGATGTCCAACCCATACGTTGTTGTTCGTTCAGTGAAGATGGCCTACTTTATGCTGTGGGCTCCAATTCCAAAACATTACGCATTTGCCTGTATCCCCCTCATATTAACAACATAACGTAAGTGTGTAGTAATTTATTTATTTTGAATTCGTAATAATAAAATTGGTCTGATTTGAAATCTATCTATAGCAAACCCACACAAACAAGTGTAATATTCAAACGCACCAAACACCACAAGGGATCCATCTACTGTTTATCTTGGTCCAAAGATGGACAATTTATTGCCAGTGGTTCGAATGACAAGACCATCAAAATAATTAAATACAGCAGTGAAAACAAGCAGTTGGAGGGCCGTGAACTCGAGCTGACCATGCATGATGGCACAGTTCGAGATCTATGTTTTATGAATGAATCTTCCAATGAAAGAAAGGTGCTGGTCAGCGGTGGTGCTGGCGACTGTAAACTGTACATAAGTGATTGTGGAGTCTTAACACCAATGCAGGCATATTCTGGACATTCTGGTCATATATATTCGTTATATAGCTGGGAAAATAATATGGTGGTGACGGGATCGCAGGTATGAATCTGTAGTTCTATAACACGTATTACCTTATTTTAATAAATTACTTTTTATGTTTGGTCAATTTTCTAGGATAAAACTATTCGTTTTTGGGATATACGTGTGCCGGAATGCATTAATAGTGTGTTGCCCTGTAGCTATTACGATGCAATGGGTTCTCCGGTGACAGCAGTTTGTGTTGATCCCACGGGCAGATTGTTGGTTTCAGGGCATGAAGATGCTTCCTGTGTGCTGCATGACATACGACGTAATAGGCAAATACAATGTTTCCAACCACATTCGGCTGATATACGGTAAGATTTATCTGTGTGGTGTGGTAATTTGTGTTGCATTTGCTGCATCATGCCCCTTCTATTTTGCAGATCAATACGTTTCTCGCCTTCGGCTTATTATTTGCTGACCTGTGGATATGACAATAAAATAGTTCTTACCGACTTGCAAGGTAATTTGACATTATCGCTACCATCGGTTGTGGTAGGCGAGCACAGTGACAAGGTAATATCAGCCAGATGGCATCCCAGAGATTTTTCAATACTAACAACATCGGCTGATAAAACTGCCAAATTATGGGCTATACCAAATATCTGAGGAGGATAGTTTCGTGTACTATGCCAAATAGAAAAGACAGAAAGAAAGAACATGAGGTATGGATGTCTTAGATGTAACTTAGATGCAAGCAATCCAAAAGTCTGTTTAGTAATAAAAGTAAAGGATGATTTCCACTTCTCCACTCTCATCTGAAAGAAAGAGAGGACTGCCTGCCCTTTTTATAATTAGTATTTATAGGTGTAGATTCTAAGCTTATTTATTATTTTTATTATTACTATAGCTATCTGGCAACAAAGAACATTCCCTGCTGTCCGTCCTTCAATAAAAAACAAACAAAATAACAAATGTAAACATTCTTGTTTTGGTTAGTTGTATTATTATTTGCACATTACTTTATTAAGTGATTTTTGTAGAATAAACCTATAACAATTCATACTGACGAAGGTGCATTCTTTGAATTATGTCTCGACAATCATTGAATACTCGCTTGATATTCTCAGTATCTACAGCACATGTAAAATGGGGATAGCAATAATGTTTCCCATCACCACTAGCAGTAGATATACGCTAAAATGTACAAAGCCAAAATTAGAAGAAGAATGAATTTCAAAATTAAATGATCACAAAATAATAAATCATAAATGACGTACCAAAAACTCATCACGTATGAAATACTTGGCTCTTATGACTTCAGGATCATCTCCAGACTCGATTATTGCATCACCTATAAAAAGAAGAGAGAGAATCGAAATGTATTTCACCATGAGTTTGAAAATTGGGGAGTTATTACTTACTTGGTGTTTGATATTTATTGAACTCGGCAAAATAATCCGAGAGTTTACTTTTACCAGCTTTAATTTTTTCAGCTAACAAATCTTGTTTGTTGAGAAATAGAATAACCGATATTGTACGCAACCATCTAAACAAAAAGATAAATGAGCGATGTATGTTGTTGTTGTTTATTTAATATATCAAATTTTGTAGTGACAAACCTGTTATTCCAAATGCTTTTAAATAGTTCCAAGGATTCCCGTAATCGATTTTGTGTTGGATCCTCACGTAAAACCATATTATAGCTAGAACATGCGGTTACAAAAATAATTGCAGTAACGTCATTAAAGCATTGTATCCACTTTCGACGTTCATCCCTTTGGCCTCCCACATCAAACATGCTGTAATTAGAATCATCATCAAATCCTCGCTTCATACAAAACTAAATAGTGTCATGAGAGAGCACTTACTGAAAATTGACTTTGTCAACTTGAAATCTTGTTTCAAAAATACCAGAAGTTAGTACACGACACCGCAAAATATCCTGTTCATTAGGTGTGTAGTTAGGTTGTTTTATTATGCTTACTCGATCCAAGAAGCTATAGAACAAAAACAAATGAAACAAAATTTATATTTTTTACACATTTCCGAATTTTTGTTGTTTGTTATTTGGGCACTTACTACTTTGCACAATCAATTAATTGATATTCATTTGATCTTTCATAAGTCGCCAATACACCTCTATCCTTCCATAATTCTTCTGTGTGCTCATAAAATTCTGGGGGATAGTTGAAATCAGGACCTGCATTTGAAGAAAATAATAAATAAATTAATGTTAAATACATGCACATCATTTTTAGGGTGTGGTGGTATTTTCTGTTTCTACTCACTTGAAGCATAATCCTGTATGTACTCGACTCTGATCTCGTTTTCCTTTTTCTCTAAAGGTATAGGTGGATTCAATGTGCTCATTGCACCAGTAATAGTCTGTGGAAGGTAAAATAAAATTATATTCAATTAAATTTTAGGAAGGGTAGGATAATAAATAAAATATAAGAGTTTAAATAAATGAAATATATAAGTTAATAGAAAGTGACGGATGTGATGGCTTTATCAGAGGCCAGTTGAAAGTCTGAAGCTAGAATCTTGAATTTGGAATTCCCAAAAAGATTGACCTAAAAGCGAAACAAACCAATTTCATATAATTTTTCTATACCCTACATTATAGTATTTCGTTTTTCTGATTGCAACTCATCGAAATAATCATTTCCGACCCTATAAAGTATATATATTCTTTATCAGCGTAAAATTCTAAGACGATCTACGCATGTCCGTCTGTACGTTCGTTTGATGTAATCACTATAGCGTCTAAACGAATTGAGATAGATCACCAAAATTTTACATAGAGTCGTCTTTTGTCTGCAGGCAGGTCAAGTTCGAAAATGGGATATATCGGTCCACATTCCGTCATAGCTACCAAATAAATAAGGGTACCCCACAATTTTCAACCGAATTCCCTGAAATTTGGTACATTGGGTTCTTATTGGGCACCAAATATATCCACTAAAAATTATAAATATCGGTCTTCTTTTTCTGGTAGCCCCCATATAACTATACCCCCAATTTTTCAACCGAATTTGCTGTATTTTAGTACTTAGAGTTCTTATTAAGTAGCAAATCTCTCCACTAAAAATTATACATATAGGTCATTTTTTTCTGGTAGCCCCCATATAAGGGTGCGTTTTCAACCGAATTCGCTGAAATTTGGTATTCTGTAGTCGTATATGGTAACAATTCTACCTACCAAAAATACCAATTTTATATTAAAATAGTTAGTTTATTCGCTCAAAATGTTGGGTTGTCCCCATATAGGCGTATTCTGCCATAGTATGGGAGATAGGTAGTCAGTTTTTACCCTACAAAGTGTGGAATTCTAAGACGATTTAGCCTTCTAAAGATATCGTGATAAAAAACTCGAACCTGACGATAATGAAATATATCGGCAGACATTTAGGCATCTCCTCCATATAATGATACCTCCGAAAGGAAAGAATTGAGATACAAAGCTAAAATATTGGGTTCGAAATTGACATACATCGGTTATTAATTATGCATAGCTCACATGTAATTATTTCCTCAAATATTCGCTAATTCCTAAGCTATGTAATCAGTATTGGTCCATATTTAGGCATAGCCTCTTATAACTTTACATTCTAAATAGCTGTAGGTCCACTTTTTGTTATGTTCCCTATATTTTCATTTCAAGTACCTGTCAGTATACCTATGGTGGAGGGGGTATCCAATGTTCGGCCCGGCCGAACTTAACGCCCTTTTCACTTGTTATAATTTGCTATATATAGCCACCAACCATCACACTTAACTCACCAAGATAGCATCACGGATATTCTTTTTGATGTCATCGATTTTTTGTTTTTTCTCCTGCTCTGAAAAACCATCCACATGCAATATGCGCATTTGCTTGACAATTGTTGATTTTCCAGATTCACCAGCTCCTAACAACAATAGTCTATGGGTGGCCCGATAGAGTTGTTTGTCCTTTTGTAATTGTTTGGAAATTGCATCACTGCGTCGCTTCTGACTCCTTGTATCTTCGGAATTTATATCGGATTGCTTAGAACTGGGTGAACCAAAGCAGCCCATTGCAGACCAAGGTATCCACCAACACGCTTCTCTGCCTTCTTGGGTACCGTCGGGAGACTCAGCGCCCCCGTTTTCTTCGTTTTGAGCCAGTCTAAATAAGCTCCTCTTAACTTATGAAGTTTTCTCAAATATTTTTGCTGTCTGCTGAGTGTGTGTGTGAGTTTTAAGATTGTTGTTGTTTTTTGGGTGTCCTAGTTGTTAAGCCGCCAGTTTGATAAATAAATATTGTTGTATTTTGTTGTTGTAGCTTCTTCCTTTTCTTTTTTTGTTGCTGCCGTTCGTCTTTCTCCTTCTTATTTTTGTTGTTGTAACATACACAAGCGTCGTTATAGTAAAATGTTGCAAATTAATTGTAGTAATTGTTCTGTTGTGTGTTCGTTCCTCCCCACTGTCCCCCGTTTGTTTGTGTGTGTGTCTATTCTTTGTATTTGTGTCTTTCAATAGCTTTAGGTACAGACGATTAGATTTGTGCAATGAAATTTGTGCTATGTTAAATCTGAAAATAAAAAATAAAATTAAAACAATTGCAATTAGTTAATTTAAAATAATCAGTCTGTCAGCAATGTTTGTATGAATTTAAGGCGTTTGCGCCCAAAACATAATGGCAAGAATCCGTAGTAACAGGTTGCAAATAGTAAGAAAAAACGTATACATGTAAAACGACAACAAATAAACATTTAGCCACAAAGCCAAGACTCCTTTCGAGGATTTTGTGTGGGAAAAATTCTTGAACATATCAACAGAACCAACAATTCTCTCCGTTTGGATACTAGTAGTTTCAATATTTTAGATTCGAATTTCATTTTCGTTTCCAATATGAACTACTGTTTGAATGTTAAGTAAAGAGAAATGTTAAAACAAGAACCTGTTATTATGATAACAATTTTTCAGTTTCAGAAAAAATAGTAAAAATTAGTCGATTCTTCCTCTATATAAAAGAAAAAAAAAACAAATTTGCCAACTCTTTTTGTCTATTAAGAAATTCGAAACATACTAATATTTTGGATAGATACATATGTACCACCACCTCCATCTATATAGATGTAGGATCTATTTGAAATATACATGTTGTTTGAAAATAAAATAGCATATTCTATGTTTGAGGTTTAGCAATGCTGTGTTTCGTTTCTTAGCCAACACCAACATAAAATTGTTACTCTTTCAAAACATAAAATTGTTACTCTTCTTAAAAAAAAAAAAAAAAAAAAAAAAACCAAAATACTTGTAGACACCACACGTCGTCGTATTTGGGCATAACAGTCTTTATATTGTACCTACACCTTCTTCTTCGTCCGGCCATAAAAAAGTATACACGCCCGCCAAACACCCACCCACCCGAAAATTATTACAATGAAACACCACCAGAAGCAGCAGCATGACAGATATTGAAAATCAAACCCAACTAGCCATCCATTAAGCCAATAAACATACCAATCCACCAACCAATCAGTCAGCCAGCTAATAAACTTCTCTATGACAATGAAGTAATATGTTTTCAAAGTGAAATTTTATTTTTAATTTATTATTCAATAAGTAAAGCTCAATAAATTAATCCCCCCAAAACAAAAAAATAAAAATGGAATTGGAAAAATGTATGAATACGACGATTATCTCTGCCTACGCGCCTGTGTTTTGTATTTATACTAAATACATACAACACTCTATACACTGTTATATTCGAGGGGTGTAAAAATTTGCGTACGCTCGGACGGTTGGTTGGTCGTTTGGTCGGTGGCAAGACATTATTAACTTGTGTGTGCAGCTTCCTGGTCTTTCTATAACAGCATTTGATGGAATTTGGAATTTTGTATAGAACACAACATATTTCTTTCAATATTTTCTTTTCATATCATTTTTCTTGTTTTTGGATTTTTGTCTTTCATTCCGATGATGATGATGATGGGGACACAGATAGCTACATAATTTTTTGGTGATTTTTTTGTCTTTCATCTAACTATAAATCATATATATGTAGCCAGCTATAAAAAAATAAGAATATATGTAGTATGTACATACATACACACACTCATATATACATATATATGTTGTTAACTTTTCTAAATGCGTACCGACCGACGAAGCAGAGATTCACTCACATTCGTTAATTTAGTTTAGCGCATTTCATTCTAATTCTTTTATTTCATTTCACTTTTACATTTCCATTTTTCTCTAACCTCTTCACTTTTCTTTTCGTTTTGGACGACGTTTTATGTATATATGTATTTTATATATAAACATTTTATCTTTATGAGAGCAGGCAGAGCAAGCCAGCAAGCAAGCAGCAATTATTGAATGGATATGGATATAGTTAAAAATATCATATCATTAATAAAATAATTTTTTGTCTCGATAGAGAGGCGGTTGGCAGGTACAACACCATCACTGCTGACTGACTGACACTGCTGCCAACGGAACGAAAGGACGGCAGGCAGGCAGCGAAACGAAGAGCACAAAAAATCTAATAAGGTACATATAAATTTCGAGGATGCATAATAAATCGAATCATTGACACCACCGAAAATAGTTCCTTCCTTCCTTTGCAATTAAATATCTTGGCTTCTGCCTACTACTAACCAACAATCCAAGCAACCAGCTAGCCAGCGAACCAGCAGTGTAGATAGATATAAATTATTAATATTTTCTTCTCTTTTATTTATCTTCTGTTGGTTGGTTGTATGGTTGATTGTGTGTTCGTTGGTTGGTTGGGGAGTATGGAGAGCCAGATGAATTGACACCAGAATCTTATTATATTTTTTCATTCGTTCGTTCGTTTTGTTGTACACCAATAATAATAAATAAACTAAACTGCAATTTACACATTGGACGATGTCAGCTGGAATTTAATTATTTATTCATGGCACCGATCGGTTTCGGTTAAAGATTTGTTTTAATTTTGTATGAGAAAATATTTTTACGATTTTACTCACTTTCTTTCCCTATGATTTCTATGTATTCAATCACTGAAAAATAGTGTCGTAAAAGTACTCAGTATATGAATACTCGGGTGCATACAAAAACCGAGTACATGAAATACAAAAGAAAGAAGTAATTGCTAATGCAGTGTTTACACTCGAAGGAATAATGAAATAAAATAGTTGCAAAGTTCCACTGCATGGCATAACTACACAAGGTAGTCTCAGAGTCTAACCACAACGAGAGAGTGTAAAGTCAGCGACGGCCGTTTACCGTATGTTTCTTATTGGCAACGGGAAATCCCGATGGTACACTCAAATTTTCTCTCTTGCTCGCAATTGAGTTGCCATATTTTAAGTAAAAATCAGCAGTGCTGCCAACATTTTATTTTAATGGAAATTTATACCAAAACATATGGCAGTGATGTTAAAAAAATATTTTCAAAGATTTTTTAACGAATTAATAATAAAATGGAAGGAAAAATGATCGAGGAAAAAAAATTCGACATTTTGTGCAATTTGGAATCTTCTAACTCTTTCGTTTGGTTTCCACGCTGGCGAAAAAGTATGCCCTTGACTCCTGACTCTCTGGTTGGGTTTAGCCTCTCATGCAGACATATGATTCCAATTTTTTCATAATGTTACTTTTGACAACATCCAGCTTTCAAAATTTAAATGACAATATCCTCCTTCGAAATGTACGCGCAACACATGTTCAGTGGCAATAATTACAAAATGTTAAATATCCTGAAGTTCCCAGCCTCTATGATCTATAAACATAAGTTTTAACATCTACAGTTATATCTTACAAACAATATTAATCAAAAAATTTAGATATTATTCTACAGAAAGTATACATTTTTTTATTTTTTTAAAAAATATGCCATTCGACATGCATAAATGGTTTTGGTTCAAACCATTTGAAATTGATAGATGAGTTCCATGATGCAATAATAAGGTGATGTATCACAAAACAACCTTTTTTTGTCTCGATTATCTGTCAAATTTTTCCACATAATATTTTAAATGTTTGGCAACACTGCACATCGAATTCAAGTAGAAATTACCCACTTTGACAGCTTTTATATCGCAATTAAAGAGAAAACAGTATCGAATTGACTAAAAAATAAAACAAATAATATGTTTATATATTCTATTTTAGGTAAATAATTTGGAAAAATAAAACAGAAAGAATATCTAATAAATAAATTTTCATTTTAATGCAGGTTTAGATTTACCAAATTATCTTCTAAATAAGACGCTTTTTGCATACACCAACATAGAAAAACAGAAATTACATGAGAATTGTTATCCCAGGGATTGACATTTTAAATCCACTGAATTCTCAAAATCTAGTAAAATGTGAATAATACATTTTTTGCGATAGTAACTATGAGGATTTATTTGACATATATGCAATGGCTTTGAATTACAAGTTAAATAAAATTGAATTGAATTGAAATTTTAGATTGGAAATTTTTTTTGTACCCATATAAACGTTGTCCACTAATATAGTTGTACAATATATCTGAAGAAAATTCGCATGTTTTCTTGTTAGAAATGTGGCCACATTTGTTGCCATTTGACATTCCACTGAAGAGTAATTGGTTATTTGACAGATAGCTGAACAGTAACTGGCGTGGTAAAGATTTTCTTTCTTTTCCTTTTCCGATTTCAATATGACGGTGCGTGTTGTTCTTTATTTTTATTTTTTGTGATAAAATTTTTTACAAAATTTCTGAAATGAAACAAAAGAATAATTGTGACATTATTTCTGTGTTTTGTAGGCCGCTAAAGACAGTGGAAAGAAGATCAAGAGAGATCCCGCTAAGAACCCTATGCGCGATCTGCACATCAGAAAGTTGTGCTTGAATATTTGTGTCGGTGAATCTGGTGATAGATTGACCCGTGCCGCTAAGGTATGATGGTGCAGTAGTGTGATGATGTGAATGAATTGCCAAGCTAATATGGATTTGTTTTTGTTTTATTTGGTTTAGGTGCTTGAACAATTGACTGGCCAACAACCAGTTTTCTCCAAAGCCCGTTACACCGTGCGTTCATTCGGTATTCGTCGTAATGAAAAGATTGCCGTCCACTGCACAGTCCGCGGTGCCAAGGCTGAAGAAATCTTGGAAAAGGGCCTTAAGGTTCGTGAATACGAGTTGAGACGTGACAATTTCTCTGCCACCGGTAACTTTGGTTTCGGTATTCAAGAACACATTGATTTGGGTATCAAATACGATCCATCCATTGGTATTTACGGTTTGGATTTCTACGTTGTGCTTGGTCGTCCAGGTAAATATTGTCATACAAAAAGATCTACAACGGCATATTTTCGTCGCACTTAATTAGGTGTTTACAAAGCATTCCCCATTCATGGAGAAGATTTACAAATTTTGTAAACACTCAGTCAATGTGCGCATAATAATTACAATGTAAGGTTGAATCGCTTAAAGCATATCCAAATATACTTTTTTTGAACATGCACGGTGTTTCTTTCCACAATATATCCCAAAAAATATGCCGCTTGTAATTTCATTGATTTGCTTTTATTTTGTGTATGCTAGCCATTGATTTTCTTCTTTTTTGCATTGCAGGTTACAATGTTGCCCACAGAAAACGCAAGGCCGGTACAGTTGGTTTCCCTCATCGCCTCACCAAAGAAGATGCCATGAAGTGGTTCCAACAGAAATATGATGGTATCATTCTTAATAGCAAGAAATAAGTGGCGTATTGTTAAGACATAGTTCGTATTACCCTTTACAAGTGTAATATAAACAATGGAAAAATAAACTTTTTTCACGTAAACAATTGTGGTTTAATACACATTTAATTGGTTTGGAATATATTAAATCGGTATGGGATATGTGGACAAGAAATTGATATATTTATCCCGTGGTGGTTATTGAATTCAGTATGGGTTGTCAGTATCCTAATTGGAAGCCTTTGACCAGAATGACAATGTTCATTAATCTAAAAGTATTTTTCTTTCTCATATATCGAGAGGACTGGAAATTTTGAATATAATATACAGTAGCCTTCTTGCTAATTCTAAACCCCATATTGGATTTAAATATGTTTTAGGTTTTTTAAGGTGAGAATAACAAAATGATTTTGCAATAGGGTAAAAATTTAAAGTATCTTTAATACAACGTTTTGATGGCTATTCCTGAACGCTAATGTTTATATGCCACAAATTGGATCAAAAACAAAACTGGACCTCTGAACTGCACAATTGGAATACAATTTCTGAACAATGGTAGTAGATAAAAGCCCTGTATTGTCGTATGTTTTTATTTGTTTTGAAAAGAATTATTTCTAAGGAGATTTGAAGCTATAGTTTAAAATGTCTTTGCAAATTACATTACATTTCACATCAAAGCTTTCTACGATACGAAATGACCCAGGTATCGGCTAACGTCTGTCACCCCAGCCCCTTGTGTGAAAGCAACATTTCAAGTACAAGCTTCTTTATGAATATCGCATATAGCCGGAACGTGACCTAGATTTTTGATACATAAATAAGAGGTTAAACAATAATTTGTATTTAGTAAATATATATTTTTTGTCAAATTGGTGTCTGTTTTAGATTCAAACATTATTTTAATACGGCCTAGCATAAAGATGACTATAAATATGTGTAAAGTATACATACACTCAACTTTAAATCGATAATCATTTACTTAATATCCTAATTAGTATGTCCACATAATTGCTTCTGCCACAGATCTCTGCCGGTAATCAGGCAACATCATCATCATCACTGCTTGTTCATCACTCGCTCTTTGGAGACCAGCAAACCGGCATATATTACATTTTAATGACTATATTTTCTGTTAGTAAAAAATACAACAACATTTTATAGTCATTTTGGCGACCACATTCCATATTTTCCATTGCTCGGCTTGGGTGGTGGATGTGGATTCTGTGTTAAAAAAGACAAATGAAAAAACCAAATTCAAATGGGATTAATTACAAAATTACTTGTACAGAATTATTACAGTTTGTTGCTTCTGTAGGCTGATTCGCTGAATTTGCACCGGGATTTGTATTGTTCGGACCCCTGTTCGGATTGTTAGCCAGCATGTTATTTGAATTACTTGAGTGGGCCATCCACGAGAGAAAGTTGCCACTCTATGTAAAAGAAAAGACAGTTATTGAAATGTTTCAATAATTTCTTTGTACGGCATTCATTACCTGTTCGGGATTACCCAATAGGCCAAACTGATTTAACGCTGCCGCCAGAATGGCCGTATTCATTGGCAGAGAATTTAAATTAAGGCCCATTCCTATATTCTGATTGGAATTAGGACCAGGAGGGGGATTAATACCTAATGTCTGCATATGCATGTCCAAGGGTCGATTTTGACTACTATTAAAATTGCTGCTAGTGTTATTTGTGTTTGCTGGTGGTGGTGGCTGTTGCGGCATCATGTAATTTCCTCTGTTTCCACGTGTATACGTATTTTCGCGATTTACAGGAACACCTCCTGTATTGTTGGCACCCAACATTGTTGAGCCGCCTTCATTGGGGGCTGTATTGGCATAATAATTGCAGCCTCCACCACCACCGCCACCACTGTTATGCATTCCTGGACCTTTCGATTTAAACAGGCCTCCGTGAGTGTTGTCGTTGTGGGCGTTATGATGAGAATTTCTACCACCACTGTTTGAATTGTGATAGGAGTTACGGTGATGTTCATATTTTGGGGCAGCGCTTGAAACATGTAATGAAACTCCTGCAAATAATATCAATAAATATCGTGTACCCTATTGATTCATATTCGAATTTGCTACCTTTTACAATGTGATCCTCTCCACACAAAGATGCCGCCACTTCTGGGTCAAGAAATGTTACAAAGCTAAATGCTCTGAATGGCCTAGGAATAAATACATCTGTCACTTCACCAAATTTGGAAAAATACTCTTTCAAGTCCTCGGCAGTAATATCCTCTGTACAACGGCCAACAAATACTTTACATGGTATTTGATTAGGGGCACCCTGTATTGCAAGCATGATATATAAGTCTCTGTCCACAACACTGATAGCAGCATTTAAAACATACCTTCGAATTTGGAACTTTCACCTCACACCAACGACCATCGATTGAATGCCGGTTAGACAACACTCTGGCCTGTACATCATACGAACCAAATCGTACAAAGCCAAAACCTTTTGATTGCCCCGAATGTACATCCTTTTTGATTTGAGCCATAAGTACCTCACCAAATGTCTCGAAATAGGCACGCAGACTTTCTTCTGTGGTCTTCCAGGGTAGACCCAAGACAATTAAATCAGTACAGCGTGCCCGTGACTCCATGCGCTTGGTTTTGGCTGTGGAGTTTTCCAATTGGTCATCACTCTTTCGTTTGTTTTCTGCAAATAATTTCATCACTCTAGATAATAGCAAACACATTGCAGAGGCATCCGGCAGCTGGGGATAAGCTACGAACAACCGGCCTCAAATAAATCGTATACTTCGACGTCATTCTACTTACCTTTGGGAAAGACACAATGATAGACATGATTGCCCCAGCCACTTTCGCTTGGTGGATATAATTTGCCGTCATTTAATCGAATCCCACGAAAACATTTGGTCTCTTCATTGAGATATTTCAGACCACTTGCTCCCGGAAAAGTTGACTGCAATGTTGACAACAGCAAGTTCTTATCTGGCTCTATGGGCAATTCTATTGGCTCTTCTCCATCTTCTTCGACTACTTGTACAAAATCCATACTTAATCAAATGACTTTCGGGGGCCAAAACAATTAAAAACCAAATAAATTATTATATTATAACAATAAATATGTGAAAAAATTGTGAGTATACAACGACGATCTCAAACAATCAATCGAAAAAAGCAAATGACTACTTGATTACAAATTTCATAGTAATCGGTAACCAACTCATTGACAAAATGGACAACATGCAAATCACATATGTACTTTGAAATCAGGTATATTATCATTATATCGCAGTTATGAATTATATAAAAAACGTGCAATTATTATTTTCTTTAATTCTCCACAAATTTATAAAGTAAATATTTATCGCCTTTAAAAATACCAACAATTTATTGTACCCATATGTTGTTTACGCTTTTGATTTAGGGCCTACATACAGATGACACCAAAAACTATTCATGTGACGTTTATTTGTATTTAGTGCACATTTACACATGCGCATTGGGTGCATACAATTCCAATTCCCTTTGGGGATTGGCGCAAATATTTATATATTTATGCTTGACTTTTTTGCAAATTTGGAATGTTAATGTTAATTTCTTCAATTAGACCTTTATAAATGCTATAGAAAATAACGTATAGTGTGTGGGTCTCTTAACAATTTCGAATGCAATGCTACAAGGTATAAAAAAACGTTTCCAATTTTTCAAATTGTAAAAATGCGTCATTGTTGGCAACGAATAACAAGTAGTCGGTACATGACATCAATGAGCCATTGATATGTCTTAAGTCGATCTACATATCCCTAAATGACGCGCGAATTGAGTTGGTCGGATTGAAATACTGATGTGAAGGAAGCCTGAGAAATTTTTATTTAAAACACATGTAAAAAATAACTGGAATAAAATATTTACACCTTAGTTTTACTTTGTGAAAGTGCATTTCAGAATATATGAAATTTGAAGCTGGTGAATAGAGTTTTGTCCCAAAAAAACTTATCACATAGCCCAACCACGTAAGTATGTATACATATATTCTTTTATTTGAAAATCTACTGATAAATTCAGACAACAATAAGAATATTAATCGTGAATTCTTCTTTTGTGGTAGATAAAATGAGTACCGCCAATTTATCAATACTGGCCACATTCGACGATTTGCGTCGATGCATTCAAGTCCTAACCGATGGCACGGCCGAAGAAGAGCTCTTGAAAATTTTACAGCTTCAAAAGAAAATGCAGCTAGAATGTCTTTCGAGGGCCCAAGAAGCCCAGCGTATACAAAAGGAATTGGATGCTTCGTTGCAGTCAATGGCAGATTTGGAAACAAAATTGTTTCATGCCCGTCGTTTGTTGGAAATGGAAAGCAAGGCTCGCAAAGAGGCAGAATATGATCGCGATCAAATGGAGAAGAAGCTAGTTGCCGTGGCTGATCTCTTGCAACATGAGAATAATTTGAAAAATGAAACAAGGGACAAATTGGGTTTCCTGCACACGCTGCCTAGAAAGCGAAAATCTGTTAATCGGAATTTGGAAGAAAAATATGGCAACGAAATCAACTCAACGGGTAGCTTCTTGTCGGACCTTTCAATAACACAATCGGAGGATGACTTCTTGGATGATCGTCCATCTCGAACGTGGCATAAAAACCGACACTCGGCAGCAAACAATGGTACGGCCTTTGGCAATAAAAGAACTCGTTTGTGCGATGATAATGCTAACACTCCTCCAGTTCTGCAGCAACCCGTTAGGCGTTCTACCAGGCGTAGTAAGTCGAACACGAACAACAACAACAACAATCAGCAGTATAATGTAATAGATCTGGTCAACGGATCGGAACGCATTTGCGCCACCACTAAGGTTTCTATACCTCAAGATGGCAATGGAGCCATACGTGCTGAGTCTACAATTGAAACTGTTCCTGTGTTGGTACACAAGGAAGATTCGCCAGCAGAAGAAATTCAATCATCTACGCCATGTCGTTCACCCTTAAAGCAGAATAATTTCCAAGGAATTGTAAACAACGCCGACTCTCCAATGGCACAAAATCTAAAATCAACAGGAACCCTAAAGAGATCACATAACTTTGTGAGCAAGACTTTTATTAGAGGCGAAACATGTGTACATTGTTCTAGAAAGTATGTTGGAATTTTTTAGTGATCCCACAAATAAGTAGAGTAAACTAAATTTAAAATATGTTTCTATTCTAGAATTCGTTTTGGCTCCGTTGGTCTACGTTGCCGTGACTGTCCAATCAGATGTCATACCGATTGCCGTCCATCGGTTACAGTTTCCTGTGTTCCCTCAACTGGCACACCCACTATCAAGGGTCTAATGGGTCATATTGCCGACTATGCACCATCTGTGGCGCCCATGGTTCCAGCCCTTATTGTACATTGCGTCAATGAAATAGAAGCACGAGGTCTTACCGAAGTTGGTATATACCGTGTATCTGGTTCCGAAAGAGAAGTCAAGGCATTGAAGGAACGTTTCCTCAGGGGCAAATCACCGCCTCAATTAGCCAACATTGAAGTCCACGTTTTATGTGGCTGTGTTAAAGATTTCCTTCGTTCTCTGAGAGAACCACTCATACCCACAAATCTGTGGAAAGACTTTTGCAATGCTGTACAAAATCCATCCGAAGAGGATATACAAAAGGATCTATATAAAGCAATAGATGCTTTGCCTCAACCAAATCGTGACACTTTGGCTTATTTGATTTTGCATTTCCAACGCATAGCTGAGTGTCGTGAAGTCCTAATGCCCTTGGATAATATTGCCCGGGTATTTGGACCTACAATAGTGGGTTATTCTTCGCCTGATCCAGATCAGCATGCCATCTTTACCGAGGTCTACACCCAATATACGGTAATGTTGCATTTATTAAAAATACCAAGAGTATTTTGGATCCAATATGTACCTCAGATCGAAGATAAGGAAAACAAACACAATGCAGCAAACATAAAAGAAACTCCTGGTAATAATAAAGAATCCATTTATTCACTATATGGTAAGTGGATTATATAAATGTGCATAGATATTGTTTTCAATTGCGTTCCTTTTCAGCAACCCCTTTAAAATCCACACTTAAAAAGCGACGTCTCTATGGCAGTCCCCCATATCCAAAAGATTAGATTAAATCATAAGAAATCTTCATTATTTTCATTGTTATGTTTATAATAATCTATTTTTTTCTATATATATATCAGATCTTTATTGTAAAATGTTTATTTGATATTATTGTAATTTCCTCTTTAGTGATGATGGTTTAAGGGTTTTTTTAAGTCAGAATTTACTTAATTACTTTCTATATTTTTTTACAAAAGGGTATTGCATTTAAGAATTCCTAATTATTTTGGATTAGTTAAAGAAAAAATGAAATGAAATTGACACTTATTTTCTTTTTACTTATTTTACTATCGTATAAACATATATGTTTTAATGGAATGTGTCTACAACAATAATAAAGAAATGGATTTTGCAATAAATGTGTTTTGTTGTTGTTGATGGGTAAATATTTGTTGAGAAGGGGATTAATTTTATTTTTCTAATAAAGTTGTAGATTGAAATGGGGTTAGATGTTTAGTAGATCGTTGTTATTGTTTCATTGATAACTTTACGATTTTAATTTGTGCGACTAGTTCTTTGTATTAACAGCTGGGTTGAATGCAGAGTTCAACAGAACTAAATTGAGAGTAAGTATGTGAGAGCGTAACTGAGAGATAATCATTAAAAATGACTGACGAAAAGAGACAAAACGAGAATACGTGCGTTAGTGGTTTAATATATATATATATATATAGTGTTATGTATCCATATATTTTGTAATGCAAGGCGTACGCTTTATATTTAAGGCCAACTTAAAAATGACAACAATGGGCATTCATGTGACATTTTACACCAATTGTATTTGGAGCAAATATACACATGCGCATCAGATGCATACAATTTCCTTTATTTTAATTTTTTTATATGTATGGATTTTTTTGGAAATTTTGGAAAGCTCTACAGCAATAAATAGGGAAGACCGCATATATTGTGGTGCTTTTAATGATTTTGAATGTGGTGATTTCGAATTTTTCAAAAAAAAACTTCATTGCTGGTAACTAATAACAAATACTCGGTGTATGAAATCAAAGAGTCATTCATACTCGAAAGTCATTCATACTAAAAAACGCGGGAATTGAATGGTTTGGATTGAAATTCTAGTATAAAAATAACCTGCGAATGTTGGAATCTTTAAATATTTTCAAAAAACAATGAGAAGCACGGATTCAGTGGGGATTCGATTCTCTTAAATAATTTAAAAAATGCAATTCTCTGTTATTTTCTTAAAAATTTTGGTTTTAAAAACATCAATTATTTTAAAATTGTGATAAATTTAAATTATTTTATCCATTTCGAAATATGTTACGTTTACCATTTATCGAAATTCCATGCATTAGTGAGAGTAAGTGAACAGTATGCTAGCGCACTATTTTCTGCATAGCTGATTTAGACAATACATCTATCAGCTGATTGTTTTTTCTCCCCTCTCTCTCATTCGTAAACAGAAAGATGGTAATTTTTTTGTAATTTTCCTTTAATGTTACATTCTATTTGCTATTATTCCATTTCTACCCTCTTAGTAGCAATTGGAACGATTTCAAATTGGTTCGGTCCTCCGAATATACCAATATATACACACAACACACACATCCGTATAATCGTTCGTATAATTGTGGGTGTCTCTGTTGAACAAAGTTATTTCATTTCGTTTATTTTTTCGGAAAAGTTAACTTGAAAACGTTGTGAGATTTTCTTCCTTATCGGCTTCTCATCGCATCGACCCTTCAGCTAACAAAAGAAGAAAAAAAGAACGGCTTTGTTTGATTGTGCAGGAAATTTTCTGCATGATACGGCATTGCAAAAACATTGCATTGAAGTAAGTTGAATCGGATTGAATTGAATAAGAGGAATAGCAGTATTGATTTTTTGCAAAACCTTGAATTTTTTCCCTATTCTTCCTTGTGAGTGATTCCGAATGAATCTTACAAATTATTTGTGTTGTTGTTGTTACATTGCAGATGAAATACTAGAATTACTACTACTAACTGCTGGAGTTACAAAAATAGCAATTATTTCAATTATTTTTTCGTATTGCATTCCTCAACAACCACAACCCCCACCACCCCACGTCGAGAGAGTAAACTGAAGCATCGCTATCCATTATGGCTATGTCAAAGGTTATACGAGTCTTGGAGAAATCCATACCACCATCGCCGCACAGCGTTCTGATGGAATATCGCAATAAAAACGAAAGCATCCTCTTTGAGTCACACGCCGTGGCCCTGCTGTCATCCCAAGAGTCGGAGATAATTCGCAAACAATACACGAAAGTGTGCGATGCCTATGGTTGCCTCGGTGTGCTGCAGCTGAATGCTGGTGAAAGTACGCTCTTGTTTTTAGTTCTGGTCACTGGCTGTGTTTCGATGGGCAAGATTGGAGACGTGGAAGTGTTTCGCATACAGCAGACCCAGTTTGTATCGTTACAAAATGCCGCTCCAAACGAAGATCGAATTTCCGAGGTGCGCAAGTTACTTAACTCTGGAACGTTTTACTTTGCCCATACGAATCAATCGGCGACCAGGGCTACGAAGTTTGATATAACACTGTGTGCCCAGAGACGCTTCCAAACGGCAGAAACAGACAATCGTTTCTTCTGGAATCGTATGATGCACATACACATGCTACGTTTCGGTATTGATTGTCAGGCCTGGCTTTTGAAGGTGATGTGTGGTTCGGTAGAAGTGAGGACGGTTTATATTGGGGCCAAACAGGCCAGGGCAGCAATTATATCGCGTCTGAGCTGTGAACGAGCTGGAACTCGTTTCAATGTGAGAGGTATGTTCAAAATATAATGTCGTTGTGGATTGGATGCCAATATTAAAATATCGCTTCTTTGTTTTGATGATGCTGTTAGGTATAAATGATGAAGGCCATGTGGCCAATTTTATAGAAACAGAACAAGTCATCTATGTGGACAATGATGTGACCAGTTATGTACAAACTCGTGGGTCGGTTCCACTCTTTTGGGAACAACCTGGCGTGCAAGTCGGTTCCCATAAGGTTAAATTGTCAAGAGGATTTGAAACGTCGGCCGCTGCCTTCGACCGCCATATGACCCTAATGAAACAGAGGTATGGCTATCAGGCCATTATCAATCTACTGGGTACCTCGTTGGTGGGCAGCAAGGAAGGCGAGGCAATGCTTAGCAATGAGTTTCAACGTCATCATGGCATGTCGGCCCACAAGGATGTACCGCATATTATTTTCGATTATCACCAAGAATGTCGTGGCGGAAACTTTGCTGCTCTGTCCAAGTTGAAGGAACGTATTACAGCTAGTGGCATAAACTATGGCATATTCTATGCTGCTGCGGGAAAAGTGGTGCGCGAACAATTTGGCGTTATACGAACCAACTGTCTGGATTGTTTGGATCGTACAAATTGTGTTCAAACATTTCTGGGATTGGATACGCTGAACCAACAATTGGAGGCCTTGGGTTTTGGTGAAAAGAAAAACCTGACACGTTTCGAGGAAATATTCAAACAAATGTGGATCAACAACGGCAATGAAGTTAGTAAAATTTATGCCGGTACTGGAGCCATACAGGGATCTTCCAAATTAATGGATGGTGCACGTTCGGCTGCACGTACAATTCAAAATAATCTATTGGATAACTCCAAGCAGGTAAGATATCACCAAATCATGTCCTCCAAAATGTGAGTTGTTGATACATGTATTTCCTTGCTTGTTGTTTGTTTAGGAAGCCATTGACATCCTCTTGGTTGGTTCAACACTTAGTTCCGAATTAGCCGATCGTGCTAGGATTCTGTTACCATCCAATATGTTGCATGCACCCACTACCGTATTGCGAGAAATGTGCAAACGCTACAATGAATATGTCCAACCGCAAACGGTGCGTGTAGCCGTTGGCACATACAACGTCAATGGTGGAAAACATTTCCGAAGTATTGTTTTCAAGGACACCCTCTCCGATTGGTTACTAGATTGCCACGCTCTGGCACGATCAAAGGCGTTGGTGGACGTCAACAATCCCTCGGAAAATGCCTCTAAACCAGTTGATATATTTGCCATTGGCTTCGAGGAAATTGTCGATTTGAATGCCAGCAACATTATGGCGGCCAGTACCGAAAATGCGAAGCTCTGGGCTGAAGAGCTTCAAAAAACAATATCCCGAGATAACGACTATGTGCTGCTAACCTATCAGCAACTTGTGGGCGTTTGCTTGTACATCTATATACGTCCGGAGCACGCTTCCTATATCAGAGATGTAGCCATTGACTGCGTCAAGACGGGTCTGGGCGGAGCAACCGGCAATAAGGGTGCCTGTGCCATACGTTTTGTATTTCACGGCACTTCGATGTGCTTTGTGTGTGCCCACTTTGCAGCCGGACAAAGCCAAGTGGCCGAACGCAATGCCGATTATGCGGAAATTACCCGCAAATTGGCCTTTCCCATGGGTCGAACTCTAAAGTCACATGACTGGGTGTTCTGGTGCGGAGATTTCAACTATCGCATCGATATGGACAAGGAGGAACTAAAGGAGGCCATAAAGAACGGCGATTTGGCAACTGTACTCGAAAACGACCAACTACTCAAAGAACAAGAGGCCGGAAATGTATTCACCGATTTCCTAGAAGGTGAAATAACATTTGACCCAACCTACAAATACGATGTGTTTAGCGATGAATATGATACGTCGGAAAAGCAACGAGCTCCAGCCTGGACAGATCGAGTGCTGTGGCGCAGACGTAAGGCATTGGCCGAGTCCGACTATAATGCAGCCGAATGGAATCCCGGAAAATTAATACACTACGGCCGTTCAGAACTTAAACAGAGCGATCATCGTCCTGTAATTGCCATCATCGATGCTGAAATAATTGTAATTGATCCACGGCGTAGAAGGAAGGTTTTCGAAGAGGTCATTAGAGATTTGGGGCCACCAGATTCTACAATAGTTGTACATGTACATGAACCCTCGGCCGACGATGAAGGTCCAACCATTTATGACGAAAATGTAATGTCAACACTAATACAGGAGCTGTCAAAGATGGGTGAGGTTACATTGGTGCGTTATGTAGAGGATACAATGTGGGTAACATTCCGGGATGGCGAATCGGCCCTTAATGTCGTCGCTAAGGGCGAGACAAACATTTGTGGTCTGCACTTGAAATTCGAATTGAAGTCACCCGATTGGATGCGTCACGTGGACAATGAAATTGAACTGTGCACAACGAACACCATACCATTGTGCGCCAATCCGCAAGAGCAAGCTTCGCTATTAAATGCCACACCTGAGATTCCACAAAGACCAAAGCAACCACCAACGCGACCCGCCCCAGCTAGGCCGCCAATACCAATGTCACCAAAGAATTCTCCCAGGCATTTGCCACATGCCGGCGTTATAAGTGTAGTGCCCGAAATGTTACAACCCAAGCCGGCCAAACCCCCGATGCCACCACAGCCGCAACAACCACCACAATTGCCACCACCACTAAGACCAGTTCCGGTGAATGCTGTCGTCGACACTCCATCCTCTTCGAAATCGCAATCGCCCACGGAACAAAACTCTCCACTTCACTCGTCGTCGGGCAAAACATCGCCGGTTGGTTCAGGGTCGAATGCAAGTTCATTGCCACCGACGCCACCACGAAATACACAGAGTAAGAATGTGACACCCGTGTCAACACCGTCGCGTCAGTCCAAACAGTCTTCGGTTGATGTCCAAGATGCTGCCGGTGCTGCGGCCTACAACGACAGTAACATCTATGAGGAAATTCAAGATGATATACCAGCACCCCGGCATCCACCACCACCATTTCCACCCGTTCCCAGTGACAATACTAACGATAGTCCACAACGTCGACCACCAGCTTTGCCAGCAAATGCACCAATGGGACCTCCACCACCGCTTCCAGTTCGACGTGGACCACCACCAATACCGAATCGTGTTGGTGGTGCACCTCCCCTGCCCAATCGGCCGAACAACAATTGAATTAACGAAAACAACTTAACTTGAAGTCGAGGCATAATGCCGAGAACAAAGTAAGTAGTACCAGCCTTTTGCTTCTAAGTAGTAGTTGTTGGTAAGAGAGACCAGAACAAAACACACACATTCCACAGGAAGTAAACATTATATTATCATTATATACAAAAATATATATATATACACACGGAGAAAACAGATAACATATAATGCGTTCAAGAAACAACAACTTCCTTAGTATTGAAATTTTATTTTTGTTTGATTTTGCAATTTGCATACAATAATTAACTAAACTATCATGTCAATAATAGTATACTAATAATATGAGGGTCCTCAGGAGTTCCTTATAATCACCTACACCCCATATATATATAACTACAATGTACTATTATATATATGTATGGTGCAAATAGTAATGATGAAAACTAGCTCATACCTAATTACGCTTAAAGGACAAACAAACAAAACACTCTTGTTGGAAATAATAGAATTAATAACTTATCACAAAACACACACACTCACCCCCACTTCGGTGACACATATTTCTATGTGTGTTGTAATAAAAAATAAATATTTAATTTTAATCATCATTAAGTTTATTATGCTAAAGTATTAAAATAATAGCTGTTAACAAACAATCAATAACAAAATAAAAAAAACTAGTCAAATGCCCAAGTGGTGGAATAAACATATACTATCTACATATAAATGAATGAATGATGGATGAAATGATTCATTGAAAAAAAAAACGATTTAAAGAAAATTGAATTACAAGAAGGAAATGTTGTTATTGTGTTATTGAATAAGGAGAATGTATAAAATTCCAAATTGGCCGTTTACAATGTATTCTAGGTGTAAGCATATAGTACGTACATATACTATACACACACTCATAAGATAAACTTTTGCAATTGAATTTTCCAATTGTTTCAAAATTTATTTTGTTTTTTATTATTAAATTATTTTAATTGGAAAATGTAGATCCATTTTTCGCCCTCATCTTGCTAAAGACTTTATCCTATTTCTTCTAATACACCCGTTTTTTTTTTAACTTGTCGGAAGAATAAAAACATTTCGTCAAGTACTCTGTCATGGTTAAATATATTTAAAGAACAACCTCTCAAGGATTATTCAGGAGTCTGTATGCTTGGATTTACACACAATCCCTTTAGGGAATCAATCTTTTCAAATTTTTCTAATTTTTTTTAGCTTAATTTCCACTTTTCTCCCAATTGTTAGGAGAAGGTCCAAATTTAGTAGTCTTTTTAAGATTTTGGTCGGATTTTTGAAGGGGTAAAAAATTTTTTCGCAAAGTCATTCCCAATATGGATTTATGATTTGTCATATCCCATAGACCTATTAAGGTCTTGCTCTATTTTTAAATTTCTAGCCGAATGTCTCCGTACTGCTGGTTTTGATGATTGGCAATAGGTGAAAATTTTGCTTGTGAACAATTTTGTTGTTTGTTTACAAAACATAACAAAACAGCTGATTAAATATCAGCTGATGGTACAAGAAAAATCTTGCTGAGTAGTTTTTTCCTTGTAAGAATTTGCAAATACTCTGTAAGACAACTGTCAAATCTGCTCTCTCTCTCTCAATTCACTCTCTTTTACTGGACCTTGGGTAAACGAATAACATTTTGTAACAATTTGTACAAATTATTGAATAAGCGAACGAACCTAAAGGTACGTTTAGATTAGTGCTGGGCAAGCATGGGAACTGGTGCCCTTGTTTACATGGGTCAATAAGCTCATTTCATATGACCGTTTCTCATTTACTCTCCGAGCATCGAGTGGATTAGATTTACGAAATCCACTCGATCTCAAATGTCGATTTCATAGCGTATACGTCAAATATAATCCACAGGATTAGTAAGGTGGATTAACGTGACGTATACGCAATGGAATTGACGTTTAAGATGGAATAGATTTAATAGTCTAAACGTAGCCTAATGCTGTCAAAATTCGATTCTTCTTCTTTTGTGTTGCTCCTTCTTCGTTAACATCATAAATATTTAGAAAATCTTTTAAAACTTTCGAAACTTCCTTGATGCAAAAATTTCTTTTTTTTCGGGGTTCACTCCTGTAGAGATCCATGTTTTGAAAATATTCGATATTTGAAAGGCCCTAGCCACCGCATTTTCCAAACAAAGTGACCTTAAAGGTCGTTTACATTGAACCGGATTTGGTTAACCGAGTGGGTTTAAATTTTCAATTCCTTTGAATATATGCCAAATAAATCCTCATAAAGTAGGTTAACCCGGTAAAAAGTTCTAATGTAAATGCCGTATTAGAGAATATCAAACCAGATTGATGAGGGTATAATATAGTCGGCCTCGTACGACTTTTACCCTCTGCAAATATTTAGTTGAATCTTCTCGGATAGTAGTCTAAATTATTAGCCCAGCTTAATTTAGTTCGCCGCTTCGTTTAAATTGAAGCCAGAGACACATTCAGAGAGTACAGAGATGCATTTGCCATCCCATCATCTAGAATTTCTTTCATTTTTCTTTTCATTTCCTCATTTAAAAAATATGATTGCACCTTACACACCAAATCTATACAAAAATATTTATACGTTGATCTTATAAATTTGTTTCAAAATATGTTAAAACGAGCGAAATATATTCAATCAACTACATAAACATAAATTACAAAAAAAAGCTATAAACGAATAACTCGCCTAACTAAAGCCTAACAAAAACAAAAAACCAAGAAAGAAAAAACAAATTTCAATTGTTAACGTTTTATTTGAAAAATAAAAAAAAAACAAATTTTAAAGTTGTCTGTTGAATGTAGTAACACTGATGATAATGATCAAACACTCTATAGTAATAATCAATTAACAAAAAAATTAATAAACCTTATATAAATTTATGTAGGAACCATTATTATTATTATTGCAATAAAAGCGTATGGCAAATATATATTATCATGTTATAATTATGTATGTATATGATGGTTAACAACAACACAGCTATATATTATGGTGTCGCCTATATAAAAAATGCTGGAAACGGATATAACAACACACACAATTCTCTTAATAAAAACAAAACAAAAAGAAATGTAATACAATATGTAATAAATGTTAAAAGCTAAAATACATATAACATATATACATCTACTTATAAATTATATAACAGCAATTAATATATTAAATAAATTAATAAAAAAAAATACACACACACACACATGCCAATGAATGACTATTAATCTCGTCTCGTCTGTTTAAAACCAACGTGGCATTGCATCCATTGGCAAATTCTTTTGATTCGGCAAGGCATTACATGGCCTTTGCTGGCGCCAAAACTCTTGACGTTTATTTAGAAAATCCACTGCCTCCTTGGCATATGTTGATATATTTTCAGTATTGGTATCGGCCCTCACCAAATCGGGATGTTTTAATAAATTCTCCAAATACTCCTTGTCGACACACAATTCACCCAAAAGTTTTCGTGCATTTCTACGTTCCAATTCCGTTTTAGATGGTTTGGTGGCTCTATGCGGTCGGGCACTACTGTTCACCTGTGATTTCGGAGTATTGTCCGAGGATTTTTTATGTTTATTTTTGGTTGATGTACTGGCGCCCGGTTTGCCAGTCTTCACGCCAATGGTATTTTCAATAGCTTCTTGGGTTTTTTGTACACCCAAACGAAAAGAATTCAACTCTGGTCGTGCCCGGGCACCCCTGTGGAAATACATAAGGCTCTGTTCGAATTGTCCCAAATAATATAGGGCCTCAGCCTTTTGGTAAATGGCTCGTATATTATTTTTATCCTCATTCAGGGCGGTCTCAGCATCAACCAAGGCCTTGGAGGCTTCGCCCAACAGTAAATAGCATTTACTGCGAGAAACCAGGGCGTTTATATCCGTGCTATTAAGTTCCAGAGCCTGAAAAAAAAGAAAACATACATTGTGTTATTACTATTAGGTATACCCTGCACTCATTCAAATAACCTTGGAAAAGAAATGTATGGCATTTTCAGGATTTGCATTTTTAATCTCCTTCAAACCCAAGGCAATGATCGAATTAATATCACCCTCATCTGGTATCATAAGAGATTCACTGCGATCTTGTTTTTGCTTGATTTGTAAACTCTGTTTGATATCAAATGTCCCGGCACTAACAGCCGCTGCCCTATCCTTGTCCGTATAGAAGTCAACAAAATTTTCCTTGGGTTTTTTACGTTTTTGCATCAATTCCTCAGTTCTTTTACGGGCCGCTCTTAGCTCAGCTTCAATGCGATTCATACGTTGATGCTGGCCCTTGGAAGGAACACCACCATCTGTTGTATCCTCATTGAATTTCACCGATTGTTTTCTACGTGTCGTCTCCTTGCTGCTGTTGGTGGTGGCGATTTTGCTTGTTTTGGTGGCCGCCGATGTTGTCAAAATTCGACTTTTCTTCTTTTGTGTTGCGGCGACTTCTTCATTAACATCATCATCGGATGGTACGCCTAGACGTGTAAAACTTTGTAATAATTCTTGTTCTTTATCAATATCAAGGAAATCTTTTAAAACTTTAGCCATTTTTTTGATGATGATGAAATTTCTTCCCGAAAAAAATAAAATCTTTTACTACATATGCTATTAATTTGTTGTTTTATGTTTACATAGGTGAGTTACGTTGCCTGGCTACCAATATATTGGAAATATTGATAATATATAAGAATTATTAATGAAAATACCACACATGACACCTGTGTTTCTTAGGTGAAATGCTAAGAAAGCTATGTTGTAAAGGACAGTGCATTGGGTTTGGAATGTGAGAATTATCAAAAAATTCTAATGCTGTATACAAATGTAGAACATTCTATATTTTTCTGTAGAATGCATTATATATTTTTCGATTTTTTTATTTTAGTTCAATATTACATTTTTTATATTTATATTGGGATATTAGAGACCAAGCCTTCCAAAAATGTCTAATAATTTATAAATATAGTTGTTTTCGGGTTTTTATCATTACAAATCATACTATCAACACAAAAATAAATTAAAATTGTTTATTTTCGAGTTGATCAACATTTTTTGAAAGCGAAATATATAATTTACGTAGATCAGCTGTTTTCTTTGCTGGTTTTTACTAGATGACATTTGCTTGTTTTTTGTTATATGCAGATGTTACTAATTTTTACTGGGTGATTAAACGATTACCCCCCACCTATGATCATATAACGCACATATGCATGTGGTTAATGGAAATTTAAAACTTACATCAAAATAATGTACTAATTTTTTTTAAACTATCCAAAGATATTGTTCTAAAATCTAATACCGCTACGTATATCCATTATCAGTATAAGTTGAGTGCCACATTTTTGCGCCAAAATAAAGTATTACCTTATGTTTGGCAAAATCTGTCAATTGTAGCCGTACTTAGCAAAGCCACAAACAAATAACGGTAAAGGCGCCAACCATTTTGGGAATTGATTTAATTTATTTTTAGATTGGCAACCCTGGACTTCTTTTATTATCAATGGTTGGCAATATTAATGGAGAGCGAATATGAGCAAATATAATCACAACCAGATGGCGCTTTCAATAAAGGGTAACATCAAAATACTCACAAAAACATAATAAAATAAAGATTTATCACATTTTAATGTTCACACATTTGTTTTCTGTGAAATATTAATAACTTCCTACGTTTATTGTGCCATGGAATGATTGATTTGTAATAGAACATTTAATACGAAAAAATGAGAGAATAAGATTAAACTCAGCTTCCTTAAATATACTTCTATATGAGTTTACGATAGTTGGAGAATCTCAAAACCTTTCAAGAGTATTTTTATTTATTCGAGGTCTTCTGAAGATTACCTAACTATTTTTAATAACACAACACATTTTAATTATTAATTTTGACGGATATACGTGGAATCATTTTGAATGGTTTTTGGAAAATGTTGATACATAGAAAGCTTTCTATCAATCGTATTAAAAATGTATAAGCTTTTTTATGTGTTCAACTTGTAATTTTATCCTCATTATTTTTTTGAACATAATTTTACATTTTTATAATATTAATTTATTTATTTTATAATATTTTTTATTTTCCTATAATAATTTTTATTTATTTTTTATAATATTCATTTATTTTCACTTCCTTTTATTTGTCAATTTACCTGATTATAACCAATCAAGGCCTTTTCATATTCCCTTGATTTCATGTGATTTTTGGATTGATCACAAAACAATTTAATATTCTGTTCGATTTCTTCGATCGTATCGACTTTGGGTTTTTTACGCGGCATTTTTAAAATTTTATTTCAAAAATTATTTCTTTGTTGTTTTTTTTTTCTATCAATAATCAAATAAAAGCGATTTATTTACAATTCACTTGTATCCGTTTCCGTAACCGTGTCGATTGTCATGACGGGAACATTGAAATGCAACTGAAAGGAATGTTTCCTTCAGTTGGTTGTTTACTTTCTTTTGTGTGTGTAGAATTGTTCGACAGTTTTTGTTTCGTTTCGTAGATTTTATTGTTTTGTTTGCTTCCGACAATTGTAGTTCTGGAGGAGAAGAGAGGTTGGCGGTAGCAGATTTTATTGGTGAAAATAATGGGAGTTTTAGGTTTTGACATGCAAATATGAAATAATAATAATGTTGTAGTTGTTGATGTTGTTTGTTTTGAATTTTTGTTGTTGTTGTTATTGTTATATGAGGACTTATCATACGTTTTCTTTGATTAATTTGAATTAAGTTTTAATTGTTATGTTATTTAAATAAATATTTAACTTTTTCATAATAATACCCAAAAAGGGCGATTTTGTTGAATAAATAATTAATTAGTGAAGTAGATAGTAGTTTAGTATTCATTATAAAACTATTTGATTGAAGTAGAACATTTGTTTGAGTCTATCCCCTTCTATGAGAAATATGGCGTGTGTGTTTCAATAGGCTATGCTAAAAAAATTTGTTATTTTCCCCCCACAACACACGTTTACTACTTTCAACGCCTCATTTATTAAGGCGGTGCCATTGTTGTCTTCTTTCGTTGATTAATTATCAACGCATAAAAACTAATTTAACAACTAACAGCACGCAATTGTTTGAAGGATAAATTTCTTTATAAACGCACGAAAACTTCAAAATAAATGATAATGGAAATTTTGAAAGAAGTTGCAGAATTGCAATTTCCAATAATTAAAAACAATTTCAAAGCATGTTTAGACCATGGCACAATAAAGAGGAAGTCCATTTAGAGCAGCTGATGTATCTATTAACTGTCAAAGTGCCTAATTCGATGTGCAATGTTGCCAACCATGTGAAATGTGATATGGACAGATGGACTATACAAAAACAAAAGGCTTTTGTTTTGATACATCACCTTATTATTACACCATGGTTTAGACTATGAACTTGAAATCAAACGTCATTTCTATTTCGTATACCATGGCACAATGAATAGGTAGAGCAGCTGATGTCGTAATTAACTGTCAAAGTACGTAAATTCTACTTGAATTCGATGTGCAATGTTGCCAACCATGTCAAATACTATAAGAAAAAGGTGGCAGATGGTCGAGACAAAAACAAAGGTTTTTGTTTTGACACATCACCTTATTGTTGCATCATATCGTATACGTCATGTAGATCCTATTCATAAATCCAGGGGACGTATACGCTATGGAATTGCCATTTGAGATCAAGTGAATTACGCAATTTGCTCTAATTCTAGTACTTTACTTTTAGAATCTTATATGAATCTTTTAATACGAGTAATAATACGAGTAATGGTTACGGTTACCATAATTTAACCCCTTTTCGGGAATTTTCTTTTGTTTTCAATGCGGATTTAATACAAATTGCTGGATAACATGTTTGATGGTCGTGTTTACTTTATTTAGTTTTTGTCATTATTATTATTATTATGAATGCCGAATGTCATGTTTCGTTTGTTGTATGTTGTTTATTGTTATTGTTATCTTAATTTGCAAACTTGTAATTCATTCAATGCCTACTCTGGTGATTCTAGAAGGTGGGCGATTTTTTAAAAATTTTGGGAATTTGTTATTGCTAAAATTTATTTTTAAACCATAATTCCATAAAAAATGCAGTGAAAATTAGCAGAGTTGGACGGCACCGACTATGTGATACCCTATATCTCTTTTCAATATGCTCTTAGAATTCAGCTGTTTAACTCATTGCCATTTTATTAAAATAGCTTTCGTGTAAACAGAATAGAAAAATGTTACACATTTTAAAAATTTACCTCATTTATAAGGCGTATAATCAAGAACCTTCGAAATCTAAACGATATATTTTATTAAAATAGGTTTCAGGTAAACATTACCTTACAGTTGGTCTGTTCCCGTTCTGCAAGAATCTACTACTTTTTACTACGATAACGAATTTTCCTTTATGAAAAAATAGTAAAATCTAGTAGATTCTTGCAATACGGGAACAGACCAAGTACCTTTACATTTTACTGAATTTAGTAAATCCAGTAGCTCTAAATTGTCAAGTCCTTTGCATGCATATATGCCAACTAAATCCTTTATGAGGATTTAGTTGGCATATATTGGAAGTAAACATTTTCATGTAAAAGTTTGGAGTTTTTTTTTAAATAATTTTGACATATTTTTAATGGAGGGTAAAAAAGTGACAGCTCGTACTTAAATAGTATCTCGTATGACCGCGATTATGGCATATTAAAAAGGTAATCCAGTATGATCAGCTGTTTCTCAAGTTAGCTGTCAAAATACATTATTGTGAATTGAATTACAGTATAAATATGTAAATAAACAACTAAGACGTCAACAAAACAATTTAGAAATCAAAGTCACCAACGAAGATCAGCTGCTTCTTAAATATATTGTGAAAATATATTATTTTGATGTAAATTTACATTATAAAAAGAAAACAGCGTCCAAATGTTTGACATAAAAACAGCTGTTTTTTTATTCATGGGCGAAACAAAGTTATAACTCAATATATATTAATAACTCAATATATAACAATAATGCATTTTGACAGCAAACTTGAAAAGCAGCTGCTCTCCCTGGATAATATGCCTATATATAACTCTTAGAGGTCATTGGTATATTAAATCTGCTCGATTTCAAAAGTTAATTCCATAGAGTATATCTATTCACAAATCCAGTGGATTTGACGTATACGCTATTGAATTGACATTTGACATAGAGTGGATTTCGTAAATCTAGATGTGATCTTAATGAATTGTCTGATAATGGTTCTATAGATATATTAAATACAATCCTTCATAGCAACGGCCATGATGCAATAATAATGTAATGTATCAAAACAAAAATATATATTTTATTCCAAATTTGTTGTCAAATTTTATCTGGTAACAAAGAGAAACTATGCACTTTGACAGTTAATCGAATAGTCGAATAGTGCCTATTAAATGCCTTCACTGCGACAATGCAGGTGATGCATCGAAACAAAAACCATTGTTTTTGTCTCGACCATTTGTCAAATTTTTCCTTATAATATTTCACATTTTTGGCCATATTGTACACCGAATCCATGTAGAAATTACGCACTTTGACAGTTAATCGAGTCATCAGCTGTGCTTAATGGACTAACTATGTATTGTGTCATAGTACTCTCATTTTCTAAGTACATTTATTACCAAGTGTTCACACAGGACAATGGTACATATGAATGTTCTTATACAGAAACTGTACTAAGGTTTTCATCTGAAATTAATTCATAAAGTTTTTTTGTTTTTAAATAATAAAGCAAAATATTGCGATTTTTTCTACATCCGTTATCTACGGTACTAAAATTTTAATATTCGTGATACAATCACATAATAAATATATCGTTTATCCAATTTGTAGTTTTGTCATAATACATGGATAACAAAACAAAAAATAATAATAATACAATCATACAATCATATCTTTATAAATTTGCGCCAATTTAACAAAATTTGGAATTTTATTGAAATTGATTTGTGTATGTGTGTGTGTTTGTTGCTGCCAATCGACTTTTTCCATTTGGTTTATGTGGTGGGTAGTCGATGTCGAATTTTCTATAATTCCAATTGTTCTGACAGAATGAATGCCTACATACAACACGCGATTGCTGGTGGGCTATGCCAATGTTGTAGAAATCCACTAAATCAACAAGTTTTTGTTTTGTTTTTCATTATTTTTGGTAATAAAATCACGTCAATATGACAGTTATAATGATGATGATTATGGCGATTGGAGTTGGTTGGTGGTTGGGTTTGGATTTGCATGTTGGCCAAAATTAAGTTAACTGTCATCGTCATCATCATAATGAATGTCAACAACAACAAATTTGGTAGAAGCATGTTTCGTTTTTTTTTTGTTAAATGTCATACCCATTATAGGCCTTGCACGGAGACATCACCATTGGAAAAGGGAATTTTGCCAAATAAATAAAAATGATGATATTTTTTTCTATAATTTCAATTTATTTAATAAAGTACCAAAATAAGATATAAACATACATAAAGCCATTAACATTTACATATAAAACATACACAAAACGAAATTTATAATACATGAGTTATGTGTGCGTGGGTGTGTGTCTGTATGTGTTCCCTTCCTGTTATGGGCAAGAATAGAATAACTAAGAAATTTTGTCAATTCGGAATGGAAAGAAGGGAACCCATAGCCAATTGTTACAATAAATTATTTTGTTTTTTTAAATTAATAATTTAAACAAAAAGCAATCAAGTTTTTTCAATGATTTTATGGAAGAGTATTTTCTGTTGTTGTGGTCGTCGTCGCGTTTACATATAAATAATTTAACTTAACTTAAGTGGATAGTGTAAGGATATCTGCATTTGTAATAGTAATGCCTGTTGTTGTTGTTGTAATTTTAAACAGTTTTCACATTATCATATGGCCTCAATACACCTGGTGGTCCTCCAAAGCTGCCAGTAAATTTACCACTTAGATTTCCGGTAGCAGTTGTACCAACTGTGGTGGCAAAAGTGGTGGGTGTGCGATTGGTCGAGGCTTTATTATAAGTCTGTGTAAATGCTGTTGTTGTTGATGCTGTCGAAAAGCCCGAGGGTTTTCCAATGCCTTGTGTAGCCAAAACACCGGGTGGACCACCAAAGCTACCGGTATATTTGCTGCCAGAAACTGAAGCACCACCAGCAGCTGTAGCTGTCGTTGAAATGCTGGATGTTGAGGAGGCTGTCACAAAACCAGATGCTGCACCAGACGTAGTCAATTGATTAAAATTGCTGCTAACTGTTGAGGGTTTGGCGAAGTTGCTACCAAATGTGTCTGTAATTATTTGAAAACAAAACAAAAAATATTTTTTTAAATAGTTCGGAAATTAAGGGGTTGAGCAGGGGAACAGTTTTCTAAAGTTATTATATTAATTAACGATAGTTGACAGTTCGATAAGGAATCAGCTGTTATTTATGTATGGACAAGTTAGCCTGTTTCTCCTGTCTATAGAAGATATATTTATACGGTCACCCAGCAAGCGAAAGTCAGCTGTTTTTTCAGAAATGTCAGAAATGTTGACTTTGTTTACGTTTTGACAATTGAAGGCAATTCACAATAATGGTCTTTGACAGCAAACTTGAGAGGCTGCTGATATCCAGCTGGCCTGCCTGGATAATCTTATTAATAGGACTTGGTTTTTACAAGTTTTAATGCCATCCAGAAAGGCCAGTTGCTTCTCAAGTTTGCTGTCAAAACACATTATTGTGAATAGTCTTTCATTAAGAAAATGTAAACAACGTCCTTCATCGAACTGTCAAAAATCATTGTAACCATCAATCATTTTAAAATTAGTTCTTGTACAGTCATTATAAAAAGGTCTATTCATGAAGTCGCCCAGTGAGATCAGCTGATTCTTAAGATTGCTGTCAAAATTCATTATTCTGAATTAAATTCACAGTATGAAAACGCAAAAAACAATGTTAGGCACTACAAATAAATTGTCTGCTTAAAATAGTTTCATAAAAAACTATTTTCTCTTTTATAAAATAACGAATAATTATTGAAATCAGAGTACCAGATCTATTTATATGGTCACCCAGCAAGCGAAAGTCAGCTGTTTCTCCTCAAGTCTAATGTCAAAAATGTTGACTTTGTTTACGTTTTGATAATGGAAGTCAATTCACAGTAATGGATTTTAACAGCAAACTTGAAAAGCAGCTGGTATCACTGGATGACCTTGTCAATGTATTTTGCCAACACATGGAAGTATCAGCTGATTTCAGTTTACATTTGCACTCAGTAAATTCAATTCACAATAACGTATTTGACAGCAAACGTGAGAAGCAGCTGATCATACTGGATTATCTTGTTGATCTAACTCTATGACAGAACGTATTTATTAGTCCCTGTAGATAAGAAAAGTTGCCAGATCTTCCAAAAAAATAGAAATATATCACAAAATTTGTAACAGTCATCTATTTGCATTAGGGTCATATAATTTTTAATGCTAATTTTAATCATTGTTTACTTACCCTTCTGTATAGCATTACCCGAAACTGTTGTTCCGAAATATTTCGATGTTGTCGATTGTGGTGTAACAGCACTACCAAATCCTGTACCCGCAGCAGCTGCTGCTCCACTTAAAAAAATATTATTGGTTATCACTTTACCATCTCCACTCTTGCTAAAGGTCGTCTTGGTGGGTGCCACCGGTGCCAAACCATTTGCTGTATTAAATGGCGGGAATGATTCGCGATCAGCACTCAGGGGAACTTTTTGTGGCCCATTCTCATCGCTCGTTGAGACGCTGTCGCTGGCGCTGTTGCCGGCTACGGGTCCATCGAAACGGGCTGCAAAATTTGTGTTAAAACTTGTTGAGGTCGTTTTGCTATCATTTGCTGCTGCGTTGACCTCCTCCTCCCCTTGGGTAGGCGGTGGCGGTACGAACACATTATGCGGTTGCGTTAACGTATTATCATTCCGTTCGCTAGCAATGGATGGTAGTGGAATGGTTACTTTAGATGGAATAGAAGAAGCTGAGGTTAGAGAAGTGGTGGAAGAAAAGAAATTTGGCAGTGCACTGGTGGTAGAGGAGGACGAAAAGGAGGAGGCAGTTGAGGGCGGTGAAATGTCATCGTCGACAGACATTTCCTCATCGTTGGGATCATAAACGAATGGGACGCCAGGGCCAAGATCGGCATAATCGAATTCAGCCAGCCATGGTGGAATTGTGGCCTCAAATGGATTCACATCCAATGGTGAGGGAGTGGTAGTCGTCGTGGTGGTGGTGGTTGTTCTTCTTGTGGTCGTCGTTGTGGGTGCCTTAGAGAATGGCTGTGGTTTATAGCTGCCACTGAAGAAGGGATTTGTCGATTTGATACTGGTCGTTTCTTCGCTGCTGCTGCCGATTTTGTCTGTATTGGAAAGAGGGCGATTAAAACTATTGACTGACGTGGTTTTGGGCCTAACAGTGGTTGTAGTGGTGGTGGTAGTAGTACGTGGTGCAGTGGTTGTGCGTCCATTGTATGAAGTGCTGTAGGTATTGGTAGTGGTGGTGGGTGATTTAAATGTTTGACTCGAAAAGGAGGTGAACTGATTGAATGAACTTGAAGGTCTGGCGGTGCTCGATGTGGTGGGCTTGGCCCGAACCCAATGCTGCTGGGAGCTAGAACGGGTTGTTGTGATTGTTGTTGGCCTTGGAGTTGTCGTGGTTCTGGCTGTCGTCGGTCTGGGAGTAGTTGTAGTTCTTCTGGTCGTTGTGGTTGTAGTTCTGGGTGTTGTGGTTCTTGGGGTGGTCTTCGTGGTAGTGTAGGTACCTTCTGGTGGTGTTACATGCAAAACATTGAGATCTGTATAGGGTTCTAGAGGTGGGAGAATGTCACGGTCAATGGTATCATTCTTGTATTGACTAATATCTTCGGGTGGAACATAGGCGACGGCCACATCCAAGTCGGGATCATCGATATCAGCCAACCAAGCTGGTAAGGTGTAGGAGTCACCACCCTCTAATCTGAGGAAATCCGAAGTATCTGGTTCAGGTGTAGTTGTAGTAGTGGTGGTGCGGGTCGTCGCTCTTGTTGTCGTTGGGCGCCGGGTAGTTGTCGTCGTCGTGGTTGTGGTTCTTGGTGTAGTTCTTCTGGTTGTGGTAGTGGTTGGTCGACGAGTCGTCGTTGTTGTTGGACGTCTGGTAGTTGTGGTAGTGGTTGTTGTTGTTCTGCGAGTTGTTGTCGTCCTAGGAGTTGTGGTCGTCCTAGGAGTTGTCGTATAATCCACTGTTCCACTGGAACTCACAAATGGCTGACTAGTTTTGCTGACAAAACTCGTTTGACTAGTACTTAGCTGGGAGCTATATTTCCGCTTAGCAGGATCATTGAGAACGGCAGGATCTTCACTTGATGGCGGCAATAAATCCCAGGCAATAACACTTAGACCTTTATCTTCACTTGGTGTATACTCCACCGGACCACCAATATCGGGATCATTCAAATCGATGATGTACTGGGGCAATCCCTTAAAAGGGGCACCAACTTTGGTGGAAGAAGAGGGACTCTTAAAGGTGGTGGTTGTGGTTGCTATTGTTTCCGAGCTGCTATCATCATCATTTGGAAGAGCAACGGCAATGGGATCTAGGGAGGGTGGAAGGGGATTATGATATTTAGAGGCAATACGTTCGATAATAGAAATATCTCTGGGTACATTGGGATAGTTGAAGTTACCACTACTCAGAGGTGGGCTATATTTTTTGGGTGCTGAAAGCTGAGATAAACTAGAAGAGATAGTTGTAGTAGTGGGTGAAGAGCTAGCTAGAGGAGATGGTGAAGATGATGCTGATGAGGAGGATGCTGATGAGGAAGATGTAACTGTTTCTAATGAAAAACTGAATGGAGATGAAGATGAGTTGCCGATTGCATCTGGTTGTTGGTGAACACCATTGGGATTTGAATGCGGTTTGTTGTTGTTGTTAGTGTGATTAGTGTTCGTGTTCTCATTGAATAGAGTCGCAACGTGCATATTTGTGTTCGTGTGTTTTGGCTGATGCCGTTCAATCCGCAACAGATCTCTGGAATCACCAACAACAACAGAGGCATCTTCCCGTGCCAACGCATTCGGTTCATTTAACTTGGCGATGACGGCGTTACTACTATGGTCGTCGTCGGAATTGTCATCGTCGCTGTCGACATTTTCTTTCACACTTGTACTATTAGTTGGTTTCTGTAAATCTTTGCTAAACTCACCAATGAATGGTGGCAGTAAATCATCAGAGGGCTTCTTTAGCTCTGTGATTCCCGATGCATAATTTGGAATTTCGAATTGTAGACCTTGCGCGCTAATCACCTTGCGGCCATCGGGCGTTTCAATCGGTTTCAATGATTCAATCGGATTGCCATAGCTATCGAAGGCGTTCTTGTCGACCTCGATAAGAGGCGGCTGCAAATCAGCTGGGAAAGGCCTTACAAGTGTGTCTGAAAATGAATTTAGTTTTTGTTGTTGTTTTGGTTTTTTTTGGAGGAAGGAATATTCGAATAAGTTTTTTTTGGGTTAGAAAATTTTTGGTTTGAAAAGAAACGAAACACAAAGATAGAAAAATGGCCAGTAAAAGTTGTCAGTAAAATAAAAACAAGTTAAAGACAAAATAATAGGGCACAGGAAACGGAAATATTTAGTTGGTAGTTAGATACACAACAGCACAACATAAAGAGAGTAGTAGTCATTTTAAGGTTAGGTTGAAACTCCCAAACATTTTTTTGGTGGAGGGAGTTGTGTGTTTAATTGGCTTAGGCATTAAAGAAACATTATTAGAACATTTAAAAAACAGAAACAAGAAACAAAAATATAAACACAAATGGGTAATGAAGGCAAGTTTAAAGCAGTTGATGACGTATTTAAATTAAGTAAAGCGTTTTAATGTAAGCTCAGTAAATATGAATCATAAACATTAAAAGGCTACACAAAATAAATATTAATGATGTTGGCAATTCTTTATCGTGTAAACGTGTTATAAAATGTAAATAGTGACAATCATGGTACAATAAATAGGTAGTTCATTTAGCTCAGCTGATGACTCGATTAATTGTCTATTTGATTTCGATGTTCAATGTTGCCAACCATGTGAAATATTATAATGAAAAATTTGGTCGAGACCATGGCACAATAAATAGGTAGTCCATTTAGCGCAGCTGATGTCTCGATTGGTTGTCAAAGTGGGTAATTTTTACTTGAATTCGATGTGTAGTGCTGCCAACCATGTGAAATATTATAAGGTTTTTGTTTTGAAAAATTTGCATCATGATAACAATGTAAATAAAATGACATTGAAAGTAATATGTTATGGTATGTATATGGCATTTAATGCTAAAGGGTATATTACACCACCCATCAATGTCATAAGTGCCATGGCACAATAAATAGGTAGTCCATTCAGCGCAGCTGATGTCTCGATTAACTGTCAAAGTGGATAATTTCTACTTGAATGCGATGTGCAATGTTGCCAACCATGTGAAACATTATAAGGAAAAATTTGACATATGGTCGAGACAAAAACAAAGTTTTTTGTTGTGATGCATCACTTTTTTTATTGCGTCATGATTAGTACTGTCGCTTTTTTTCGCTTTTTTTCTCAGCATTCAACATGGAAAATTTGACAACACTGCCACATTGATGTGGTTTTGCCGAGAATCTATAACATTTTATTTGGAATATTTGTGTTTTAAACATGTATATTGTTCGATCAGCTGTTTTGGTCAAACAACTGTTAATTTCATAGTTTACATATTTATTAGTAGTATACGATCTTGAACGTACTTAATATTATTGTTAAGTGTATTATGACCTTATTTTAATATAAATATTTGTGTAAATGTCTTGTTTTGCGATCTTGCCCCATATAAATCACGTTTTAGGCACATTTTTTTTAAATAAATGTATCCAACCGTATAGTGGATTTTATTACAAAGTATCTCATGGAAGACTTCAGGCAACACTTTATGTCTAATAATCTTCATAATAATTTTGTGGCTAATGGATAATGACTGACATTTATTAATTAATGTTGTGTGTAATGTATTGTTTAGACCATATACATATATTTTAATTGGGCCCCCTAAGCATTAAGGGTGGTGGCCACACATTACGTTTTAACATGTATTTTTTTTAAATTTGACGTTTCCTATTCAAAAATGTATATGTCTCTCTCTTACTGTTCACATTGTATCAAACTGTCTGCTGTACACTGAACTTGACTTCCTTGTGTAGGTACCATCATTGCCCGGCATCATCTGCCAACGTCATTGTCCGGCATGATCTACCAACTTCTTCAGGCAGAAAAAAAAACAGCTGCTCATTAGCAGAAAAATGTTGTTGTTGTTTAGAGGAAGCATATCAATTTTGATAGATACACGTTAATGTCTATGGTTTGTTGACATCTTCCGTAGTTATAAATTAGCATATTAGCTAAGGCTGTCTTTTTGTGTGAATGAACAAAATGTCTATGATCAAATAATATAAATAAAAAAGGCTTATCATGCCGCTTCATCAGCATTATGGTCACAGAAGAGAGAACGAGAGAAAAAAGTATTAAATAATAAAGTAAAACTATTTTGTGTTCATTCAAAGTATGAAAAAAATTAATAAATAAAAAAATGGTTTAGAAATATGTAGATATTATAAATACTATATATATTTTATATTTCTTAGTTACGATATCTACATCGAACAATTTTCATGTCATTATTGAGATATATAAAAGGAAAATTACTACTTAAATGATGATTTATCATAAAACAGACTGGGTGTAAATATGCCTTGAGATATTACCAACAGAACAGCTGTTGGTAATATGGTCTGTCAATAGTTGTTATAATTTGAAACTAAAACATCATTTTGACAGATATGATGAACAATATATTTTATAATATATTCGGTATCATGGGATACAAAAAGTTGTATAAATTTCATTTTTTCAAAATATGTTTGACATATCAAGGTCTTTGGCTGCTTCTTTATACATTTCAATCGCATTTAGGGCACATTTACACCGAACGTGTTTTATCATAAATCATCATTTAACCGTTTTAGCATGCATTTGATGTTTCCTATAAATATACCCTTTCGCTGCAAATATGCCCCTAGGTAAATACATCAGAACAGGTGTTGGGGCAATGATCTGTCAACATTTTTGTAAATTGAAACAAAAACACCAAAAACTTAATAATTTTGACAGATTTAGTGAACAATACATTTTATAATATATTGAGTTTCATGTGATAGGAAAAATTGTGAAATTACTTTTTTTTCGAAATATGTTTGACATATCAAGTTCTATATACACTGAAACCGTCTTTAGTTTTAAGTGTATCAAACATCATTTAATCGTTGTTTAAGACGACATGTACATTAGAACTTTTTACCGAGTTAACCTGTGGAATTGACAATTTATTGCCACTAGGTTAACGAAATCCAGTATTTTGTAAACTTACTGTAAGTTGCCATTTCCTATGTGTATCTTTCAAATAAATGACGCTTTTCGTAAAATATGTTCAGTGTAAATCATGCTTTGGCTTAGTACATTTGTAAAATCGATCAGCTGTTTTAGTCAAACAGCTGTTTAAAGACAAAAACATTTAACAAGCTAATTGAATTTATATAATTTTTTTGAAAACACATCAACCGCCTATCTCTCTAAAATAAATTAACAGACAGATTGTTTTTTTTGTGTAGTAGAAATTTCTTTTGAAATTACTTTCCTATAATGAATTATTGCTAAGAATCATGTCTATCAGTTTTTTGTTTAATACATGAGTTTGTTGTTGTTGTTTTTATTGTTAATAACTATTGTATGTTAATTTCTTTTTCGAATTGCCAATTTTGCTGTTGTTGTTTTGTTTTAACACGAAATTTCCATTTTCAGTAGCAAAATTTATCAATTAGAGGTCGTCGAAACAACAACACTTTTTTGTGTTAAAAAATATCCATACATTAATTATATATTGTTTGGCTATGATGATTGAATTGCTTTTCTAAGTTTTGGAATTTTGGGTTTTTTTCTGTTCACTCGTGGGTACAATTAGCCGCAAAACAAAAAACTTGCATTGGCTAGGCGTAAAATATGCATATGTGTAGATATTTTTGTGAATTCAGTGCCACTGGCCATAATAGCAAATAAACTTGTTATTGATTCATTATTATTGAATTTCTCAGACAGAGAAAGAGACAAGAGCTATTATAATAATGTTAATCATTTTGCAAGCGTGTTTTTGTATAAAATAATATACAAATATAAATACGTTTCCGAAATACTATAGAGGGATGGCCTCGATAATCTTCTTTTTCGAATATTCTCAATGTTTTCATAAATTGAAATTGGGTTAAATCTTATTTCCAAGAACCGAACATAATAAAACAGCTGTCACACAGAAACTTAATGTGTGGCCAGACACTTATAAAATATAGATGTGCAACAAAATGCGAATACCTGTTATTCAACCCCATTGGCAAGGCGTTTCTATTATTAACAACATATTTGTTTTCCATTGTTTCTAAACAAATACTGACATATTGACACATTTCCCTCATTTATTTCCTTTTTTCGGTGTTAATTTTTTCATTTTTGCAATTCACCAAGAATATTGGAATTTGTATCTTTAAGCCATTAATTTTTTAAAGGAATGTTTAATGAGTCGCAGAGTACAAAATTCCAAATAAATATGGGGTTTCAATTGTGCTTAGCATTTTAATGAATTCCCATAGATGTCAAAAACGCAATACATGCTGATAAATCAGCTGTTGTTTCTTTGTCAAACAAAGTTCTTATTTGAATGTGTCAATGAGAATAAATCATAGGTAATAATTGTCCAATTAGTAGCAAGGCAAAAGGAATTTATAATGGTGGCCATATGATCCAAATACGTGATCGGAAAACAAGACTCCTTTTTTTGCAAAAACACAAAAATGCGTCATTCTTCCAAAAATTGACGTTAATTGTAAAACTCAGGTGACATTTTTTTTGCAAAAACAAAAATAACGTTTATGATTGTGTCAATAAATTTGATCATTTAATTGCAACAACCAGTCAATTGTTTCTGATATTTTATTATTAATTTATGAAGTGTTGTTATTTATTAAAAAAACAAACACAATATTATATTCCAGAAAACAGGGAATATTTACAGCATGAAATGTGTATAAAAATGTTTTAGATTTGTTTTTTTTACAAATAATAAATATTATATATTGCAAAATATATTCAGTTTTTCCGATTTATTTTGTATGGAACTGTACATCATTTATACGGAACTACTTATAAGATCACCAAGATCAGCTGATCAGGATCAGTTGTTTCACAAGTAAACTATCAATTCACAATATGAAAACGTAAGAAACTGACATTACTATCATGGCACAGTAAATAGGTAGTCCATATAGCGCAGCTGATGACTCGATTAAATGTCAAAGTTCGTAATTTCGACTTGAATTCGATGTGCAATGTTGCCAACCATGTGAAATATTATATGGAAAAATTTGACAGATGGTAGAGACAAAAACAAATGTTTTTGTTTTGATACATATCCTTATTATTGTATCATGAAATATTCCATTTAGGGATAAATAGGGATCTATAAATGTTATTGCCACTCTTAGAGTATATTTACACTGAACGTTTTTTTTTTTATGAAAATCATCATTTAAGTGAAATATATTCAAAGGATATGACATAAAACACGAATATGCATCCTTAGACTATGTTTAGAATAATCGGTTTTATAATGATATATATTATATGTTTACATCAACTGACAATTCCGTTGGAAATATGAAATATTCCCCTATGTCCATTTAAATAACGTTTGTCAAGTGTCTTCTTATGTTTATTTCACTACTACACAACTGAGTTTGTTACTATTATATTTAGCTTCAATGTAAGCGATACAGGGTTGCATTGCAACATATGACACTTAGGTGTTACTAGTTCAAGTATTTTTGGTTAGTAATTCAATGATGATTTAATGAACTTTTAGTGCGTAATTTAATCCACTAATAATAACTGTCATTAAATTTTCCGATTACAGTTTATAACCAAAATACTTGATGTACAAATTCCAAATATTGATTCTCAATGGATTATCTTTTATTATTTTGGCAAAAGCCATGAAAATGATATGACAGAATTCACACAAAATAATGAAAATTAAAAAAGACTCGACAGTTAAACTAACCACAACAAGTTCATACCACAAAAAGTCCAAAAAACAAAACTTGTCAAAAAAGTTTGCATCATCATGAATTGTTGTTGATACTTCAAAAAAATTAATGGTAAACATTAGCAAGGTTACCATGATCCTTGAACTAAATGCCTACTGAGCAAATAATCGGGGAATATGATTTAACTGGTTGTTGTGTATGAAAAAATATGTACAATGACCTTGACAGTTTATGTTTTATCCCAGGCAGGGCGAAAAAGCGAAACCAGTTCAATATGCAAAATGAATATCAATGAAAAAATATGAATATGGTTTGATAAAACAACATTATTATTTGTGACAAGCAAAAGAAGAAGAGTAAGATGACGTATGTTATGTTGTTTCAATGGCAAGTGTAATTTTCTTCTTAAAACAAAATTATTATTATTCCATAAAATTATTTTTAAATTTATTTGATTGCAAAACATGTTTTATGAATTGTTTACTTAACACATTTTTGTTGCTGTTTTTTCTGAATTTTTGCCTTGGCCATTTCATCACGACTTCTATACGAAACGATTATCTTGACAGTTATCTTATTAATTATTAGGCTTTATATATTTTTTTTAATTAAAATTTCAAATTAAAGATGACAATCACATTCGTTTATTGCAATAAATGGCAGCTTTATATTTTTTCAATTAAAAAAGAAACATTGAATTCTTTAGAAATACAAATAAATAATTATAATCTTTATTTGAAAACCAAATGACTCATATATTTTTAATTCTTAGCTTCAGAATTTTATTTCTTCCTCCTCCTAACAGAAGCTAAAAAACTTGTTCCTTTAGAAAAGGAACTGATAATAAAAAAATAATAATGTTAATTGACTTGTCATTAGATATCTTGTGGTGTGGTGATGAAATAATATTGCATAAATGATTGATGTTTATTTTTTCTGGAATATCCGTCAAAACATCAAAACTTACTGTTCTTGTATATCTAAAATAAACGTGATGTATACTCTGTGGCATGGCACAATGAATAGGTAGTCCATTTGAAGCAGCTGATGTCTTGATTAACTGCCAAAGTGTGTAATTTCTACTTGAATTCGATGTGCAATGTTGCCAACCATGTGAAATATTATAAGGTAAAATTTGACAGATGACAGATGGTCGAGACAAAAACAAAGGTTTTGTTTTGATACAAGTAGGAGATACTGTACACTCGGGTACCTAAATTAAAAGCGTTTTACAAGGATGTGACATTATTAAAAGCATTATTCAGAAATGTAACTATCTAAAACGGCATTTACATTAGAATTGACAAATCAAATCTATTGGATTTAATAAATCCGGTATACTATAATAGTACGTTAACATTGCACAATGACACAATGATGTAAATATAGTACAATGCTACATTTACACTATTTAATTTAGATTTATTACAAGGAAATGCCAAACAAATGATGATCAATGTGTTTTGATGTAAATATAGTCTAAGGATATTTACACCGAACGTGTTTTGCGCATATACGTTTATTTGATATTTCCAAAGAAAATAATTATGATTTATTTTAAGATATTTTCCGATGTAAATGTACCCTAAGGCTCAAGGTTTTAAACCTTCCTCGTTCACATATTGTTCATTTACATTGATTTTTATTAACACATTCTCATACAAATAATTCCAGAATTTTACATGAACATTTGTTACAATGTAAACATGCCCTAAGGACAGCAGTTGTAATAATTACAAATATTTTTCGTTGAGTGTATTTCGCCTGCTACTTGTATTATTCGATTGTTACACAAGGTTTCGAATTACCCTAAACCAACATGTTGTTTTTTTGTTATATTACTGCTTTTGTCCTCATCACGATTACATGCCGTCTCCTTTGTATGATGCTGCTGATGATGATGACGTTTTACAACACGATCTCTTATATAACACACATATAAATATGGGGAAATATTGATTTGAAGTTTAAAGATGGCCTGCGGTGCCAAGTCATCATGAAACTAACTAATCATATGTACATTATCGTGTATGTGGGTATGTATGTATGCATGTACTTTGAGGTCATATTGTATATATTTTTTGACATCGATAAAACCCCAAAAAAGACCACACTATTACTGATCATCATTAAATATAAAGCCATTGGCTGCGAATCATTAAAAAAAGGTCGGTCTGGACACATTACTGTGGGTAAAATTAATGTACGGGGGGCATATATAAATATTTACTATGGAGGATGCTAAAGATTTAAATCATTGTTTTTGTTGTCATTAATAACAAAAAAAAAAAAAAACAAAATTGTGTTTGTTATTATTATTGTTATAGTAAATATTAAAGGTGGTCATGAAGCACAAAGCTGCATTATTTTTAAATGGACAACCATTAAACAAAAACTCAAGGGAAGTTGTGATGTGATACTGCTGATGCAAATATTGATAAGAGCCCCGAAGAAGGCACTCTGGTGATTGTGAATAAATAAACCTTTAATTGAAGTTTCAAGTTTTGTTTTGAGTTTTTTTTTGTCTACTTGTGGTTAATAGCATTTGTGGGGGTCAGAAAGAAATAAAAATAAAAGAAACAAGATGTTGTTATTATTGTTATTGTTACTAGTCATAGGTTTTGTGTTAATTAATGTTATTTTTTAACTACCGTATACCACCACCACCACCTTCACATTTAATCGAATACGAGACATACCATACTTGAAAAAATAAAAACAAATAAATTTGAAAAAAAAACAGGCACTTACATGCAACACTGAGCATCATATGAATAAAGCCACATAGTTGTTTTTAATTATTTTTCATAAAATTTGTGACTTTTGAAATAATTTAAATATTTTTGAAGATGATATTCCATGATTTGTACCGTACATTTGTCAATATCTGTTTTAAAATGTAAATAAAAAGTAATCCCTTTGGTCAGCAATATTATTGTATGTTCTTTTGATCTTAAAACAATGTTTCATAAATACTAACAAATGCACCTCTGTTCAATGTCACTCAGAAAGATCAGCTGTTTTTCAAGTTAGTTAAAAAAATCCATTTTTTGAATGGAAACGTGAAAATACATATGTTTATACATAATTTTTGAAAATGACCCAATCTATACGATCATTTTTACCGTATCTACCTTCAAATGTAAAACATAATCCCTTCGGGTAGTGTAAACTTAGTGCATATTTTTTATCAATTATGCAATATTTACATCAATGTAAACATATCAATACTAACTTATGTTATTCTGATTTTATAACAATTTGCCCATGGCACAATAAATAGGTAGTCCATTTAAAGCAGCTGATGACTTGATTAACTGTGAAAGTGCGTAATTTCTACTTTAATTCGATGTGCAATGTTGCCAACCATGTGAAATATTATATGGAAAAATTTGACAGATAGTAAAGATCAAAACAAATATTTTTGTTTTGATACATCACTACTAAAAACATGCAACGCTGATCATGACAAATGCAATTCTGAATTATGATTAAATTAATTTCTTCCCTAAATCATTTTATTTATATAGGATTTGTAATAGAAATATATATTAGAAAATATTTTTGTCGATCGTTCTCACGAGAAAACATAGTTATTTAAAACAAGTAATGGGCTTTGGCCACATATCAAATTTACAAAAACTTAACACGTCAAAATTATAGGATGGCTTCGAAAGGACCAACAAATGTACAATACAATTGTAGATTGTTTGCAGGTTCTGAAATAACCTTCTAAATGGACTCATAAATCGTGTAACTAAATCCTAGCTGTTTAGACTAATATTAAAAAGATATGAAGTCAATCAGCTGATATTTCTGTGCAAATTTTTGCCTACTCATGGGATTTATTCGTACTTCTACTTAAAAACAAGTATGATAGTAAGTTTACATTACAAAAAAAAAAATATTTTTAAATATATTTTTTCTAAGTTAATATGAATACTTTAGTGGCCTTATTCAAATTCCGCCCAGTGTTATGTTAATACAGGCAGCAAATTACAAGATATGTAGCTAAATTAGATAAACATCTGTTAAGAAAAAAATCCATTAAAAGACCCCTAAAGCACAGTTTTTCCACTAGAAGAAGAAGAAGCGAGCAGAAGGAAGGCGGAAAAAGACACAAAAACACATTTTGACAAATACCAAGTTTTGCTGGGGCACCATTAACGACACTGTTATTCCAAATGGCCGTTGTTATTATCACCATTGTAAACAACAAACTGCGCCTGCGCAAAAGGGCTTTTCCCTTGGAAAAGCTTCTGTGTAAAGGCGGGGGCGTCGTCGGCGTGCTGCTAGTCGACATCATTGTAAATGGCGCGTCTCGTTAATATTTTTTCGTGGGTATTTTTCAGCTACTTTGTTTTTTTTTTCAAACTTAATCTGTGTTTGGTTTTTTATTTTTCGTAAGATTTCGTGATATATTAAGTTTTAACTTTTGATATCTATTTTTTTGTTGTTGTTGTTTTTGTCAAGAGATTTAATTAAAAAACTTTCTTGGTAACACGAAAACTGTTATGATTTTTCTTTGATTAGATTTTTTTATTTTAAAACATTTTTTTTTAAACTTAGGTGTTGTAACACCCACAGAGTTTTTTCCGTTTCGTTACTTCTTAATTAAATTATTTGTGCGAAAAAATATGTTGAATAATTTTTGGTGGGGTTTTTTTGTTGAATCTTCATTCGCCACCTTTGATTATTGCCCAATACACCGTTTTAAAAAATTTTACGTCCGTACCGCAATGCGACTAGTGAATTAATAAAGTTAAGCTTCTAAACATCTTCAAGCGGTGGCGTTTGCTTAAGCTGTGGCTGCTGAACACAGAGCTACACAGGTCTGCTCTCAAGTCAGTTTATTGGTGGTAGTAGTAGTGGTGGTGCTGGTGGCGGTTTTTGCTTTGTCGCAGTTTGGCACTTGGGTGATTCTGTGAACTGTTAAGGTGGTAAGGGTAATACACTGAGAGAAAAAAATGTGTAATTTTATGGAAAAAATATATATTGGTCTTAAATTTTATAAAAATAAAGAAGAAGACCTATTGATGAACATAGTCGGTATTAAAATGCACCATTGTTCTTTAATTCCCTTTATTCTGTAACAATTTTGTTTATCTTTATAAATTGTATTCAAAATATATACCATTTTGACAGCTCGAAGTAGTATCAGCTGGTCTTTCATGTTGTCGTTATACGTAGATGATCAACTGTTTGCTCCATTATTGTGAATTGAAATCACTGTACGAAAAAGCAAAAAATATATATATATATATATATATATTTTTTTTTTGTCAAGTATGTTCCATAATAGTATGTTTACATTGTGACGGATTTCGTTAAACAAGTGGATTTAAATTGTCCAAATAAATCCTCATATGTAAAGTAATCCGGTAAAAAGTTCTAATGTAAATGCCGTTTAAAAGTGTATTTGCTAGTTGATCGTCATAGTCGAATCTTCGTCAATTAAAAACAGTGTTTCCGCCTCATGGGTGTCGTTGGTCGGTATTAGTAGGACCTTATAAAACAAAATAGAATTTTGAAATCCAAAAAATATGTTTACATTTTTTGAACATAAAACCGTTGGGCGCCATTATTTATTGTTAGTTTATCACCTTGGGCGCCATTATTTGTTAGTTTATCACTTGTTAGGTATAAAAATGTCAAATATCTTAAGTAGGATACACATTATTGAACATCAATGATGAGTACTCCACTTAATAATGAGCCTCAGGGTGGATTACCTTGGTCCTTACCAGTAGGAAATTATGAACCAAAATAGGAAAATAATATGATTGTAGATGTAGGCATTTTATAAGACTTATACGTATTTGCTTATACACACAAATAAACATCTTTTTTAGTATTTTCCCATTTCTTCCGTTTTAGTACACAATAAATTCCATGCATTGACATTTATTGATATTTGAATAAACCCCTTAAATCTGTTTCAATGGTGAGTACCCCACTTAATTTTCTTTTAAATGTCATATTTCTTCAAGTGTCTAATTGAACCATAACAAACGAAGATTACTCTTAAACGCTACCTCTTCTGCTGCAGTAATGACTAAACATTTTTTTTTCGCTAAAAATTTTGACGTTGTTGCCAATATTGTGTAGCTGTCATTCAAACCATAGGAAAAAAATAATTTTCAATGGGGATATTTCATTCATCGAAGACAAGCGTGTCAACCAACCAAGTCCACACCAGCATCATTCTCCTTCCTTATATTTTGGTAGCCCTCAACAAAAGTAATAACTTAATATTAACATACCGAAAAAAATATATATATATTTTTTATATTCCATGTCAAATTTCGATGAGTTGTCAGATGTCACATGTTTTGTTTTAAGTTTGGTAAGAGGGAAAATTGAATATTAAGGAAGTTAATTTGCACGAAAGTGAATATTAAAATAATGGAAAATTATATTAAAAATGTTTAATGATTTAGGAGCAGAAAATAATAAATTACAAAAATAATATATTTTATAAATAAAATTTAAATATTTTATAATATATTTTATTTAAAAATTTTTGTTTTGTTTTAAGAAATTTGCAAATTACGTTTTGCAAAAAAGAACAACATGTTTTATTATTTTTTTATTTTTATTGGGATTATAGCCGATGGTTTTTGTTGTTGCCTTGTTTGCTTTTTTTTATAACATTTATAGCCGGTTGTTTGCTGTCTGTCGCCCTGCCCCCTGTAGGAATTTCAATATGTAGCTGAGCCCTTTTTTCTTTCGTTGGTACCGTGTTTACATTCTAACGTCACTATTAATGATTTTCAAGTGGTTGTTGTTGCTGCTGCTGTCATTATTATGTTATTATTTATTGTGGGTTTTTTGTGTTGAGCTGTTAACACTATTTTTTGCTACATCTTCGATCGTGCCGATCGTGTGACGTGAAAATCACAAATGAAATTGGTGTGATATAAGAAACTAAAATGTAAACGAGCTGCGAGAGAGGGAAATTATTTATTCTACAAATCATTGTGTCCAAAGGTATAGTTAAAGAAGTTGAAGGAAGCTTCAAGCTGTGGACTTTTAATGGCATTTTTAATCCAATTTGTTGGTACAAAGAATTATAATTTAAAATTTGATTCTATTTTTTCTTGTAGACCAAACCCCATAAAAATGACAACAATAGCTTCTCATTTAGAGCAAAGAGTAAACCGTCCCTTAGATAAAGGTTGACTTCTTCACAACCAAGACCATAAATCCGTCTGTTTAAGGAATGCTTTTTATTAACATTTTTTTTTTTTTATAAATTAATTAACATTAGTTTACTACTTCCTGGATAACTTAATATTTTTGACTTCATTTAAGTGTTTATTTTGTATTTTTTTCTTATTAGAATATCATTAATTAGATTTGCCAGCATTCTAATTAATTATAAATTTGCAATATAATAAATCAAATATCTAGATATACCATCATAAATAAAGTCCAAGCATATTCTGCTAAGAATGAACTTCATAAATCATTATTGATTCCTTGGCGGTTATAATTTGCCAATACCATTCAAAATTCAATTGTATTTGTATAGTATCTTTATTAGCTTGGCAATTATGATGGTGGCATCATCATTAAAATAAGAAAACCAACTCGAAAAGAAAATGAAGCATGAAGTTCCATGAGCAGCAGCATTTCATTAATATAATACCGTGGCATAATTAAGTTAATGTAGGAATTAATTTTATTTTTATTCCAAAATTTGCATTTGGATTGTGCCACAAAGAGACAAATATTTTAAACAAAAATTCCAGGTTACACCAATTCATTTAAAAAATATTGAAAAAATTCTCAAAATAAACATTTTCACAGAATTTAAAATAAATAATAAAGAAGTAAAAAATGAATAATATAAACTTGTATGTTATGAGGAAATATGACATGCGATTTACATTTCTCTTTGGAGGTTACAAAAATATACATCAGCTGTTTTGTTTGTTTACATAAATAAACGCAACAATTCCATAGCGTATGAGCACGTTTAGACTACTTAATCCACTCCATCTCAAATGTCAATTCCATTGCGTATGCGTCACGTTAATCCTGTTTACAAATCCTCTGGATTATATTTGACGTATACGCAATGGTATTGACATTTGAGATCGAGTGATTGCGTAAATATAAACGTACGTATAGACTACTAAATCCGCTCGATTTAAAACGTCAATTCCATAGCGTATACGTCACGTTAATCGTATTCCCAAATCCAGTGGATTATATTTGAATTGACATTTGAAATCGAGTGGATTGCGTAAATCTAAACGTACTTTACACATTAAAATTAAATCCACAGAATTTATGACAAGGATTTATTTGACATATACGGAATTGATTTTACGATCTCTAACAAAGAAAATTTGACCAGTAAATATGTTCAATGTCAATCAGCTGATTTCGAAACAGATTGCAAGACCCTTTATTTATTAATAAATGACATCGATGGCATTTCGTAGTTTAAACGTGCTTTAGGTGAGAGCGATTTTTGATAACCATATTAGCAATTATTTTACTAAAATTTCATGAATCCCTATAAAAGAAAATTTGATCAGTAAACACTTCCAATGTGAATCAGCTGATTAAAAAAAACAATCGTTGTGTAAATCGTTAATAAATGGCATTATAGCATTTAAAAAATAATAAAATAAGAAGAAAGTTATGAAAATCATTACACATAGAATAACTTAATTTCTATTTTTTTTTGTCTTACATATGTTTTTATCAGCTGATTTCCCTTTATGACATTCGTCTCAATATTTTTTTGTAGATTTAAGATGTGTAATTAAATGTTTTATAAAAAGTGTAATATAAATGACTTCTTAAACCGCGTAATTTTGTGGGGCGTTATTGTCTATATTATAGGCCGTTTTTACACATAAACATAACCTAAATTCACACATTTCAATCTATTGAATTGCCTTTTGCAATGATTTTGCCAATCATTTCAGACATAACAAATATGAAATCTCAAACAAAACTCCAATTTCAATTATGCAAAATAATGCTGACAGTTGCGGATTTACATTTAACATTTTTTTAATTTTTTTTGGGTCACAAGGAAGATACTACCAACATGGCAATTATATTACCTTCACACAAAGCACATTTGTGTATTTTCTTTTATTTCGTCTATATTACATTTAATTACATTATCCATATGAACTGGTGGGGTAATGATGATACTGCGCTATTTGTTTTTTTTTGGTAGCGGCATTCATTTGATTTGTGGCCCATTGTATTCACCATTAAAGACGGAATTTGTACTGGTTGCTGTCGTTCCCTTTGGCCATAAGCTGAATACTGTATTAAATTGTGAAT